ATAGAAGAAGACGGTTAGAACGAGCTAAGTAAGATTAAATAAGTTCGATAGTTATTACTTAAAAGTACTTTATATAAAGAGGAAAGACCTTAGTATAATAATTCTAAGTAAGAAGAGTAGTAGTAATAAGGGAAGGTTATAAAAGAGTAGTTAAAGAGAGGTTAACGATATTTAGTAGCTCTTTAGTTTTAAGTTTAGCGGTCTTATAAGATATAATAAGGAAAGAGAGGTAGTTATAAAAGGAGAAGATAAGAGGTAGCGGTTTAGAGAAATAAAAAAGATAGAGAAAAAAAAAGGAAAAAGAGAAATAGAAAGAGTAAAGAAGGGAAGAAAAAGGTAGAGATTAGATAGCTCCTTAATTAATAACTAGTAAAAAAAGCTATTTAAGCGTAACCCCTAAATACGCCTAAGACCTTACTATTATAAAGGCTAGCTAAAGTAACTAATAATCGCGCGCTTTAATAACTATTTATTCCTCTTACTATACCCTCCTTCTTTCTTCCTTTTTCTTCCTTTTATATATATATATATATACTCTATACGCTTTCTTACTTATAACGATCCCCTTTATTAATATAACTCTTATATATATATATATAACCCTTTTAGCTTCTTAGCGTTATAACTTAAAACTACTTACCTTAACTATTTAATCTTAACTTCTCCTTTTCTTTCGCTTACTTCGCCCTTTCTTAAAATATAGCGGCGAACCTAAATAGTATCCTAGGCCTAGCTATAGACCTCTTTAAGAATGCCGCTATTTTCTTTAGCATACTATTATTTAAAAGTAGGAGCTCTATTTTACCTACTTACTATAGTAAAGTTAAAGTAGAAGGTAGTAAAGGGCGCTTTTATACTAAAGATAAGGAAAAGTTTATAAACTAAGACTAATAAGACGTTTATAGGTAAAATCAACCTCCTTAATACGTTTATAGAGATTATTAATACCTAATACTAACGGGCCTTATTAAATAGTAGGATATTACCCTTAAAGACGCTTAGATAATATATAAGGGCGTTAAAAAGATAAATAGATTTACTAGGAATAAGGCCTACTAAGAAGAGTATATTATCGACGTATATAACTTTCTCTATAAAGCTATCGATAAATAATAAGCTATAAGTTTCGGCCTTAGTATAATAATTAAAATCTTAATAAGAGGTATTAAGAACGTAATATACCCTTTACCTTACCTACTATCGGTTTATACTAACTACTAAGGGGAACCTATTAAAGATATTAGTAGCTTCTTTAAGTAGGATCTTCTTTATTAATTAAGATGCTAGATAGGTATAAAAGGGGGCGTTAGATAAAAGAAAGAAGGATAATTAAGGCATTATAATAATTACTCCCCTACCTTAATTACTGCCCCCGTAAGAATTAAATAGCTTGGCCCTGCCTATCCGACCCCTTACTTTTAATTTTACCTTTATACATTTTTATATACTTCTTATATCTCTCTTTACGAGACCTACCTTTAACCTTAGTTACTTTATATATAAATAAAGGTATATAACTAGAGTTATTAACTTTTTAGTAAGACTAAATAAAGAGGGACTTTATTAAGGAGCGTTCCTTTAGGACTATAAGGAAGGAAACTTAGTTATTTTTAATACTTAGAAAGAAGGATAGTATACTAGACTCTATATATTCCTATAAGTATAGCGGTAGTTTCTTTATATCTTTTAAGTCCCTTATAACTTTACCTATATACTAGTCCTTTATACCGCTTAGTAAAAAGGGTAGGAATATAGCTACTTAGCCTTAATAATAATTTAATACTAGGTTAAAGGTATAGTTAAGCTACGCCTTAAAATAATTAAGTAGCAATACTTAAAGGTTAAAGTAATTCTAGAGTAAAGGTATAGGGTAATATAAGAAGCCCTATAAATAGATAAAATTATATACTAAGACTAGTATTTCTTTAAGCTAGATAAAAGGATAAGTATAAAAGGATAAGTATAAAAGGCTAATATATAGAATCTAAGCTATCGTAGCGAACGAACTTAATTATATATAAGCGATATTATAAGGTAGTAAAGTTTCCTAGTAGTTTAATAGCGGGGTTAAATAACTATAAAAGATACTATTTAATTAAGTTTTAATAACTTTTAGTAAAGTCTTTCCTATAAGGATTCCTAGGTATAAATAGATTTACTAATATAACTATATTATCTTAGGAGATTAAGAAGAATAAGACCTCTAAGAAGTCCTAGAGTTAGTTAACCTCTTAGATAAGCTTAGCGGATAGAAACTATTACTTTAAAGAGATATAGAACTAGCTTATATAGTAAGAAGAATAAGAAAAGGGCTAATTATACTAGCTACCCTTATAAAGTAACCTAACTTAATCGCTTAGGCTATATATAGTTTCTTTACGAAACTCCTCCCTAAAAAGACCCCTAACTATCTAATCGCGCTAACGGGAATTAAGAATAGGCCTAGACCTTTATTACCTTAAGCGTTAACTAAATTAAGCTCTTTATTTAAACTAAGTAGCTTTTCCTTAAGTAACCTTAAGATAGGATCCCTACCTTAGAGTCTATAAAGGAGAGAGCTAAGCGCCCTTACTAGTCCTTTTATTTATATAGAAATAATACTTTTATTTTCCCCCTTAAATATATAGCTAATTAAGCCTATTCCTCGCCCGCTACTAATAAGTCTTATAAATATATAAAGGAGTAAAAGACTTATAACTATACCCCCGCTAATAACTTAATAAGAAGCTAGTAAGGAAGAAAGGTAGATAGCGCGGCTACTAACTCGCCCTAAGACTCCGAAATTACTAGGCGCTCGGTTAATTACCTTAAGGCTAAAGACTTTAGTAACGCCTATAGCGCGCCCTTTACTCCCTAAAAACAAAGTATAATAATAGCCTCTTTAACTATAGTCCTTATAAGGTTTATACCGGGCTTTAAACCCTCCTAGGTTAAAAGAGTTAAAAACCTAGGAATATATTAAAACTACTACTAGGATATTAATAACTATAATTCTATATATTTATATAAGACTACTAGTAATATAATAATAATTAGTCTATAAGACTTTATAGCTTATTTAATCTAGCTATACTTAAAGCTATAGACTAATAAAGACGCTAACTACTTTATTTCCTTAACGCCCTTAAGAATAATAAGCGCGAATACTTAGGAGTATATATAAAGGGTAGTAGATAATTATCTAAAAAAGGAAGTACGCGAGTAAAGATAGGAAAGAGCTAAATAAGTAGCTTATAGGTAAAGGGAGGAATAAATAATATAAAGGGAAGGGATTATAATAAAGGAGAAAAGTTCTATCGATAGTTTATTTACTTACTTATATACTTAAGAAGAGAGCCTTACCTATTATTATCGCGCCCTTTCCGTTAATATCTTAAGTTAGAAAGTCGCTAGGGAGGAGTTTAATAAGTAAGATTATACCCCTATAGATATTAGCCCGTTAAAGGGATAAGACCCCTAGCACTCCCTATCTAACTTCCTTTTAAGTATACTTAAAGGCTTTATAAAGACCTAAATTATCCGATTAAGTATCTTCTTTAATTATAGTTAATTTAAATTTTTATTTTTTCCCTTTTAAAGTAAAGGCCGCTAGTTACGCGACTTTAGTAAAGATAAAGAGGTATAGAGTAAAGAAATCTCTAAGACTTATATTAATAACCTATAACCCTTAGAGCTATATATAGGACCGATAATTAGATAATTATATAGTTAATTACTCTACTAATCCTTAGCTATATACTACGCGTGCTTTAGGTATATACCCTTATCCCTATTAAACTATATATATACCTTTACTTACTTTATAATAGCTCCTTATAAAAGGGATCCTACTTACTTAGTAATAGCTAAGATAGATATTACTTTTATACTTATTAAAACCTATAAAAGCTACTTTATATATAATAATTATAGTTATATAAGTATAAGGAGTTATATATATTAGCTTATATAAAAGAAAAAAATTATATCCTTAGTATTATATTATATAAAAATTTAAATCTACTTTTCTAAGGTTTATATATTAGTTTTAAAAATAATAATATATATTTTAACTTTAACTTACTTATTATTATAGGCTATGCCTATAGAGGGCTAAGGTTATACTATAGCGGCCGCGCTAAAGTTAAGCCGAAGTAGACCTACCTATTAGTAAAGCTCGACCTAAACTTAGGTCGAATAGCACGTAAATATAGGTCGAGCTAGAGACTAGGGAAGACGGATAACTAGCGCGACTAGGATAGAGTTTTCCTCCTTTCTCCTTAGCTTTAGATAAATAATTATTCGGCCCTATACTACCGCGCTAAGTATACGCCGGCCCCTTGATACCTTTAAGCTATTATAAATTTATATACTTAATATTATATTATATAAAAAGTAAAACCTACTCCTCTAGGGTTTATATATTAGTTTTAAAAATAGTAATATAAGTTTTAACTCTAACTTACCTATAGGCCGCCTTAGAGAACCCTCTACCTCCCGCAACTCGCCTCTAATAGCCCGTTCACCGCCCCTACACCTGAATCCCGGCATGCGAGGACTAGCCGCTGAAGTAAGAGCTCTGGCTCGACGCGCCATGCTGACTAGATCTCCCCTCTCGTAAAACGCAGACGGAAAACCGGCAGATCCCCGCCGGGCGATCATCCCGGGGGCGCTGTCCATCACCCTGGTCCTGCGCAGACAGTTCCCGGTTTATGCCGTTTCCTCCCTTTCCCCCGCACTCACCCGGAAAGGTCGACGGATGAAATGAGAGAACAAACCCTTCTCTCTGAAGCTGCAAGGTCCTACAATCGTTTTGTTTTTGCAAATTGTCGTCCACACTTTTCGTGCCGTGTTTGTCGAATCACCAGGCGGGATCGAGCGCAGTGATGGAAGAGGGCGATTCGAGAATAAGCAGTGGGCACGCGACCGGCTTCGATGCTGCGACGAGGGGCTATATCAGTAGGTCGACGACAATACAATCCGGGTGGGACAGGGCAGCTCCGGGGGGGTGGGGGCGTCGTATGAAGGCGGCATTATATGCAACGCCGAGGAACCGGCAGGCTCCGCAAAGGAGCGGCAATGCCCCCCAGGCGGCCAAGACGGTGTGGGCAAAGGTGAAGCATTTGGCCGTCACGTTTCCCAAGTTCGTTGGGCCCGGCTTTATGATCTCCGTGGCCTACAGTGAGTACCTCTTGTTGCCTTCGTTTCGTCACTTGGTTAGGTTTTCGAGGCCGCATGCTGATGGCAGGTTTCAATACCGTGAACCAGTCGACCCTGGAAACTACTCTACAGACATTGCCGCGGGAGCCTCGTACCGGTACAAGCTCCTCTTCATCGTCCTCCTCAGTAACCTTTTCGCCATCCTGCTACAGAGCCTGGCCATCCAGCTCGGCACTGTGACCGGGCTGGACCTGGCGTCTATGTGCCGCGTCCACCTGCCACGGTGGCTCAACTGGTTCCTCTACGGGCTGGCTGAGGTGGCCATTATCGCGACCGACGTGGCCGAGGTCATCGGCACCGCCATTGCGCTCAACCTCTTGATCCCCAAGCTGCCTCTTGTCTGGGGTTGCGCCCTGTCAATTGTCGACGTCATGGCCATCCTCTTCTTCTACCGGCCCGACGGCGCCATGAAGGGCCTGCGCCTGTTTGAGGTATTCGTGTTGCTGCTGGTCTTGGGCGTCGTGGTTTGCTTCTGCATGCAGCTGTCCCTCATCAAGGAGACAAGCGTGGGCACAGTCTTCCGCGGGTTCCTGCCCTCGGATTCCCTTGTCCAGGCCAAGGGGTACGCACAAGCTGCTGCGGTTGAGATCGACTGTGTGAATCGAAATGGCCTGCTGCTTACCGGTTTCTAGGCTGTACCAGGCTTGTGGCATTCTCGGCGCCACGGTCATGCCTCACAGTCTCTATCTCGGGTCGGGCATCGTGCAACCGCGCCTCAGGGACTACGATGTTCGCCACGGCCTCATCCCGCGCGACGTCATGGACGCGATGTCGCCGACCCATGACGACTACGGCAAAGTCGCCTACGTCCCGTCGCACGCGGCCATCAAGCACTCGCTCAAGTACTCCATTGCCGAGCTCAGCCTTTCGCTGTTCACCTTTGCTCTCTTTGTCAACTCAGCCATCCTCATCGTCGCCGGCTCGTCGCTGTATAACCTGCCCGATGCCGTCGACGCCGACATCTTCAAGATCCACGACCTATTGTCACGGAGCATCTCACCCGGGGCGGGCACCATCTTCGCGCTGGCGCTGCTGCTCTCGGGCGTCTCGGCCGGCATCGTATGCACCATTGCAGGCCAGATGGTCAGCGAGGGTGCGCTACGGTGGAAGGTCAAGCCGTGGCTGCGGCGGCTCATGACGCGCTCCATCAGTATCACGCCGTCCATCATCGTCGCGGGGACCGTGGGGCGCGCCGGCCTCAACACGGCGCTTAATGCGTCACAGATTGTGCTCAGCATCGTCCTGCCGTTTGTCTCATTCCCGCTCATCTACTTTACCAGCCGCCGCCAGTTCATGACGGCGCAGCCGCGCATGGTGCGGCACATGCACACCGGCGACACCGAGGAGCGGCCGATCGCGGACGGCGATGCCAGCCAGAGCATTGACATGTCCAGCTCGTGGTGGCTGGTTGTCGTTGCGGCAGTGGTATGGTTAATCATTGCCGTCATGAACGTGGTTAACCTTGTCTTGCTGGGGCTAGGCAAGTCGTAACTGGGTGAGGGCTTAAGATGAGATTTTCGGACGTCCAATAGTTAGTTAGTTGAGCATGGAGACGGCGCCCCTGGCCTTAAGCATCGAACGTCTTTTTCAACACAAACAGGAGCACACAGACTAGTAACAAACGCCCGCATCTTCCAGCCCCCTACCGGCACCAAGTCAGCCCGGTCATGCATGTCCCATCCCGATGGAAGTACGGCCAAGCCGACTTTATCGCCGTGCAGATGGCTGTTACGGAACTCTGCCTTAACACAGACCGCCTGCGGCTTGGTCGCCAACGTCACTCTCAAGTACAGTCAGCCTGTATCACCAGCGTCCAACAGGTGGCATGTTTCAGCACCGAGTCTTGCCGGCAGCCGCAGGCGGCAACGACAACATGGCCGACGCCTAAAGAAGTAGCCGACGCCGCCAACGGTCCCGCGTATGCAACGATGTTGCAACGAGCTCATTCTTTTCAAGGAACATATACAACGACACGATGGATTTGGCCCCCCTGGGAAGCAGCAGCTCGACGGGCGGCAGCTTACACATTCCGACCACGGCCGCATCGTCATTGACACCATTTCCTCCCAGTTAACAGCCATGCAGTAGGGCCTCATTGCCATGGGTTGATCCTCCCGAGAGCAAGGGGATATGTCGTAGAGCGGTGACTGACACGCCGGGAGTTAGACGACCACCGTATCGTCGCGACGTGTATGTAGCGTCGGCGCGGCATGTTCAAATTGGCATTTCCCGATGGGCCAATCCTACAGGTAAATCCGATCAATAGGTATTAGTGATTCATCCCAACCTTGCCATCTGTCATGCACGTAAACAGCGCTATACATATCGGCCCCTCGCAGCATCGCGAGCGCTGGTAGTAGGCTCAAAGGTAAGCAACTGGCATGCTCCGACACCATGCCCGTTTCCTACCCAACGCGTCATGCGTCAAACACCACGCCTGATCCTGCCTGCTTCCCATCCAATCTGCCGGGCCGAGGGCCTTTCACCCTGCCCTGCCCGTCGCTGCATGTGGGTGTGAGATGCAGCCTGAGACAGGCACCAGACGACGCCATCACTCTCCCAGCGTGTAGCCAGCGCCACAGAAGGAGATGAAGCAAGGCGCCCCGGGATCAGATCTTGTGTTTGTCCCAGACCACCAGACACATCGTACACACACACACTTGAGCCTCCTCCAAACCACCACACCACCTCCCTCCCTTCTCCTTCCCCGCCTCGTCACATACGTCCTCGTTGTTGACTGCGCCGATACAGGGTTCAAAAAAAGTAAACAAGGGAGAAGGATATATGCCTCGATAAGTAGAGGGAGGTGTGGGGAAGCGAAACACGATGTCTCAAGATGGCTTAAGACATAATTACGCCATCCAAAGCAAAGCTCAGCCAAGGCAAGGTCCCCTTTTCCCACGCGCCAAACTCGCACGCCATTGGCCCTCGTCTTCTCACCGCCAAAGCTCCCTCGCCCTCTGCCCGGCGTCTCTCTGTCCTGCACCCCATCGCCGCTACGCTACGATGGCTACTCACTTGGACCCACACCATCCAGCCGAATGCCGCGCAAGCGACTCGTTTCAACCGGGCTGCTCACCGCCAGGCCTGTTGCGCTCCGAGACCCGGAGGGCCAGGGCCGGCGGAGCCGGAGATGTCCAGCCTTTGACTTGATCAAAACACGCACACTGCGTGCAAGTACAGATCTTGTTGTTGCGTCTCCGTTCTCCCATGACGGAAAGATGAAAGACGAAAAGATGAAAGCGACAAGCAGGACAAGTAGGGTCGCAAGACCAAGGCACGAGATGGCCAATCGGCTGCCGAGGCCCGCCGCGCTTAACGGCCCGGACCCCGTGACCGGCCGTTCATGCGGGGGCGGGGCAGTCGCTGGGGCTCGCTTGTCTTGAATCTTCAGTGATGACTTATCGTTCACTTGCGTCAACGGAGCATCAGTTCCGAGAGCAAACTACAAGCCACCAAGGTTGAATGCTCACGGTCAGTCAGTCAAGCATGCCTTAACTACTTTTTTAACACCGACATTCTTTGTATTGCGTGCATCACGGACATGCAGAGGAATATTCGGCCAGCATCACGGGCTATCGTCGTGTTTGCTCTCATTCTGCAATGGCGCTCGGGAAAAAAAGACAATGTATGCCATCCTCGTCGCCAGAGCCATCCGGTATCCGGACGTGTCGCTTTTTGTCTCGCCCGCTGGCGGCTTCCAAATCGTCATCATTAAGACATTCGCCAAACTTCCAGGTCATGTCGATGGGCCGTAAACAGGCAAAACCACAATGAGCCGGTACAGCGAGAAAAGAGAGATATGCGGCATTGACCCTCACCGTGCAGGGTTCAATTTCCAAGTGCCCAAACGCCAAGCATTCCATGCCACCTCCACAATGCGTCCCAGGAGGAAAATGAAAAGGTCAATCAACGTATCTTTCTTCCGTCATGGAAGAGCATCAAGTGCTGTGGCAGCCCGCCCATCAAGTGTCGTCATCGCCTGGGCCCCAAGGGCCCACGGCCCATCTGGATTGTGTTCCAGAGCTGCTGGCTGCCGGCTCATCTCCATGCGACACCTAGCCGAGAATGGCCGTGGCCGATTGCGTCTCCGCCATCCAGGGCAATAGTTCCGAGAGCACCTGCTGCTGGCTGTGGTACGACACGTCGCCGGGTGGCGTGCCACCGCCCGATGCCAGAACCGGGGCAGTCGGCCTCGTCGGCGCCATCGACACGGGCATCGCGAACGGAATTCGGGTGTCGCCGGCCAGTGTGGGCGGCGTCGATGCCGCAGAACCCGTCGTCATGAGCGACGGGAAGTAGGAGCTCGAGTCGGGGAGGCGGATAGAATGATGTAGCGCAGTGCTGGCGCGAGGGCCGTCTTTGAGACGAGACGCCGCCACGTTGCTGGCCTCGAGCCCACCCTTGGCTCCATCAAAAGCTCCGCCCCTGAGAGTCCCGTCGTTCATCGTGGGACTCGCTTGCTTTGAGCCAAACTAGACCATCAACCTCTGTTAGTCAGTCTGCTCCTCCATCAGGCCTGTGTCGGCATGGACCGTCCGAGAGGCAAGTCGTGAAGGGGGTTCATCGGGGTTTCAGGCCGCGGCTGGGGATTCGCTCATGCTGAAGTGGAGGCCGGGGGTACGTACAAAGCAATACTTGTTGACGAGTTCCTCGTACGACACGCTCGGGAGGCTCGAATTGGGCGACTGGGCGCCGTTGGGAGAGTCGCTGGCGCTCGTGCCCAAAACCGGGGAGTCGGTGCTGAGGGCGGCCAGCGTCGTCGGCTCGAGGCCGCGGACATTTCTCTTCATATAAAGAGCATCCTTGTCCCTGCCCGCCGAGTCCTTGGCGGCCTCCATGGCGGCGCTGAGCGAGGCGCCAAAGTCGTAGCGGTTGGAGAAGGCGACGCCGCTGGGCGAGCTGAGGTTCCGGGCGATGTTGTCGCTGGCGAGGTGCGGCGAGGACTTGGTCTTGAGGCGAAGGCCGGTGGGACCCGACTCGCCGAGATACTCGTGGATGGGCTGATCAAAGGTGATTTTGTTGGGCTCCTTGCCAAAGGCGTCGAGGCACATGGGCATGGAGACGGGGCGCAGGGCGCTGGCGGCCATGGGCCTGCGGTTGCTACGGGGCAGTCCGTTGAGGGGGCGCGAGGCGGCACCTGTGAAGTTGTTCTTACCGTTCTGTGGGAGGTGCTTTTTGCGGAAGTCGACCTGGAAATTGGTCGAGCTGTTGTTGTCCCAAAACTCCTGGCCGTCGACGGCGTAGCGGATGCAGAAGAAGAGCGTCTTGGACTCGAGGTTGGCCATGTCGGAGAGCTTGATGACAAAGGTGAAGCGGTCGTGGGCCAGGGTGCCCTGGCGGGGGCGAATCTCGTGGCCGTACTCGGCACTGACCTCGGACACGGTCTTCCAGTAGTCGAGGGTGAAGCGACAGCTGACTTGCTTCTGAAAGGCCAGGTTGGCCACGGCGATGGAGCCCAGCATCGATTTCTGGTCGCTGGAAAGCCACACCTTTTCCAGCCGGACCGGCATCGTCTTACGCGCCTGAGTGTTGTGGGGAAAGTTGGCCGTGACAAGCTCCCACTCGTAAGGCGGCGACCGCGGGGCAGACTTGGCATCGCTGGGAAAGGGATACTCGCCGTCGCTCTCGTAGCTCTCGACGGGCGACGACCCAGCGCTGACGGCTAGGGGACGGTCGACTTGAAGGAAGTGGCGGACGTGCTCCAAGTGGGAGTCGAAGTGGACGGCCTTTGAGAAGACGGGGGTGCCGGGCATGCTGGAAGGGCGGCGATGCGAGGCGCGAAGGGCTGGGCGGACGAGCTCGCCAGACTTTTTGCGCACCATGGGGGGCTTGTTCCGGAGGTCCTCGTCGGTATCCTCGTCGGATACGGTCAAGGAAGAGTCGGTCGACTTGAGCATGGGAGCGTTGGGCTCAGTGGCGGAGCGGACATGGCTGAGCTTGCGGCCGCCCCTGGGGAGGTGGCCGAGGGCGCTGGTGCTGAAGCTGACGCTGATGCCCCTTGAGGAGGCGTCCATGTCGGACTCGGCGGGTGCGGTAGGTGGCGGCGAGGGCGTTCTGGTCTGAGGAATCTGGCTGACGGCGTCCCTTAAATCCTTGAGGGACTCGAGCTGCCTCCCTCGAACCCCGGGGGGCTCGTCCTCATCGCTGCCAGAGGATGCGGACTCGGGTGGGGAGACGATGGCGCCCTTTGGGATGAGGTCGCGTTGGTCCAGGGGCGGGGGAGGAGACTGCCTCACGCTGCCCCCGAGGTTAGCGACCGTATTCCTGAGGGTCTGGGCGACATCGGATGAGCCCAGTGGCGAATCGTCGGTGGCGCTGATGGACGGGGTGCGGCGATGCTTGTTGAGGTAGGACGAGGAGCGAGGGAGCGAGGGCCGAGAGCCGAACTGGATGGAGGAGCGACGGCTCGCATCGGGCGACGTCGAGACTGAGGAAGCAGGTGATGAGTGCGAGGGGGGCGTATAAGGCATCCCCAAGGAACCGCCGGGCCAGGCGGCGTTGTCGAGGTTGCAGAGAGGCGTCGTCGACGAGAGGGGAGACGGGGGAGACGGAGGAGGCGGGAGGGTGGTGAAAGGGGCCAGGTCGACAGGTACGACGGGCCCGAGGAGTTGACGCGGGGCGAATCAAATCATAGGATCAATCCGGAAATGGGGGAGAGATGAGAGGGGAGGAGATGAGGAGAATGAGGCGTGAGAGACGGGGGAGAAGGGCCAAGGATGCTAGAGGAGAGCAGAGGAAAGAGGTCTAGAAGAGCGACGGATCAGCACAAGCATGGCGAGGATTAGGGATTCTGGGCCCGGGGAGTGGCGGGGAAGGGTAGGAAATAGATGGACGAAGAGGTTGTTGCCAAGGGAGGGAAAGCAGATATGCAGGCGGTGTAGTAGGTAGGCGGTCGATGTCGGTAGGGCCGTAGACTCTCGAAACTTACGTCGTCGGGTGCTCTCTCGGGCAATATTCCAGCAGCCGAGCAAGCGAGGCAGGACAGACGGACGCGCAACAGCAACAAGCTCAACGGCCGGCAGCTGCTGACAGACGGCAGACAGTGGACAGAGGCAAGAATTGGTGCCGCGGAGAAGGAGACGGGGGAAAATAAGAATTATGTCGACGTCACCCGATTGGGCGAAGACGGGGATTTATTTTTGGCGAGGGCGCGCCGCAGTGTTTCCTTGTCAGAGGATCCACGGGAGGAGTTGTCGCGTGGAGGAGGGACGTGGAGGAGGGACGTGGTCGAGGAAAGGAGACGGAGGACGCGACGCGGGAAGAATTGGCTCGACGAGGACCAAGAGAGAGAGGTCGGGGGAGAGAGAGCAAGAGAATCAAGGGGGGGCGTGAAGAAGAAGAAGGAAAAAGCAAGCGGAACAGGCGAAGCCGACGAGTAGCTTGGTAGTACGTTTTGCATTCGGGGCGGGCGCTGGGGCCAGTGGCGGCACCTGTGGGAGCCCTGTAGATGCGGCAAGTACAGGTACCCGGACAATGCATGCATACTGTACAACTGGTGCCACCATTTCCCGTGCCCCATCCATTCCCACGCCCGAGGAGCCAACACTACCTAGGTAATCTCTGGCACTACTGTTGCCCGGCGTGTGCGTGCATCGAACGTTTGTTGAAGCAAATGGCCCACGTCCCGGAGTAGGTAGGTAGCTACCTAGCCAGTACCGATACCTACTCCTCCCACGCCGACGGGGGGTCGCTACGAGTTTACGGTACTGTACAGCGCTCAATTCTCGGGGCTAATCACGGATTTCCGTCTTGTTCAACCACGATGAATGCAAAGATGCAACGATGCAGAGAGGGGCAAGTATGGTGGGAAAAGGTTCCGTCTCGACGACTCCTCAAATACATACTACTGTACCACTTATCGAGAGCCGTGGGGCCAGCGCCAGCCTAGGTACCTAACGTTGCCTACTACCTAGTACTACTACCTAGTACTACTACCTAGTGGCAGCGCTTGGCCTCGACGATCGCACCGGCAGGGGTCCCCGAGGGGTGGAGTGGAGCCTCCCTCCTCTATCTCTCCAGGTCTTGATTTAGTTATTAGTGGCCTGTTGGATGCATGGCGATTGTCTCTCCGGCACATGGACCGTCGCATTCACATCAGACGGGGGACTTTTACCATGCGGCCAAATAATATTCATGAGCCCTCTCCGGCCAGTCGTTGCCACCTACAGTACAAGCATGCTCAAGAAGCAGGCATCAGCTAGTTGCACTGTACCGTACTGTACTGTACTGTACTGTAATTACAATATCCATCCGTTGCAACTTGTCCATTGCCATTCTTCAGCTCCACCCGCCAAACAATTATTTCCTCCACTTCACCACAAGAGGCAGAGCCACCTAGATCACCTGCTGGACGAGACAACCGCAACTATAGCAAAGGACCGACGGCCCTGCCTCGTACTGTAGACGATTCCCTTTTTACCTAACTTACCACCTACTGTAGTTACCATGGCCAACGCTCGTCGTCGCTAAAGGGGTCTCAACACGGCCCATGACCTCCTCTCTCGTCCGCTCCCGCGCCCACACACACACACGCTCGCACACACAGCTCTGTTCACGACGGCCCGGCAGGCATGGAGTCTGAAGGAGACAGCCGCATGGGCTTTTCATCAGCCGCACGGAATGGCATCCATCTCCTGCCGAGGCTGCAAAGGTCTCTTTCTCTCTCACATCACAAAACACTGCGGTATAACTCGCAAGCACAGACAGGCATAGCTCCTCGGCTTGACAAGCCCGTCAAGTACTCCGTAACTCATGCACCACTGTCTCTGCTCACCGACACAGAGGCAAACCCGTACGCGCGTGCAGGGCGCAACAAGCTAGGCCTAGTCACTTGCCAAGTGTCGTCGACTAATAGAGAGCGAGCGATCCGGATCTGACACGGCCCCTCCTGGTTCAGGCCACGATGGCGCCCCAATTTCTTGCAGAGCGCAGCCAAGCACCGCGTACATAAGACAGACACTGGCATCCATGACGTACCCGGCGTGCTTGGTGCTTATTCTCTCGACTGACCAATTTCATGCTCACCTTTACGCCGGGACTCGCCAAGCAAGCAGCCTCGGGGCAAAGCGCTGCCTAGTCTGAGAACAGACCGGTCTGGGGAAGAGAAAGAATAGCCCATGCAATTGAACCTTGGTCGCCACACACCCACGCGTGGAGAATGGCGAGACCGCATCCGAGGCGTCCATGTAGAAAAAGCAAGGGGAAAGCGGGCAAAAGAAAAAAGGAAGGGAAAAAACAGAGTTGCTGCCAAGGCTGGGCGTGTGCCACACACACCCCCTCTCCGTCCGATCCAGGTCTTCTCCGACGACGACCGAGCGCCAAAGGAGCCTCCGATTCTCCGTGCCACGCTCCTGCCTGCTATCTGCTCTTTTTTTCCTTCTTGTTTGCTCGTTTCATTTTATGTTTCTCTTCGCCCACCCCTTTGAGAAGTAAACACGAGTTGGCTCTTGGACGGCAGTTGCAATATGGCTCGGCTATCGGAGCAAAGAGTGCAACGAACCAGTTGGCCTCGGCTCGAGGGCGGCCCTGCTGTAAGAGGCAATTCGCAGTCAATGCCGGGGCTCCGGTCCTCTCCCGCTCGGTACGGTAGCAATTCGATGCAGGCAGGCAGTGGATGATAGGACAGTCTCATGCCCTCTTGGATCCCTCCCATCTGATAAAGCCCCGAGTGCTTCCCCGGGACAGCCGTGTGGATCCTCTCACCGGGGCCGGCCACGGAGGCTGACCTGAGCTGATGCCTCGCGTCCGGAGAGGAAGAAGGCGAGCACGCCACAGTGGGGTGAGCCGGTCTCGGTGCTGATTCAACACAACAAGGATGCTTCGCCACACGAGATAAGAGAGAGACATGGATCCGGCATGGCATGGCGTGGACAGGGGGTTGCTGTGAATAAACCGGTGGGGCCAAGCCACCTCCAGACATTCCAGTTTTTTCTCCCCCAACCCAACTCGACTCACTGTGCAGGCTGGTTCAGCCGTGGGGAGAAACCCTTGAAGGCGGTGTTTCCATGCGGACTTGTCCGTCCTCGCCCACTGCCGGCTCGCCTCGACTACTAGCACCACCGCCCATTGCCTGCATTTCCGCGGGGACTGCCGTATCGACCAAGTCGAGTTGACGTCGAGGTACGGCTGCATGCTCTCGCACAAACCCCATCGAATCCAGAGACAGCATGCGGCCCCTGCTGCCAAATTTCACGGCTCCACTTCGTAACATGGGACAAACAAAAACCAAGCCCTCTTGTCGGCGTGCGCCACCACGTTGCCGGAGCATTCATCGCGGTTCGTCATGTCCGCGCGACGTATCGTACAGAGACATGCATGGAGGCAATGCGCGTATGCGTCTCGCATAGCACGGGAAAACCTCTGCGGTCGCTATTGTCGGATTGTCATTCTTTTGGCCCAACCGTCATTCCCGAGCCTTGTCCGTTCTGTCTGGCGCCACCGGGCAGCAAGACGGTGGCTCAAGTTGCTCTCCTCATCCGTCCGCGCCGTCAAGGACGGAGTGAATGTGTGAGTGGGAGGGCATGTACCAGATGAAACGCTCAACGACAACGGCCAACGCGCAAGCCCATCCATGCATCCCCCCGGCAAATTTCTTTTTCCCTGCTTTCCGTTGAGCGCTGACGTCGGGGGGTGTGTACAAAGCAGACGACGCTTGCAATGAGATGCCCGTCCACAAGGGAAATCGACATTGAACAGAAGGAAGCAAGCAAAAGGAAACGAAACGCAGGCGGTCGAGTACGGGAGCGCTTACAGCCAAGAGCTGGGCCTCCACCCACCCACCACAACGCCGCCTTTCGGTAGCAGGAGCACTTGTCCGCGGACCATTGGCGCTCGCTCCCACCACACAGGCTGCGGGGAATGCCACTCTTGGTATGACTGCTGCGACGGCGGGAGGCTCGTTCAAGTGTCTGTCAAGGCAACGGCACTGCATGCGTACGGTTGATGGACAGTTCCCAGCCGTGTCGCAATCTAGACCCCTGCGAGTCAGTACGACTACTGTAGAGTCAGCCAACTACTGTAGCTACCGTAGAGCCGTAGAGAACTCGGCAAAGTTGCTTCTTTGGTTTGTTCGCGGGCACAAACGTGCGCCTCGCTGCCGCCGGTCCGTCCAGACCTCCGAGGTGCCCATGGCAGCAAGTACTGTAATCACGCCCTGGGCCGTGCCTGGCTCGCGAGGATGCTTCTATGCCATGCAACGCCTCTGGTGGCGTGGTGCCGGCTCGGCGAAGGCTGGTTGGGTCGACGTCGCGGCACGTCAAGTCCGCTATCTCGATAGCACGAGTCGGCTGCGGGTTGTGATTGGCAGAGAGACAGGCGCGGACACTCTCTCGCGCAGCAGGGATGCATGCACGCGCATGTACGGGTACAGTACATATGCACGTACGCGGTATCCACATCCATGCCATACAGTACATGCAGCCCAGGCGCGCATGCATTTATACGACATGCGTTCATACCACGTATGCGCTAGCAGGGGTCACTCTCTGTAGGCCTCTTTGAGCTTTGTCTCCCTTTTAAAATGTCGGCCGAGCAGCGACAAGTCGTCGGTGCCTTTGGCCAAGACTCAAAAGGGTTGGTTGCTTGCCTCGTTCATCTGCTCGGGCCAACGGCGCGAAAAGAGGGCCGTCGGGATCCGGCTACCTAGTTGCTGTCCTTACAGTACTCCTTTTACAGTCCCCCGGATGAGTAAGCGGTCCTCTGACGATGCGCAGCCGCAGCCGAATGGTGGACCATGACGCTTAATACCGGAAACGGCGCCAACCCCCTGATGCCTCGTGCAAGTAATAAATGGTGTTGGCATCGACTTCTCATCCATGCTCGACAGGCGCATCTGTGACCGAGTGGCATCTAGAATCGATAGCCTCCAGCCCCGGGCCCCGATGTGATTCGGCCTCTGCTTCGAGAAGAGACGTCGCACAAGCAACCGAATACATGGCGTGCTATCCGGCTGGCATTGCTGGTTGGCCTTGGCAAGCGTGGCACCACCGCCGTCCGGCTGCGGTCCATGACGTACAGAGGCATGCTACACTGTTGGTACACGCACATGAAGCCTTCCAAATTGTCGGACAAAGGCTGTGCAGGGCAGCACATACCCCAACAAGCACGCAGTCGTGATGCCCGGGCTCCCGTTGGCCCTTGGCCTCTTCTGCTCTTTGTCTGCTGTCACTGACTGCCATGCTTCCGGCACCGTCAATGCCGACGTCCCCGTTGTAGTCGTACTGCTCACGACGCCGCCAAAGGATCCCTGCCTACCCTGGACCCTCTGTGCGTTTTTTCGCTTGTTGCCCTCTGTCGCCGCCGGGCCGTCGGCATCGACTTGCACCACAGCAAGAAAGAAAGCACATCGAGAGGGGGGGGCAAGGGAGCGGGCCCGTCGTTTCGATTTCTGGATGGTGGGTAGGAATGGTGGTGGTGGTGGCGGTGGTGGTGGTGGCGGTGGTGGTGGGCTCTAGTATCCGCGGGCGGCCGTGTGCTGTAGCTGAAGCTGTCCTCGATGAGATATGGTTGCCCGTCCATGCGGCATGGTATTTTGGTCGCCAGCCACCTACCAGGCCCTCACCTCAAACGGCCATCTCTGACCCTTCTCCATGTTTGTGGGGTCGTGAGATGCTACATAATTCCTAACCTACCCATCCAGAGTCTGCCCAGTTTTGGCGGCGGCCCGAGGACGGGCCCCATGGTTTCACGATGCTGGTAGTAGCCTCTCTCCAACCCCCGCTTGACACGATGAGAAAAGTTTTTCCCTTGACTCCAGGCTGTGGAAAAAGAATTGACGTCATGTCTATGAACCTCTTGCTTGGACCGCCCGAGCGACGTGCGGCTTGCATTTCACCTTCAGCCCCGGAGCCCATCAACGACGTCGAATCGAAGCCCGAGTAACGTCCGCGTGTGCTCCGTGCTACCCGCTGCCAAGGGCCGCAAAGGAGCCCGGCTTTTCTCTCGTCGAGCCACGCCACCGCAGCAGCCAAGCAGGTCCGTCCGTCCGTACATACAGACATATGCGTAGACGACTGGCGTGTCCGCGCACACACACTTACACACCATGGCGGACGGTTCTTGCCACCCGACAAGACAGAGACAATCGAGCCAAGGGGCACAACCACCACTCCATTGCTGTTGCAGAAAGCAATCGTGGCTTGCGAGGTTCCGGTATCGCCCCCTATATGCATTATCAGTAAGAGACGGTGAGGACGAGCAATGGCCAATCAACGACCCTGACCTCTTCCCCTATCCTCGCCACGCGTCTTGGACGTTGTGTCGTGGGCCGGCCTCGACTCTCCCCAAGTCCAACGGCTCGATTGCGGGGAGAGAGTCTAGACATGGGGGGCCATCGCGGTGCTTTGGCTGCCGCCCACATCGTCAGCCCTTCCTCCCAAGGCCAACCCCGCGCTACTGTAAATACGAGGTCCTTCCCCCCTCTCCCGGCTTGCCGTTGACGGCGCCGCGTCGAGGGCCGAAAGGGGTCCGTACTGCAGCCCGGGATCTGCAGGCCGCCCGCCCGCCACTACGTCTCTTTTCACCCCGTCGAGATCCCGCGCAAGGGAAACCAAGATCCAAAGGAGAGATGGGTAGACGACGTGTGCCAAAGGGGCAAGCAGAGAGCCGGCCGACCTAAGATCAGCAAAGGGATGCCGAACCGCTCTTCGGATCATGGATGAGGAGATGGGGGGGAGGGGCGGATGGCTGATCTGTGATAAGGGGTCTGCACCCTTTTCCCTTTGCGCGAGTTAGAGATCTACGGGTGTATGTGTGCTTTCGTGGATGGGACAGCCTCCTCCCCCTCCTACCATCCTGTACGCGGCTCTTATCTCACGGGCCAGACCTATCATGGTCGATGGATGAAGCCACCCGGATGGCTTGACCACCGCCACACCAGGACGCCTCCGCATCCTCGCACCAACGCCGGGACCACGTCTGACTGGCCAGGCGGGCAAGCACGCAGGGCGCTGGATCGACTTCGTGCGTTGCATGCATATACTGTATGTACTGCATGCTTGCCTCGGTTGATCGCCAAAATGGGCTTGCCCAGCGTTGGACGCAACCTCCTTGTAGTCGGCACGACTTGTCCAGAGAGCACGCCGGGTGATGAGACCAAACGAGTGGAGGGAAGACCTATTCACTCAAAACCTCGTGCCATAAGACACCCGTGACCTCGGCTTTCACAGGGCACCCGGCAAGTCGCCAGGCCATCACGGGTCCGATGCCCCCGGACCTTGTTGCCTGCCCTTTGCTCCCCAAATGCTGCACGGTATTATGCTGCGTCGTGGGACTGCGCGAGCCATGCATACCTGCGATGGACACTGTATGTACTGTGCATGTAGCAGATAGATGCACCCAGTCTGGTCCTGCGACGCACGCACTACTGCTAATGCGGGCCATGCTGCTGATGCTGCGTCGACAATTACTGTACATGCTGTCCATCTTGGCCTCACCGATATGCACGTCGAACGGAGGGGGGCGGCTCTACCACTACTTAGCCGCTGCTGCCCTCGCTCGGGGTTGCCAAAGGAGGCAGACAGAGAGCGGGCCGAGTCGTTGGCCCCCCTCCCGTGACGGCTGCTCCCTTTCCTCGATGGGAGTAGCTGCCTGATCTGAGCAGAGATTGGGGTGGGGGGGGGGGGGGGGGATGGCTTCTCAAGAGCAGGAGAGCTGATCTGACTCGACACCGTCTACAAGGCTCGTGACGACTTTGAATGCGGCCGCTCTCGGCTACCCTCAAGCATGGCACCGGCCCTGAGCCCGTTCATGGTATGCCGGCCTGTATCATTCCACCCAGTGAAACAGGCATATGCACTTGGTGTCTAAGTCCATGTCTGTTGCAAGGATGCTCGACATTATTCACCTGTGTCGAAACGGCAGTGACGGCCTCGCCAGGTCATCATCCATAGGCTAGAGAGAAACAAGACTGGCTATCGTGCGCTTAAATTTTCCAATTCGTCATTGCAGGGCTCTCGTTTCCTCCGTCCACGGCCAACCTGCATCTGACGTCGTCATTGTTCATTTTGATCACGAACATCAACATTTTTTCCCCGATGGACAGGCAAGAAAAGGTCAGCCCAGGAATATCTCTCAAGGTAGCATGATGGCTCTACTCTGCAGCATCCTGGCAGAACGCTCACTGCGCTGACTTGACGTAGCTATGGGAAGATCCAAGACGGCAAGTCACGAGTCTTGCCTGCCGCTCTTCTCGAATCTCGAGGTCACTGCTCATCAGGCTCGGCCCCATGAGTGCTGCTCAGCCGTAGCACATAATGCGGCACTGGCGACGTGAAGCGCAGGACTCAGTCCAGACGTTTCGGCAGCTAGGCCGCATTAATTTGCATGGAAGCGGCGAGGGTTTGGTTGTTCGGAATGTACCCTGCAGAGGGTTCGCAGACAAGCCCGCCGGGGTCCCAAACGAGGAGGTGTTTTCCTTTGGAACGCCGGGGCCGAAGCGTATGGCCGGGCATCACATGATGCGCGTCAACGGATGTATGCAAAGTGTGGTGGGCGCACTCGTCTTTACATCTCACTTGACCATCGCCTTGCTGTTGCATGAGGCGGCAGCAGCCAGGCCAGCCGCCTCCCATCACTCTCCCTGCACAGGAGGGCCGGCATAGTTCTTGTGGCCCCAAGCCCAGTACCAAATCCCCGAGATGGCCATGGCGGCCACGAAGACGGCCGGCGCGTAGTTGACAGTCGCGGCGGTGACAGGGATCGTCGATGGCATGCAGAACAGAGGCAACGCCAGCAAGGACCAGGCTAATGAAGTGAGCAGCAATGCCATGAAATGGGGGAGCAAGGGGTTACACACCAACGGCGACGACATTGCAGACTACGCCAATGGGGCCGAGGTAGAATTGGCCCGTCTTGACCTGCTTCCTGCCACTGAAAAGGCTTATGGCGATGGGGACGGCGTAGGAAGCCGTGAGGCAAATGACGCCGACGCCGGAAAAGGCGTTGAAGGCGGCTGAGGAGCCAAAGTTGATGAGGGCGAGCACGATTTGCACTACCATGCTCAGCATCATGGCGTTGAGAGGCACGTCGAGCTTGCGGTTGACCTTCATCCACCAGCGAGAACCGGGAATGGCGCCGTCGCGAGCAAAGGCCCAGGTGCAGCGCGAAGTGGCCGTGGTGCACCCGATGCCGCATATGAGGGCCAGCACCATGATGGGAACGAGGAGGCCAAAGGCGCCGCCCGAAGAGCCAACGGCATCCTTGATGATGGCGGGTACCGGCTGGCCGGCGGAAACCTGGATGAGGGTCGGGATGTCCGGAAGGACAAAGACGAGGGGGATTAGGAAGAGCAGGCCGGCGACGGTGTTGATGAAGATGGTGGCGACCATGGCTTTGGGGACCTGGACCGATGGCTTTTGTACTTCCTCGCACATGCTGTGGAACGGATGGTCAGCGAGGACGAGGAGGGCTGGGGCTCGGAAGAGCCATAGCCGACGGAAACGAGGCTTACGAGACGATCATGCCCGTTGACGAGGTGGCGTAACCAGCATGCAGAAGGCCGACGCAAAATGACCAGCCATCAGGCCAGCCCGAGCTGGTCTCGAAATGGGTGAAGACGTATTTGGCGTCGTGGCGGCCATTCTTAGCAATTGCGAGGACGGACACCATGATGGCGATGACACCAGCAAACGTCCAAAAGATGGCACCGGTCTCGATGCAGGTCAGCAGGGACCAAGGGCAAAGAGGCGGGGGGGGCTCACATCAAGCCAAGGAAGCCATCGATTGCCGAGGGCCGACACTGCGTTGCACATGAAGGTGATGGCGAGAAAGACGAGGAAGACCTGATAGTTCGTGCCTTCGAAGACGCCGACGCCGGGCGCCTTTTCGAAGACGTTAATGCACGAGACGAAGAATAGGGTTGTACCAAAGTTGACGGCCAGGGTGATTGTGATGTTGCCGACAACGTAGAGCCAGCCACAGATCCAGCTGGCAACGCGACGCCAGCGAGGAGAGGCCAGCATAAAGGCCTGATAGTAGACACCTGCGTAAGAGAAGAATAATCAATCACACGAGCTTGAAGACGAGAGCGTGGGCATTCCGGGCGGGCTCTGCGGCAGAACAAGAGACGTGTAAGTACCTCCGGCTGTGGGATAGACACTCGTGATTTCACCAAGGGACGAAGCAACACAGACAATGATTGCGGAGACCAAGAGCCAGCCCCAGATGATGTTGACGGGCCCGCCTCCGACGAGCGGGTAGTTGAGGGTTGTGGCGAGGCCATAGGGGATTGCAGCCAGGACAAAGGACATGAAGGCCACCTGCAGCGTCGAGCGAGTGCGCGCCAGCTCTGGCTTGTAGCCGAGGTTCTCAAGGAGCTGGTCGGCCGAGTCATTTTCACCCGTCGACAACCGCGGGGGAAGCTGGTCGGTCTTGGGGTCGGCGCTGCTGCTGGCCTGGTCCGGGTCGTGCTTGAGATTGGGGACACCCATGGTAGCGGAACCGGAAGGGAAGTCTAGTCGGTTGAGTCGAGGGAAGGCCGGACGGAACAGCGAGGCTCGTCACCAGACACGCAGGAGAAGCACGCGAGAAGCCAGCGGAGGCAGCACGAGCGAGGGAGAGCGAGGGAGAGAGAAGCGACAAGACGCGAGGGCCTCTTTCTATCCTGAAGGTGGGGGAAGACGAGAGGAAAGCCTAAAAATAAAGAAGAGAAGAACGGGAGCAACAAGGTATTGGTTGCACCCGGAGGCCTAGCGTGGGGAGCCAGGTGTGGCGGAGACGGGGCGTGGGTGCGCAAAGCCACGACTGGTCGAAGGTGTTTGGGTGTGTCGCGCCCTCCGGACGAGCGATGGGTGTTGTGTGCCGGTCTATTGTTGTTGTTACGGTCTGGGGAAGAGAGGATGGGGAAAGGAGAGAAGGAAAATCAACGGTGGAGGCGGGGGTTGAGGCTCTCGACTCGAGCCCAAGAGAGGAAGGAGCCAAGGGCTAGTTATTTAATGCTCTTAGTCGGGGGAGCGAGGCCAGTGGCGTCGTCTGACAAGAAGTGGCGCCTTCCCAATCGAGAGGCCTGCCGAGGACCCGGCTCAACCAAATGAACTGACGAGCCCCACTGCCCATTGAGGAATTTACGGCACGCACATAAGATTTTTTTTACTCAAAAAAAGGACAGGACCGTAATTACCGTGGTTATGTCTGTGCCAATAAAACAAACCTTGGAGACGAGACGCGGTGGAGAGGGCATGTTTTGGCATGAAGAAATGGGGGCTACAACAATATCACGCTTTCAGCAGGTACCTTGCACCTATGTAACTTAGTACTCCGTACGGCGACTGCATTCGTCCAGGTCCGGGGACAAGCCAGGAGAGCAGTGGAGAATGGGAGCCGTTGTCGTCTCCCATTGGATGCCTTTTGTTCACGGGCGATTCAGGTCGCAGGCCCAGGCCCCGCTCGACGACGACTGTGTGCAGGGCAGGGCTAGGTTAGCCGGGGCAGTACAGTTTGAGATACCTCCCGACTTACTGTGCGCCACCGTCATAGGACGTGCCAAGACAAATGTTCCCAAGCAGTGCAAGCACTGTACCGCCAGCCCCTCCGTACAGTACGGCCCAAAATCGTTGTCGCCGAGGCACACATCTACGTCATCGTCCATAACTATTGGGGGGCAAACGGCGTGGGGAAGGTATAGAAAGATCCACGTGCGCTGGGCCTCGGCGTCCGGCGCCCACGGAACCTGGAGTCCTAGACCACGAACAGGGCCAATAATTTAAGGCTCGTCCTTCTTTTCGACTTGATCCACTTATTCGATTAAAGACGCAGACATGCCTACGTACCGTCTTGCCTTGGCATTCATTTGCACGTGCCCCGAGGCCAAAGAGATGAGATGGTGGCCCAGCTACGGCCAAATGAGGAAGAGTTTCAGCGCATTTATTTGCACAACCACCACTCCTGTACGAAGTACTGTACAGTAGCACAGCGCTCCACTGCAGCCCCCCTGGCCTCCCGGTCTTTCTTCAATCTTTGGGGGCTCATGCATCTGTTGGAAAGCCATGCGTGGGGCTGAGGAACAAGTGCAGCCGCATAAGCGCCGAGCATCCGTCTCGCTTGACCGGCCCGAGCCAATTTGCCTCATCGTATTGCTCGCGCACTTGCAGCCGCCGAGTTTAAATTCGCGAGGTGATCGATTAGCTAAGTTCGTGCCTAGGCTCTTTGTGAGAGTGAAGATGATTGGATTGAGTAGCTGCCCGCCCCTCATGGTATGACTACATTGGCCACACGTGACGGTCTTAATCCTCCAGTAGACTGCAAGTACCCAGTTACATCTGGCAGGGCCACTCTCCTCTTTGATCTCTGAAAAGAGGCAAAAGGAAGAGTGAGGATTACGGGCACGAGCCTTAAGGGCTCGTGCCGCTTAGACTGACTAAGCTAGGCTGGCCCAATCATCAACCACCTCGGTAGCATCTTCAGCCAAATCTTCTCACGTCAAATCTTCATCGACAGACGTCCACTAACCTCCACCATGTCCCTGGACGGTTCCCCTTGCATACACGACCCCGGGAAGCTTATAATGGCCACGTGCTGAGTCGCCGACTTTTACTCCTGTCGATGCTCAGAGAAAATACGTGGTCAGACAAGAAGATTGATTAAGGTCTATGTCTCTCTCTGTCTCCTCGCCCCAAAAGATGGGCCTTTTCTACCCCTCTTTGCCCTGATGGTCTCCTCTTGTTGTAGTGGTCCTACTTCCTTCCTCACTCAGGTGGGGACGCTGAGAAACATCAGGCAAGATGAAATTGTTTAGATGTCGGACCCCACGCGCCACGCCTGCAGACGTCAATCTCCAGCCTCACCCGATGCCGCCTTCGACGCCAATCGTCTGATATGGATGCCCGGCGGTACGAGGTCTACCGAGTGGCATAAGAGGAGATGAAGACCAGCCACCACAAGTTCTTCTCGCGTCCTATTTCAGGGCGCCCAATGTTGAACACCACGAATAGCTCGCAAGGTTGTCCATGAGGCAGGTCTTGGCCTGGAGGAGCGAGGTCGGCAGCGAGCGAGCAGGGCCTACTGCCAGTGGCAGGATCGTCAGTCCCAGGAACCAGAGCAGCTGTGCGGTGACCCATGATCTGGAGGGCTAGAAGCCGGAACGCTAGGACCCACGCAGGCTGTGAGTGTCTGGCTCATGCTTTCTCGACTACTACTTACCAGATGTTGCAAGCGACGGCGAGGCCTCGGGCTGTGCGGTGTGTTGATGTTTCGCTGAACATGGCCAAATCTCGATATATGACCGGTCTGCTGGGACTGGCAAATGCATCATGCCGAGAAAAGCAAAATACCTGGGACGGTAGTCGTCGATGTGGCCCGTGTGGTTCTGATGCTCTGCGATATATCATTGAAGAGTACCTAGGTGCTGGCATGGGTCCAATTACAAGGTTTTGGGTGGAAAAAATAACCCCTGAAGAGGTTGGTTGAAAATCGTCGTTCATCTTGTCCAGGGTGAATGGGGCATGGTGATCTAGCAGGATCTAGAGAGCCAGCCTGAATCTCGCTTATATTTCGGGGCTAAGACTGTAATATTATCTGGCCGTCGGCCAAGGGTTTGACATGGATAAGAGGAGACGGGTGAGACCAATCGGGCAGTTGTACAGTATGTCGGCGTGGAGCAGATGTGAGCTGAATCACGGCAGTACTGGAGAATCGGTGTTGCATCGACAACCATGGGTGCGTGCAATGAGTTGGAAAGTATAGGAGTTAATGGATGATATACAAACGCCGAGATACACAACAAGGTTTTGGGAGCGCAACAGACCCGATGCCACGAGGCATGCTAATGGCGGGCTCTATCGGTGACTCCATCAAGGTTATGTATAGCTTGCGTGGAAGTACACGAGCAACTCGGCCCTTCATGCAGCTTGTTCAGGAGCGCGCCTTGGCCTGCAAGCTCGCGACTGGGAGATGGCATGGGGAAATGATGACTTGTTCGATGAGTGAGAAGCCGCACGGGCGTCAAACTTGCGAGTGTCCCTCGGCAAAAGCTCGGCAAAGGACACAAGTGTCCGATGACGTGGCGAGGCCCAATGGAAGGGATGGCGAGAGGGTCAGCCGCGTCCGCCGTTGTAGTCGGCGCCGCCGGCCTTGCGCAGGCGGGCAACGACATCGTCTTGGTCGAGGTCGGCGCGGTCGCTGGCGGTGAGGGCAATACTGTGATGGGCCAGGACGCGCTTGACGTCGCCGCTCTCGACGCTGACGCGGGCCTTGCGCATGACCTTTGTGCGCTCGCCGATCCAGACGACGAGGGCAAACTTGACGCGGGTGCTTTCGGCGTCGTTTGCGTACTCGACGCGGGCGTAGCCGTACTGGACCTGGGTGTCGTCGAGGGCGGCGGCCAGGTCGGCAAGGGGGCCGGTGCCAGTCTGGGCGAGCGTCAGGCGGTTGCCGTCGGCGTAGGAGATGAGCAGCCAGGTGGTGGCGTCCTTGTCGCTGCGGACGGACTCGTAGGCGGCGGCAATATCGGGCGAGTCGAGGCCGCTCATGGTGGATGGATTGTGGTTGGATGATGGCGAGTCTGCGTTGGGACAGTGTGGCAGGGGTGCTGCAGCGGGACCAGTTACGGATGGGTACTTGTAACCAACGGCTTGGCCTAGACAAAGAGGGCCTTGGAAAAAAAGAAAAGCCCATCAGCGACACGGACAGATTAAGAATAATACTCTGTTTCTTCCCAATTCTCCCTTGTAATACGGATACAAATACCCCCGATGGACAACAAATAATCGTCGAAACTGGACGTTGGATTCGTCCTAAGGGCACACGCAGAGACGTCTTCATCTGCCCCGCTCCTGGAAGCTGAATGGCAGTACAAAAGTGCTTCCATGTTCAAGCAGTTGTTTCAGATAAGTAATTGCTATTCTTGATTGATGTTTTAACAAATCATGGCCTCATAAATACGTGTTGGAATAATGTATTTTAGGCACTGGTGACTCCTCGCCCTATGCCCAAGACCGGCATCATCGTCCATCGTGTACTGACGCCCGTGCTTTGCTCAGTCGGGCTCTGAGGCTTCCACGTCCCGCACGAGCGCCCAGCATTTGCGCATCCCCGTGCCCATGGACTCGTCGTCGACGTTCCGGCTCCATCGGCGGGGCTGCGTCGGCGTCCTGCCCTCGGCCAAGTCACACTGCTTGCCCTGGGCCGCCAAAAAGAGATGGACGTGCATGGTGAGTTTGATATGCGAAAAGAGCCATGGCACGCTGCCCAGCTCGCCGACGTGTACGAGGCCTTGGGCACTCGCGCCCGACCCTTTGACCAGTGTCGCCGCGTGCGAGCGGGCCAGCTGCGTCCGCTTCTTGGCCGATGTCGACCCGGACGAGCTCATGGCCGTGCTGGGCAGCTCCCACAGCCCAGCCAGCAAGCCCTTGGGCAGCCGGCGCTGTATCAGGTAGGACCCGTCTGGGTGCCGAATCGCGCACACGACCGTCTCTTCCTCCCGGACCGCCTTCTTGGCAATCTTTGCCGGGAACCGGCGGGCGTAGTCTGCAATCGCTCCCGCCGACGCTCCTTTACGGCTTCTTGGTTGCTTACGTGGGGACACAGACGATGCATTGCTGCCGTCCTTGACTTGAAAGCCAAAGTCGGCCAAGGAAAGCCGGTTTGGACCGGCCTGACGCTCATCCGCTTTCGACTGCAGAGGTCCATCTTTTCCAATGGTTTCTTCGAACGGTAGACATAGTCCGCAGAGGTCTTCCATGTCCATCCGGTCGTTCATTCCGGCCCCGTTGGCAAATGCCTTGCCTTCATTGTAGACGCGGCAGGTTGAGGTAATGGGACATGATGAGCAGTCGGGCTTGGGCGTGCACACGGTACTGCCCAGCTCCATCAACGCCTGTCCCCAGCGCCCAGGCCGGTCCGTCAGAGACACTGGTCCGTTGGCGACGGAGGCCTCGCCGTCGTCGGCAACGGCCTTGACGAGAGCGTCGGCGGCGGCCCAGACGGCGTCAATAACGGCCTTGTCGGCCTTGGCGTTTGCGTAGATGCCGAGCTGGCGGCTCAGGACGCGCAGCACGTTGCCGTCGACCATGGGCTCGGCCCGGCCAAAGACAATGGCGGAGATGGCGCCGGCCGTGTAGCGCCCGACGCCGGGGACGCGAGCGGCGAGGTCGGCGGGGGTGGCGGGCAGCAGGCCGCGCATTTCGGGGTCATCGACGACGAGCTTTGCGGCGTCGTGGATGCGGGTCGCACGGCTGTAGTAGCCCAGGCCGCGCCAGGCAGCGAGGACGTGGTCGGCGTGGGCGCGGGCCAGGTCACGGATGGTGGGCCAGCAGGCCATCCAGCGGTTCCAGTAGTCGACAACGACGGCGACCCGCGTCTGCTGCAGCATGATTTCGCTGATCCAGATCTCGTAGGCGCGAACCTCGAGGGCGCGGCGCAGCTGGACGGGGTCGTCGGAGAGGGCTGGGTCAATCCATGGCTTGCGCCAGGGCATGGCGCGCGTAGTGCTGACCGAGTCGAACCAGGACAGCAGCGAGCGGCGGTGCTCGGCGGCGGCGTGGCCGCTGAGGAGGAGGGGACGGTGATAATCGAGCGAGTGCAGGCGGGCGGGCGCAAGGCACGGCTGGGGGTCCGCCGTGGTCGAAGAGGAGAAGAGGCGAGGATGCAGGTCGGGCTTCTTGGCGCCGCTGCGAGAGGCCGCCGCGACCTTGCGCCTCTTGGAGACGGCCGGTTGGTGTCCATCGGCCGGCGAAGACGAAGACGACGACTCGCCAGGCTGCTTTGGAGTCGGAGTCGGGATTTCTGGCCGTTGCCTCTTTTGCCCTGCGCCCGCCCTGCCCGCTGTCGACAGCCTGGCGGATCTTCGAACCATTGAAGTCACCCTTCCTGGATCACTGCCCCCTACTACTTCAGTAAAGGTGGTGAATGAGATGAAGACTGGGGTCGTGAGATCAACTCGTCGCTCAACGTTGAAGGAAGATGGCGCGAGCTGCCAATCAGAAATCGGCCCTTTCCCGCCAATCGTAGGCCGCCGTTCGCCGTGCATTTCTTCGTGCCCCCCTTTATCAGGACTCCGACCAAGCGTTTGTTTGCCTTTATTTATTTTATTTTGCCATGGCTTGCCGCTGGAATACGAATACTTGGCATAGAGCGCTCTTATAATGCTGTTTCTAGGTGATGCTCCATTTATCCTCTCGTCACGGTTCGCCATTGATGCATTCCGTGCGACCGCATTCCTTATATATCACGTCGATACGGTATCCGTACTCAGCAGGTAGGTTTCGGGGTTCTTTATAAAAAAGGAAGCATAACGGCATTGAAAAGTTGCTTCTGCTGCGCGGGAGGAGCCATGTGGGACGCGGTCTGTCGGTCGAATCCCACATTGGGTTTGCAGAGAATTCAATGCAACGCCAAGCTCCTGTCCCCTACATAATTACTACATGTGCAGTTTCAACCTTTCTTGCTCAAGCAGCCAATGAGCCGCGCCCTCCCCGGGACTCAGGACCCTTTTGGAACCCCCGCTTGGCATGCTTTACTTTCCAATCTCACTGTATATGCTGCCTCTCTCTCCAAGTTTTGCCAAGGTGCAGCCTGGGCTCATCGACAAACCGGTTTTGTCTCAAGTCACATCGTTGCGATTAAGGTTGGGGTAGGTTTCACAAGGGGGGGATTAATTGCAGCCCGCCTATAGCTACTAACTTACGTCGTACTTTGATCACGGTCAGACAAACGGCGGGCCAATGGCTTCGTCTCGTTCGTTTATTGGCGTCAGGGTGCAATTGATCCGTACTTCGTACTTTGCATAGATGAAAGAGAAAAAAACCGGCCCCGTTCCGCGTCCCCCACGCCGACTGTTGACACCCTTCTCCTTCCACTCCTCCTCTCCGCCGGCCACCATGGCGCGACACTTGGACGGCAAACCCCAAGGCCCTGCCAACGCCGATGCCGATCCGTCGCTGGAAAAGGCTCCCCGCGACGGCGTCACCCACGTCCAGGGCGCTGCCAGCTTCCTCGAGTCCTCCCGGCTGGATCCCTGGTCCAGGACGAGCCTTCAGCTATACATGATCTTGCTCGTGGCTGCGCTCAATGCGACTGCCTCGGGCTTTGATGGCGTACGTGCATGTGGACAGACATCAAACGATACCTAGTGGCGTTGGATCGCAGGCAGCGATACTTGGCGCTGATGACCCACGCAGTCCATCTTCAGCTCCATCAACGCCATGAGCCAGTACCAGGACTACTTCCACCAAAAGGAGCTTGGGTCCAACACGGGCATGTGAGCTTGCCGACTGTCCACACCTTGCTTGCACCTGCTTGCACCTGGCTGACCCTATACACTAGCATCTTCATGATGTTCACCGTCGGCAACATGATTGGATCCCTCTTCACCGGCCCCATCTGCGACCACTTTGGCCGTCGCATCGGCATGATGTCCGGCTCCGTCTTGATCGTCGTCGGGGCTGCCGTCCAGACTGCCGCAAAAAGCGACGCCTACCTCCTGGGCGGCCGCTTTGTCCTGGGCTTTGGCGTCTCCATCGGGACCTCGTCTGCCCCGACCTACGCCCTCGAGCTGGCGCCGCCCCAGTGGCGAGCCCGCGTCGTCGGCTATTACAATACCTGTGAGCAAGCCGTGCCCTTACCTGAGCTGGATCCTCTGCTCACCGGCTCCCCCGCAGTCTTTTACACGGGGTCCATCCTGGCCACGGGCGTGGCTTACGCCTCCAGCAAGTCGCCGGGCGAGCTGGCCTTTCGCCTCCCGCTATCGCTGCAGGTCATACCTCCCTTGTTCATCTTCGTCGGAGCCGTCTTTATACCGGAATCGCCCCGCTGGCTTACCATGTGGGGGAAGAGGGACCAAGCCGCCCGCATCCTGGCCAAGTATCACGGAGGCGGCGACCCCGACCATCCTCTCGTCCAGCTCGAGCTCCGCGAGTTCGAGTCAAACATTGAGCTCCAAAAGACGTCGAGCGTCTGGAACTACTGGGCCCTCGTCAACACGCACAACGCTCGATGGCGCTTTGCCATGATGGCCTTCATGTCCGTGTTTGCTCAGCTGTCCGGCAACTCGGTGCTGACGTATTACCTGCCGTCCATGTATAAGCTGCTCGGAATCGTCTCGACGGAGCGCCGGCTGCTGCTCACCTTCATGAACTCGATTGTGTCTTGCGCGGGCGCCGTCGCCGGCTCAGCCACCAACGATCGCATAGGTCGGCGCACCAAGCTATGGGTTGGCAGTTTCGTCCTCGCTGGGCTTTTTGGTGCCGTCACTGGATTCTCTAGTCAGTTTGGAGGTCAGAAGCAGGTCGGCATTCGCCTCTCCAATGGTGGAGTCGCATTTGTGAGTCCGCACTTTGGTGCAGGACTATGGGCGCACACAACCACCCGCTATGCTGACTTGTTTGTGTCCCCCTCTAGATCTTCCTCTTTGGATGCGCATACTCCTTTGTCTACACGCCATTGACCGCCACCTACTGTGCCGAGGTGCTCGCCAATCCAACCCGTGCCAAGGGCATGGGCGTGGTAAGCCCCAAGCCATCGTCTTTGCGTCCAATTTCCCAGACTCACCTCGGCAGCACGTCATCCTCTCCAACAGCGCCAACCTGTACAACTCGTACGTGACAGCCATTGCGCTCGATGCCCTGGACTGGCGGTACTATCTAGTCTTTGTTGGCTTGAACATGATTTACGGCGTTGTTTGGTACATCTTTGGCGTGGAAACTCGCGGGAGGACTCTTGAGGAAATGGACGTCGTGTTTGACGCAAAGTTTCCGCCGCGCGCCGCTCACCAGAAGACGACTGTGCCGAGGAATGGCGACCGGAGCCCCGAGATCTGAAGCAGTCAATGGTAGCTGCATGTCCCAGGCGTGGAGCTGGTTCTCGACAGACTCTTGTCTGAATACTACGGCTCTTGTACTTGCCGCTTTGCCCTTGTCCAGTCAAGGCTGTGATGGGCCTAGTTTTGTCTCGGGAAGAGGCTCCTGAATGTACCCGGCTTGGTGCCGTAAAATGACCAGATCAACAAGTGAATAATAAGGGTGTTATCCTTAGCCAGTCGACATCGACATCCAACATAACTTTAGAGCAACTAGCTTTAGCCGACAATGACCGACCATTCATGTCCTTCCTATCTATGAGATATAGTCCGAGGGCTTTTATTAATTGACGATTTAAAAATGCGGCATAAAGCTCCGATAGGGGTTATTTCATCAAAACAAAGGGAGGCAACCCCATGACACATATGCTGCCTAGATGTCAAGATAGCTCCAGATGTGCTAGGCTGATTACGCGTTAAAACAGATAAAACAACGCTGAGTTGAGTGACGTTAGACGCTCTTGCTTCTATCGTTTAAGCCTCAGTTGCATGTTGAGGGAGGTTTGTCGTGGCGATGAGGCATTCTCCTCTACACGCCGGGATTTATTGTAGCGATCGGGCCTATTTGAAACGGAACTACTGAACTGCTGTAAAGATGGTTCTCAAGGCACCTATAATCTTTCGATACTGTCGATATAAAATCACTTATAGTCGTGACTTCGGTCGGGGGAAAGGTTACAAATCGCTCCTAAGTCCTCGATTTCCATATATTCCTCATAGCTTCGAGTCCAGTCTCATGGATTACTGGTTTACAGCATTGAATAGGCAGTATGGTAACGAATTGGTTGTTGATCCACTGGTTGCACCCCTCCTCTTTCAATGGAAACCGACTTAAGGAATACTCTTGATTCCCATTACCTTTTCAAAACAACCAAGAACTACCTGGACCGCAATCCATAAAGCCTATAAGTCTCCAGCAGTTTAGTCCTTCATTCGTCATATGAGCTGACATTACGGTTCCACTTACCTGTTCTAAAGAATTTGTCTTTAGAGGCCGAGCTTCTGCAGGAGTCCACTCAGGAGACCACCGTTTTCTTCGCCTTCTCCTTTCTTGTCGTCCTTCTTGTCGTCCTTCTTGTCGTCCTTCTTGTCGTCCTTCTTGTCGTCCTTCTTGTCGTCCTTCTTGTCGTCCTTCTTGTCGTCCTTCTTGTCGTCCTTCTTGTCGTCCTTCTTGTCGTCCTTCTTGTTGTCCTTCTTGCCGTCCTTCTTGTCGCCAGGTGGTGGCGAAGGCTTCTTATCGCCAGGCGGAGGAGGCTTCTCCTTGTCGTCCTTCTTGTCGCCAGGTGGTGGCGGAGGCTTCTTATCGCCAGGTGGTGGCGGAGGCTTCTTATCGCCAGGTGGTGGCGGAGGCTTCTTATCGCCAGGTGGTGGCGGAGGCTTCTTATCGCCAGGTGGTGGCGGAGGCTTCTTATCGCCAGGTGGTGGCGAAGGCTTCTTATCGCCAGGCGGAGGAGGCTTCTCCTTGTCGTCCTTCTTGTCGCCAGGTGGTGGCGGAGGCTTCATGTCGCCAGGCGGTGGCGGAGGAGGAGGACCATCACGGGGGTTGAGCTCAGCCGCTCTCGTATCGAAGCTCTCCAGTTCCTCTGTGACTTGCCCCTCGGAATTCTGCACTGGGGCACTCAAGGCCCCAGCGCAAAGCGAAAGAACAACGATGGCGTCTCGCACTCTCATTCTGGCTGGTTGAATACGGGCACAGATTTCGGAGATTAAGCACACGTGCTTAGATAAAGTTCTGTTTCCAGGTGCGCAACGTGGAACGGAAGCAGCTTTTATGCTTGTGTCGCATCGTCACAACAAGTCACATTCTGTCAACAACGGCTGATGCGAGAATGGCCATCTCGATAAGCTAGGCAGAGACATTGTGGCTTTTTCTACCCCAAATACATACCTGAAGACTATCATCGCTCTGTTGCACGGCTAATGGGGTTGAGTCTACCGTGCTACCATTCCTCTACGTCACAGAGCGTCGAAATCCGAGACAGCCCAAGCCAGAAGTTCATAACAACGTTGGAGGCTTTCGTCAAGGCCGCGGTTTCTGCTCCTGCACCGTGCAAGCTTTCGGCCAAGCATGCCAATGCAGGACTTAAGATTGCTGCTCCGAACGAGCTGTCTAGGGTTGTGAAACAGACGAGGCCAATTCAAGGTTAGGGGCTTGGAAGCACGGGATAGTGTAAACGCACATCGTTTGATTGGCTGCTTGAAGCCAAACCATTGCCACCTCCGTGCCAGCGCGAAGCGACAAGTGCAGTACTTGGGGCACTACCTCTAGCTCTTGCAAGACGCTTGCTCGATGGCGGTGCAGTCTCTCCAGACCGAACTTGCTTGGTTCCTGATATTATACCAGAAAGCTTGCTGAAGCAATCAAGAGAAAGCTTACACCAGCTCAACCCATTTGGCTGCCTATAATCCGGTCTCTTCCGTGTGATTTCTGGAGCGAGGCATTTTACCTGTTCCTTTGCCTTCCTTTGCGACTCCTCTGTTTTGGAAGCCCAGAAGCACGATTGATCGGGGTTTTTTTTAAATGCACGCAATTAAAGAAAAACATATTAATTATCGCGGCATTCTCAACCTCTGCTAAGGAAGCGGTTGCCCTGCGCAGGAGAAGGCTAGGAAGCGCTCTGGATATCTGTACATGTAGGCGAAATCCCTCTCAATTATGATTTTCTTTGCAGCCCCGGCAAAGACTGACCTTCATATGCTTGATACTCTAGATTGTGTTCATAGGCAGGCGAAGGATGAGAGTACTGCAGAATGGGTTCAAAAGTACACAAACATGAGTATGATCACTTTTCCTCAAACGAATCGGGCTTGACTCGCGCGTAAATAGCCTTTATCCCTGTCACTTCTTGATGTCTACACATCTCGGTGAGTTCTTAGCATTGATCTACCCTAGCATCTACGCATGCAGGCTGGGCGTTTTCCGCTGAGGTTTCGTCTCCTTAAAAGATACTCATAATTATTTGCTAGAAATGTCCTCCGTGAAAGAGAAGTTCCACCATTCATATGATTCACCGGTCGATTGGGGACAGTAATGATGGTGGGACGGAGAGGAGGCTCCGAGACGCGATACAAGCCTGGGTCGAACGTTCCCTTTCCTCTAGACGCTGATTAACTGTATGATAGATACAGGAGTCGTGAAAGTTTCTTGGCGGTGCATTTCTCATTCTCCTGATCTGATTTTGTTGTCGCCGCCACTCCCCTAAGGTGTCTCTGTCTTTGATACAAACCTGGTAGAGTTGTAGCATATATCTAATGCAAAAAAGGAAAGAATAAGTCGAATATCTTGTATAAAGATGCTTTATGTCTTATTATCCCTAGACTTTTGGGGCTGATCGGAATCATTCTCGCCTCTACCGTTGCCGACAACGAGGATTGGCCGACGACGAGCAAGTGGCATTCCGCTGCCGGAGCTTTGTGTCAAGCCACGGTAGCCTAAAAGCATCCCGATGTGCCGCTAGAGTATGCGTCTCTACCAGCATAAGTATAAATAGAGTCGACTCTATAAAGTCTACGGAGAATATGGCTTAACGCATCCGAATACACACAAATGTGATCATTTTATATACAATTCTTTTTAGTCTCAGAACTATTTGTGCGAAGCTAACCATAGCTGTCTGCTCCAGGAGCAGCATGTGCCTCTTATCTTCGTCTCTATGCTCAGACAGGGAGAAGCTGCAGCCTATCATTGTTAGAGTGCCGTGCCTGCCTTCTCCGCATCCATGATGGCCATGCGTAGCTCTCTCTGGCTACTCCTAGCCGCAGCTATTACTTTGGCAAACACATCTTTGGCTGCTGTCGTTGCGCAAAATCATTCTCTATGCTCTTAAATGCGGGCGAGGACATTACTAACCCTTGTCACGCAATTGCCTTGTGGCTTGAAACCAGACCTCGACGCCGAATTGGCGGAGCTTATCGTGTCGTCTTCGGCCCGCACTTCTTTGCGTCGCGATTCTCTCATTGCGCTCAGAGCAACCGACAAAGCACCAAGTGGATACAAGCCAGCGCCCGTCCGGTGCCCTATGAAACGCCCGGTCATACGGGAAGGCCCTTTTCTATCGCCTCAGGAGCGTCATTGGCTTCCTCAACGCCGCAAGGAGACAGCGTCGCACATGCGTGACCTACTAAGACGCATCAACATCCCAGGCTTTGACAGTGATGAATATTTTCAAGACGACGGGGACTTGCAAGCGCTGCCTAACATTGGCATCGCAGTATCTGGCGGCGGTTACCGCGCGTTGCTCAACGGAGCCGGAGTCCTCGCCGCCTTTGATAGTCGCTCGGAGAGCAGTAAGTCCAAGGGCGGCCTGGGTGGCTTGCTTCAGAGCGCAACCTATCTTTCCGGCCTATCTGGTGGAGCGTGGCTTGTGGGGAGTCTGTTCTCCAATAACTTTACCTGGTCCAAGATGCACTTCGCTCGCCAAAAATTTGGCATTTTGAAACCAACATTATTGGCTACACGAAAACGTCCGACAGCTTTGCTGACAACCTCAAGCGATGTAAGCAGTGAATAGTTCGACACAGACTTTGCCGTCCTTGAATCCAAAGGCTGACCTTGCTGCAAAGCCTTGGTATCGTTTGGAGACCGTTTGAGCGACATTTTTAACCGTGTTTGGCAAAAGGAACTGGCCCATTTCCCAACCTCCATAACGGATTTCTGGGGCCGCGCTCTGTCCTACCAGCTTGTCGATGCTCCTTCAGGTGACCCCGGATTAACTTTTTCGTCCATTGCCGAGGATCGAGAATACTCGTCAGCCAAGACTCCATTGCCCCTTATTATCGCTGACGGCCGTTCCCCCGGCGAGATTCTGATACCAGCCAATACTACCATCTTCGAGTTCTCGCCCTGGGAGCTCGGTTCTTTTGGCCAGTCCGTCAATGGCTTCGCTCCTCTCATGTACATCGGTTCTCGTTTTGACAAGGGAAAGCTACCAACGTGCGAAGAATGCATCAATGGGTTTGACAACGTTGGCTTTGTGATGGGCACTTCTAGTTCCCTGCTTAATCAAATTCTTGTCGAGCTCAAAAAAGGCTCAACGGATTGCCTCCCCGCCGGAATAACTTCAAATTCTATTTTCAAACTGCTCAAAATAGTGACTCTACCGACGCTAGACTTCGTCGTTGATTCTATTCTGAATCAGCTTTCTGCTCAAGCGAACTGGGATATTGCCATCTGGGCTCCGAATCCTTTCGAGGGTTAGAAAAGGAACTCGATTGCTCGGTCCGACCGCTTGATGCTTGTCGACGGAGGCGAGGATGGCCATAATATTCCGTTTTACCCCCATCCCATTTATGACCGCAAAGTCGACGTCGTCTTCGCCATTGACCCGTCTAGTGATACCACGACTAGATGGCCGAACGGAGCATCCCTCGCAGCCACCTTCAAGTATACCCGGAGGACTAGCTCACAGAACATGGGCTTTCCAGCCGTTCCAGCCGAAAATACTTTCCTGAACTTGGGGCTCAATGGTAAACCGGCCTTCTTTGGCTGCGACGCGGCTAACCTATCGTCACCGTCCCCGCTGGTTGTGTACTTGCCCAACTCACCTTATGTTCTCGCATCAAATATCTCCACATTGACCTCTCTTACCTTTACCACCGGTGAGCGTGACGCTTTGGCTCAAAACGGCTGGGCCCTCGCTACGCAGCTTAATTCGACTCTCGATGGCGACTGGCCTGTTTGCGTTGGCTGTGCCCTGCTCGCACGCAGTTTTGGGCGTACAGAGACGCCGCTCCCCGGTAAGTGCCAGCAGTGCTTTGATAGGTACTGCTGGGACGGAACCGTTCACGATACAAACCCTCCGTCATATACTCCTGTCAAGCTGGTAAAATACCGCTACACCATGCAAAATGAGGGCACCCCCGATAGAGGTGTTACTAACGCGTATTATAGGCCCTTTCTTGTCCTGACAACTCCCGAGTTGCTGGGTACGCTTATTGAGGTATAGTGGCCGACTTTCGATAGAGCCACAGCTCCTTTACCAGTAAGAAAGCGTTTTCATCTCCCGGTAGTAAATGCTCCGTGAGCATGAGGGGCGACTTCGCAATTGCGAAAAAGTCTTTCTGTAAGGGCACTGCGATGATAATCTCTACTTATGTGAAATTCATTGGCCGGTGTTATAACCCGTCAGCCCTATAAGGCTCGGGTCTCCGAGAAGCGTATCGTTAAGAGTCAGAGAAAGGCGTCTGGTTGGTTCGCTGGTACACTCGTGGCATTACTATTCCCGGCTGATATGGATCGCCGTGCCGTTAAAGGGTACCGCAAGCCTGATGAAGAGGCCCAAGCTGTGCCAGCGCTGTCGATGGCGGCGGCGGCGGCGTTAATGATGTGAAACTCCACTCTACGGAGGGCGCGCGGAATATACATACGCACACAAATCCGCGGTATCGGCGCTGCGCCTTGACCAGTTCCCACTTCACCACTTTTTTTGGAGCCAAACCTGTACAGTATTTATTACTCCGTAGTCGAGGCCCACATGCACAGTACCTAAACTAGAACGTCTTGGTTTCAGTCAGTGGCCAGGCAGCCACCGTCATCCTATGTGGATCTGGCCGAGGGCGCAAAAATCGACACGCTGGCCCCCGTGGCAGCCCCCCTGTATGTTCTGACATGATCGCTCGTATGATGTATGATACAGTAGTATGCCCTGGGGTTAGAATCAAGGAACGGACCAGCCCGTTATCCAGCTGACACGGAGTTACATGGAATGGATGCAGGGACCCAGTATGCACTCTTTCAAGCGTCGTGAGCAGTACATGCAGTCGGACGGCGGGATAATTAGGAGGAAATGGCATGCATGGACTGTCGTGGGCTGAGCTAAAGTTTGGTCCTCGTCACGTCGAACCAAGGCGGAATTGCTTGGGAAAAGTTCACGGACGTCCGCGCGGCTTCCAAAAGCCTGCCCGACCATTCTCATCAATGTAGCTCGTGGCCCGGGATTCCCGTGATGGGAACCGCCTTGGCACCGGCCGCCTCCCGCGGCTCCCGCCTACGCCTGCATGAACAGTTTAAAACCGGCTGATAATTGTCGCACAGCTGTTCCTGCAGAGTAAAGTTTGGAGTTAAGTTCAGGGTCCAGTACGGAGTAGCCGTACGTCTGTGGGGCTTGACGCGCCGGGCCCGGTTCGGCCGGGGTTGACTCCGGGTGGACCGATCAGCCTCCACTTGAAACCGACAGGGATGTTCTCTGGCCCAAGAAACCGCTCCAGGAATTCCATGGCAAGTTCACGCACAGGACGACAAGGTGGTAACTGTTCCAATAACATGTAGCTCCTTATTCAGGCATAACTTTGTCGACTTAATTCCCTCTCGTAGTTCTCAGCTTTATTTGGAAAGTTCTGACTCTGGGAAAGCTTTCCTAGTGTTGACATCGGTTCTTGCCCGATCCCTCTTTTGGACACACGTTGCCATACGGACGGGTGCACACTCCACCCACGCAAACGCTCGTACTGTAGCTACTATTGTATCCCACCAGTCGTTGACAGATTATGTAAATGTCGTACGCTGTTTCCAATTGTTCATCACTAATGGCTAACAAATCCGCACTCGCTTGGGCTTCTTTGGTTCTGCCGAGGTTCCACACCTCCCAATGATCTATCTCTCAGTATATTTTGAACTGCTCCAAAATAATCATGGTTATGCCTGCCCAGGTCATGACGCCAGGGGGAAAAAAAATCCATTGTACTCACGAACCAGGGCTGAGTAAGGGTTCGCGTCCCTCGGCCCGGAATAACAAGGAGGTTGGCCCAACAATGCGTTTGGAAAGCTTCCTGGGACATGCGAAGACTGTCTCACAGTGCTGGATCCGCTTTTTCTCGAACTATGGGTCCTCCATCAGCCACGGGGTCGGTCTGCTTAAAGAGGATAGCTGAACTCGGCCCCGTTCCCCTCGGACTGTCCGTAACATGCTCCATCGCTTTGACCCGCCAATGCGACTCGCGACGACTACGGCTATATCGGCCATGATCAACGTTTGATCTTCGTATTTTTTCGCCTGTACCTGAAGCCCTGCGCCAGACGCTTGAACCTGTTGCTCCTAGAGCATAGACCGAGAATCACATATTAGCTTTCGGACGTCCAGGCGAAACGACTCCTGTTAAGAAAAGAAGCAAGAAAACTCTTCAACCCACTAATCCGTTCTCGCTGTTACCTCAATATCTTGCTGGCCCATCCACAGCCTCTTTATACCGTGCCTCCCTCCGCCTCTGGAAGACGTTAGGAACGCTGTCATCATTCTTCTCTCCTGCCAAGCTGCTATCGCAAACCTAACTTCATTCTGTGAAAATACCACGAGTCCGCTTCTCTTCTACTTCTATTTCTTCCCTCATCACTGCCTCACAAATCTCATCTTTCCGTCACAATGGCGATTGGGGGCCAAGGTAGCGACCCAACCCTTCACCTACCTCGCATATTATGCCTCCACGGTGGCGGAACAAACGCTCGCATCTTTCGAATGCAATGTCGCGCCTTCAAGTATCACCTCGGCCGCGAGTTTAGATTTATATTCGCTCAAGCTCCTTTTCCTTCAAAGCCCGGTCCCGACGTAACTTCCGTCTACAGCAACTACGGGCCGTTCCGCGCCTGGATCCGACCAGTCGAAGAGGGCGAGGATCTGGACTTGTGTGCCACTGAGGCCTCAAAGCTGATCCAGAGCTCTATCAACACCGCAATCGACGCTGACAGCCATCTCGGAGCCACTGGCGAGGTTGTTGGGATTCTGGGCTTTAGCCAAGGCGCCAGGATTGCAGCTAGCCTCCTTTACAATCAACAGTTGCGTTGTCAACAACTTGGCAATGACTCTGAGAAGAAGGCTGAAAGCACAATGGGCTGGCCCAACTTTCGCTTTGCCGTGCTGCTGGCAGGTCGTGGCAGGTTGATTTGGCTTACGCCCGACGCTCCAATGCCCGAAGGGCTAGTCCCTCCACTGCAGCCAGCTGGTATGCCACCTCTGATGCTCGATGACGCTGTGAGCTGGGACGGCTTGCATATACAAAATAAGTTGCAGCTCCCAACCGTTCATGTACATGGCGTCAAAGACATCGGGCTCGAATTCCATCGGCAGTTGGCTAAGTGCTACTGCGTGCCTGACTCATCTACTGTTATTGAATGGGAAGGGGAGCACCGCGTTCCCATCAAGACTAAAGACGTTTTCCCAGTGGCGAGTCAGATGCTGCGTCTTGCACGATAATCACGCAGTGGCTTTGAAAACAGCACCTTGCAAAGTCTGCCCATGGAGAGGCGCATCAAGAGCTTTTCGGGAACATGAATTTGGCAACTATAAGCACACGTCCGGGTAATTTGGTGTTTCCTGCTTTCGAGTTAAAAAGGGGGATCGGAAGAGGACTGGGCCAAACAGACGGGACGTTGATTCATTTCCTTGTCGGGAGGTGTTTTGTCTCGGCGCTTCTGGAATATTTTGACGTTCTACAGATGTCTGAGAGAATAGTGCGGTCTTTAAAAAGTCTATAGCTTGAAATTGATCTTAGATTTTACAACTACAACGAAGAGGACACATTCAATTGACGACAGTTAAGAGAGGCGGTAATCAAGGATGTGCAGCGGACCTTTACTAGCTATGAAGAGCCTTTCTTTACTCAATATATCTGGTCGGAGAACGACTCCTGATGTTGTTGTCGCGTTGGCGCATCATATTACGAAAACTGAACGGGCTGATAATTTTCCATCCGTTGAAACTTTGTATACTTCGTACTACTCGCCGCTCAACTTTTGCTTAGGATAATTTTCAAGCTGCCGCAACAGTCCAATTCAAAGGACCTCACCAGACTGGAAGATGGCAGTGAAACCCGTCTTCCCGCGCGACGGGGCTAGAACTTCCTGGCAAGCCTTTTTTAACAGAATGAAAACGTTCGGCATGCCTAGTGGGCCGAGGCTAGCACGAGCGGCTGTAGATCCAGTTGTCTCGAACTGAGCATAGCTCAACCCGAGATTTCTAAAACCGCGCAAGTTGGTTCCTCGTGCAACTTCTATCAGGCAAATTCTGCACGTTTTACCGGGCTGAAGCTCTCCAGGCAGCCAAACCCCAAGACTTCACCCCCAAGGAGGCGGGGGGCAACGCCAAGGGGTACAGTACTACTGCCAGGGAGAGAAGACTTGCCTCTAATGGGGGTGCCCCTATTTTGCCTGGTGTAGCGGTATTTTATCGGCCTGACAAGTACTGAATCCATCCTAGATCGTTCATACCTACGACACCGGGGTTCTGCGGTTGACGGTGGATATATCAGCCTTAGCGTACTCATACTTCGTATAACATCTGTTCCTCTGAAACTGTTGAGCGCATTGCACGAGCCGGTGCTGTGGCTTTTCAGGTGCCCTCGTTAGGGTGGATCCCGCCAGATGCCGTCATAGCCGGGCTTTTCGAGCGCCCAATTAATAAAGTTCCTTCGTAAGAGTCAGTGGGTCCACTGGCTATCGCCCTGCCCTCAGAAAAGAGTGGTATATCCTGGCTTCGACCAACTCGAGTTAGGAAACGGATGTGCTTCAGGGTCTCGCGAGTATACGTGGCAAGCAGGGGCTACCGAAGCCACAGGTGTGAAGCCCGATCCAGCGAAGCCGACGGCACCTTTCCATGTGGCTCTCTGCGGCTGCGTCCCATTGCGGGCTGCATCCCATCGCGATTAATGCCTTTGGATGTGAGAAAAGAGCGAGCAAGTCTCGCAATTCTGTTTTACCTGAGTGGCTTTCATTTGTAGTAAAAACATCCGAGATTTCCATGTGCATCTGATTTCACGGTTCCTCTACCAGTCCGACTTGATGCTTTTGCCTATTTGGTCTCTATAAAGGCATAGGGGTTTGGTTCGGGGAATTGGGTCCTTGGTCGTAGGCCGCGCACAAGCATGAGTGCCTTTCACCGCTAGCAGCGCAAGGGGCCCGGAGTTGCGGGCCGTCGAACTGTTAGTTCACTGGCCCCCGTCGAATGGCCTTGGTCCGGTCATTGGTGCGGTAGACCTCGACCGAGTTGTTTCTTGCGGCCCGAGTTCATTTCGTTGTTACAACCGTTTAGCCAGTGTGGCGTTGACCGGTGTCGTTCTTGACGGTGACGCACTGATGGACGTGAACGCTGGCCTTCCGTCGCCTGGAACTGCACGCTCTGCCGTCACGTTAAAGGGAATGCTTCTCATATGAAAGGAGAAGAGCGTGCTAGGAGTCTAGGACTAGCACGATCAAGTTTTTAGCGATCCGGGCCGGGCATCCGCCTTGAACTGGGCTGACAATTGCGGGCAGCCGAGGAACGTCTGTTCATGATGGGATGTGAACTTGGGGAAAGGGGGGGGAGAGGGCTGAGAGGCTGAGTGACATGTGCTCGGAGAGCATTCAACGAATCGTCTCCTTGGCTTTATGCCCACGGGTATGTAGCGATTCACGTCAACACCCGCACCTGACGTTCAGCGCTTGCAGGGCACAGACAGCCCACAGTCGCCAGGATTCGCGGCCATTCCAATTTGACCATGCCGCATGTTCTTACTATGTCAAGTCGGTAGGGCGACCAAGGGGAGAGGAGGTATGGGCTCACGTTATGGACTCATATTAGCGCAGTCTGACGAGCCTAAAGTGCCAGTACTGTAGCCAGCCACGGGCAACTGAAGGTTTAGCGTCCCGGACCAAGCTTGCCTTGGGGACTTGTCGCCCTGGCCGCCTACTGGCCCAGCGGAGAATGGCGCTTTGCGGGACGGGACGCGCGGGGCTTTCTTTGTGTGCCTAACGCGGCGTCCTCGCCGAGCCGGCGGCGGACCCGCCGAGCCGCCACCGGCTCCTCAACCTCGCCCTGCAGCCCTACACTGAACGTGCTGGGAAAGTACCGTGGCCTGCCAAACAGTCGCCGCTTGATTGCACGAGTGTTCGGTATGTAGTATTTGGTACTGCCCGCGGCCTCGTACGCTCCGGCGCTCAGCCCGGCTCAGCCCGACAAAGGCTGGGCTGCCCGGCAAGCAACGTTTCCCGGAGAGCGCGTAAGTGGACCTGGGCCTTGAGGCCATTCTCAAATTTGAGTTTGACCAGAGACTCAGCTTTTGTGTCGTGAAGCGAGAATGGCAGCTACCGCTTGCTTGGACAAGTTTGTGAGTGTGAGCCTCCCAAGGCAACAGCAGCCATGAGTCTCCGGCTCCAGACTGGAACAGCCACCGCCAACTACTTAAGACGCTGCCTGTGTCCTGTTGACAGCCTTTAGACACTCTTCCTCAAGCTCTTAGACAAGACCAGTATTTTCTCTTCTTTACCCGGCCGACACAAACTTATACCCACGGCAGCCCAAACCTGCCCCTTGAGAATTATTAGAGCTCATTGTCCTTTCTTTTTCATCGTATATAAATTCAAAACACCACCTAATATCTCTTTTACTCACCCTTCTCACACATCACCATGGCCGGCCAATCATTCAAGCTGTATCTCTTCGGAGACCAGACTTTCGACGTCAAGCCGCACCTGAGGAGCTTGCTCCGTGACAGGAGCAACCCAGTCCTCGAGGACTTTCTAGTCAAGGCATACGAAGTCGTCCGCACCGAGATCTATAAGCTTCCGCATGGGGTCAGGGAAGCAGTTCCCCGATTCACCGGTCTCGACGATCTGGTATCATGGGACCAAAGCGGAAAGCGATGCATTCCCCTCGACATGGCTGTCACTTGCATCTATCAGCTCGGGGTTTTCATCAGGTACGAATCAGCCAGAAGCCCTCCACATAACCAATATGCGACACAAGCAAGGGCTAAATCCTCCAAAGTCAAGCCGACGCCTGGAATTATGGCGTCGTAAAGCCCCGGGTTGCCGGCATCTGCACCGGAGCCCTGGCGGCCGCCGCCGTCAGCTGCAGTCGGAACCTGCTGGAGCTTGTTCCCATGGCGGTCGACGCCGTCACTGTTGCCTTTAGAATCGGCATGCAAGTGGCCGACGTCGCCCAGCGAGTCTCCCCCTCGCACGATGCTGACCAGAGCTGGTCCATCATCGTCCCAGGGGCGGCGTCTTCCGAGGCCGTCAGCAAATTCTGCGAACAATCCGTGAGTGGCTTCTGCCTTCTTGTACGTCTCCTGTCTGCTAACTCGAATTGCTCCTTGTCAGGCTCTGCCATTGACCAGCAGGCCCTACATCACAGCCTATGCGCCAAACGGCATCACCGTCAGCGGACCTCCAAAATCGCTCGAGCAACTCGTCAACTCGGGCGACTTCAAGGATCTCCGGTTCAAGAGCGTCCCAATTTTTGGACCTTATCATGCGCCGCATCTTTACTCTCAGTTCGACATCAGCAACATCATTGGCGACCTGACCTCTGATCGGGCCATCGCCCGTGCTGAGCATCTGCCCCTCCTCTCTGGCCAGGCTGGAGCCAAGTCACAGGCTCGCAACTTTGCAACGCTTCTCGAAGCTGCTGTCGGGCAGGTGCTGTTGCAACCCATCCGATGGAGTGATATCCTCGATGAGTTGCAGTCCAGCATCCAGAACGCCAGCCCCAAGTCGTTTAGCGTGACACCCATCGGGACGACTGCCGACCAGCTCATCTACACCGTGCTCAAGCAGACGTCGCTACGCACATTGGTGTCCTCGACGTCAGGCCAGAGCAAGCCGGCCCCCCGGACAGAGGGTACGGCATCGAGCCTCAACAAGCCCAAGCTTGCTATCATCGGCATGTCGGGGCGATTCCCGGATGCCAAAGACAACGAGGCCTTCTGGAGCATCCTGCACGAGGGTCTCGATGTCCATAAGCCTGTGCCGTCCCTCCACTGGGATGCCAAGACACATGTCGATCCCACCGGGAGCCGCAAGAACACGAGCGGGACGCCGTACGGCTGCTGGCTTAACGACCCGGCTATGTTTGACGCGCGTTTCTTCAACATTTCACCGCGAGAGGCGCCGCAAATTGACCCCGCGCAGCGGCTGGCCTTGATGACGGCCTACGAAGCAATCGAACAAGCCGGCATTATTCCAGACGCTACTCCTTCGACGCGCCGTGACCGTGTGGGCGTCTTTTATGGTGTAACTAGCAACGACTGGATGGAAACCAATAGCGCCCAGAAGATCGACACGTACTTCATCCCCGGCGGGAACCGGGCCTTCATCCCTGGACGCATTAACTATTGCTTTAAGTTTAGCGGCCCTAGCTACGCCGTCGACACGGCGTGCTCCTCGAGCTTAGCCGGCATCCACCTGGCGTGCAACTCGCTATGGCGAGGGGACATTGACACAGCGGTTGCTGGCGGAACCAACGTCTTGACGAACCCAGACTTTACTGCCGGTCTTGACCGAGGCCACTTCCTTTCGCGGACTGGCAACTGCAAGACCTTTGATGACGGTGCTGATGGCTACTGCCGAGGAGAAGGCATCGGCACAATTATCCTTAAGCGCCTCGACGATGCTTTGGCGGACAACGACCCCATCCTCGGAGTCATCCTAGGGGCGAGCACCAACCACTCGGCAGAGTCCGAGTCCATTACCAGACCGCACTCTGGCGCCCAGCGCGCAGTCTTCAGCACGATTCTCAACCAAAGCGCCGTGGACCCCTATTCCATCAGCTACGTCGAGATGCACGGAACGTAAGCAGCCTCCCCCCCTCCCCCACAAACTCACCGGCATCCCGTTGGCCAGGGAGCAATCCCAGTCCACGCGGTGTTGCCTTATGAGCTTTGACTCTAGCCTCTATTGTAAAACGTGGACTCCTCGATCGCTGACCACTTTTTTACAGAGGAACCCAAGCTGGCGATGCCAGTGAAATGTCCAGCGTCTTGGACACTTTCGCCCCCCCCCTGTCCCAGGTCAAGACGGGCAGAGCAAACGAAGAGGCGCTCTATCTCGGGTCCGCCAAGGCCAACATTGGCCACGGCGAGGCTGCCTCGGGAGTGACCAGTCTGATCAAGGTGCTGCTGATGATGCAGAAGAACATGATTGTTCCTCACTGCGGAATCAAGACACAGATCAACCGCAAGTTCCCAACCGACTTGCAGGAACGTAATGTCAACATTGCCCTGAAGCCGACAGCTTTGGAGCGGAGCGCCGATCCCTCCAAGCCCCGGCGAGCCTTTGTCAACAACTTCAGCGCTGCCGGTGGTAACACGGCGCTGTTGATCGAGGATGCGCCGCTGAAGCCTGAGGCTCTCGCTGCCGTCGATCCGCGGAGCCACCATCTCGTGGCCTGCTCGGCCAAGAATGGCGTCTCTCTCCAGGGCAACCTCCGGTCCATGCTCAACTTCCTGAAGCAGAATCCGCGGGTGTCCATGGGGCAACTGTCTTACACCACGACAGCACGTCGACTGCATCACCCGCATCGCGTCATGCTCTCCGGCTCGGCCGACGACATTTGCTCCCAGATCGAGGCGGCTCTCCGCGACAACTCGGGCATGACTCGACCCAAGAGCGCTCCCAAGCTTATCTTCACCTTCACTGGCCAGGGCGCCCAATATCCCGGAATGGGGAAGCAGCTCCTTGAGAATTTTTCCGTTTTCCGCACCGAGATGTGCCGCCTGGATCAAATTGCTCAGAGCCTCGGCTTTCCGTCCATGCTTTCCGTCATCCGATCCGAGGAACAAGACATTGGCGTCTTCCCGCCTACCGCTGTTCAACTCGCAAGCATCTGCATGCAAATTGCACTAAACAATATGTGGGCATCGTGGAATATTACACCCTCTGCTGTGGTCGGGCACAGCCTGGGCGAATATGCCGCTCTCAATGCCGCTGGGGTTCTTTCGGACGCAGACACCATCTACCTCGTGGGCAAGAGGGCCGACTTGCTTCAAGAGAAGTGCACGCGCGACACGCACGCTATGCTTGTTGTCAAGGGATCTGTAGACGAGATCTCAAGCGCTCTCAGGGACCTCAAGTGCGAGACTGCCTGCATCAACTCGCCGGTTGAGACGGTCCTGGCTGGCTCCAACGAGCACATCTCCAACCTGAAGGGACTGCTCACGGACTCTGGAATTAAATGCACGCTGCTCAAGGTTCCCTATGCTTTCCACTCTTCCCAGATCGACCCGATTCTGTCCGACTTTAAGCGCGTCGCTAGCGGCGTGACGTTCTCTAAGGCCAAGATCCCCATCCTGTGCCCCTTGAATGGCGGCATTGTCACTGAGGGCAGTGGCGCCTTTGGCCCTGAGTATCTTGCGAGCCATTCTCGCGAGCCTGTCAACATGCTCAAGGCACTTGAGGCGGCACGCAGCAGCAAAATCGTCACCGACCAGAGCACGATGCTGGAGATTGGCCCACATCCGGCCATCTCAGGTATGGTGAGCGCCGTTCTGGGGCCGCAAGTCAGAAATCTGTCCTCTTTGCAGCGCGGCAGGTCCGTCTGGCAGGTCCTAGGTGCAACGATCAAGTCCCTTTACACTGCCGGTGCCGATATTCGCTGGGCAGAGTACCATCGCGACTTCAAGTCCTCCCACACGGTCCTCCCGCTGCCGGCTTACAGCTGGGACTTGAGAGAGTACTGGATGCAGTATGTCAACGACTGGTCGTTGCGTAAAGGGGACCCTCCCCTGACGACGACCGAGACCCCCGGGCTCGAGAGCACAACCATCCACCGGGTTGTTGAGGAGACGGGCGATTCAAAGAATACCCACATTGTGGTCGAGGCAGACATTGCACGCAAGGATCTTAGCCCGCTTGTGCAGGGTCATGAAGTCGACGGCATCCCGCTCTGCACGCCCTCGGTCTACGCAGACATTGCGTTGACTCTGGGCAACTACCTCGTCCAGCGCTATCGTCCGGGCCAGCAGGAGAAGCTTGTAGATGTGTCGGACATGACCATCTCCAAGGCCCTGATCCTGCGCGCCGGTGCAACCCAGCAGCTCCTTCAAGCCCACGTCGAAGTCGACTGGCCGACGCAGTCAGCGGCCATCAAGTTCATGTCCTTTGATGTAGGTTTTCCCGTCCACTATGGTTTCTTCCGAGTTGCTGACTGATTGAACTACAGAACAAGCAGAAGTTGCAGGAGCACTCCCGATGCGTTCTGCGATTCAAGGACTCGAGTCTTCAGCAAGTGCTCCAGAAAGGCTTGGCCAAGCTGAAGCAAAAGCGGCAGGCCCTCCGGGACGGAGTTGCCGCGGGGGTCACAGCCCGCTTCAATCGCCCCATGGTCTATCGTGCCATTCGGCCGTTGGCGCGCTTCCACGACGACTACCGGGCCATAGACGAAATTGTCCTCAACAGCAAGACGCTGGAGGCATCGAGCCGTCTTAGCTTCAGTAGCGTCAAGCGGGGCGGCAACTATCACACCCATCCGGCCATCATTGACTCCCTGACTCAGTCTTGCGGGTTCGCCATGAACTGCAACGATGGGTCTGACCTGGACAATGAGGTTTTTATGAACCACGGATGGGGCTCGTTCCAGATCTTCGAGCCGCTAGACTTTGGCAAGGCCTACACCACCTACACGCGCATGGAAGAGGGCGCGGACAAGTTGTGGCATGGCGATGTTGTCATCCTTGATGGCGACAAGGTCGTCGCCTTTTTCGGCCAGATTGCGGTTCGTGCTCTGCCAAGCCCCCCCTCTCTCCACCCTCATCCATGCGAGACATGCTGACCTTTACCACAGATCCAGGGCGTGCCGCGCCGCATCCTCAAGGTCATCCTCTCAATCGAAAGCGGAAACACGTCACAGAAGAAGCAGCCGGTGCAGAAGCAGCAGGCTCTAACCCTCCCTCCTTCCGCTGTCAAGGCCTCCAAGGCTGCTCCTCCGGCCGCCGTCGAGTCCCATGTGTCCAAGCTTGCGCAAGCCTTGGCCGTCATTGCGGAAGAAAGTGGGCTCGCCGTGGCCGATCTGACCGACGGCACAGTTTTCGGAGATGTCGGCATCGACTCCCTTCTGGGCCTGACCATCTCGGCTCGCTTCAAGGAGGAGCTCGACATGGACCTCGACTTCAACGCACTCTTCTACGAGTATCCTACTGTTGGCGACCTCAAGGTGTTCTTGGGTGGTTCTACGCGTGGAACGGCTATCTCAAGCCCAAGGTCTAGCAGCACTGGGTCATCCACTCCCGTGAGCAGCGGAACCGGGGCTACCACGCCCAACACGGAGGACTTTGGCGCCCCCAAGGTTGACTTCAAACGTGCTCTCGGTATCATCTCGGAAGAGAGCGGTGTCGCCACAGATGAACTCACCGACGACACCAACTTTGCCGACTCTGGCGTGGACTCGCTGTTATCACTAGTCATTGTGAGCCGGTTCCGGGATGAGCTTGAGCTCGAAATCCAGCACGAATCCCTCTTCCTAGAGTGCCCAACCGTTGCCGATCTGAAAGAGTTGCTATTGGGTGACGCTAACTCAGGCAACAACGTCCAGCCCGCGGGTCTAAAGTCCAGCAACACTAGGTCGTCTACTCCCGTTGTGGAAGAACTTAGCGCGTCCAAGGTCGACTTCCAGCGTGCTCTCGATATTATCTCGGAAGAGAGTGGTGTCGCCACAGAGGAACTCACCGACGATACTAACTTTGCCGACTCTGGTGTGGACTCACTGCTGTCACTGGTTATCGTGAGTCGGTTCCGGGATGAGCTTGAGCTTGACATCCAGCACGAATCTCTCTTCCTGGAGTGCCCGACTGTCGCCGATTTGAAACAGCTGCTGTTGGGCGATGCTGGCTCGGGCGACAACGTCCAGCCCGCGGCGGAAAACGCTACTCCGAAAAACAACGCTGTGAAGACCATTGAGATCGACACGTCCGCCCTCGCAGCTCGCAAGCAAGCCGTCGACGAGCTCGTTAAGAAGTACACGGCCGGATTCTCAGCACCAGGTTCTTCACCCTCGTCTACTATGCCGAGTGATAATGAGAAAGTCATTCTTGTCACGGGGGCATCGGGAAGCCTGGGGGGTCACTTAGTCTATCACATTGCACAGCTGCCCGACGTCAAGAGGGTCGTCTGTCTCAACCGTGAAAACAAAGCGGAGCCCTACGACCGCCAGCAAAAGGCCATGAGGGGCAAGGGCATCCGATTCCCCGAGGCTCTCAAGTCCAAGTTGTTAGTGCTGCAGACAGACAGCGCCAAGCCGATGTTTGGATTGCCCAAGAGTGAGTACGAAGGGCTTGTGAACTCGGTCACTCACCTCGTTCACAACGCATGGCCCATGAGCGCAAAGCGCCCGCTGGCCGGCTTTGAGTCGCAGTTCCAGGTGATGCGCAACCTCATCGATTTTAGTAGCGCCACTGCCTCGCGGCGCCCAGATTCCTTCCAGTTTAGCTTCCAGATGGTGTCTTCTATCGGTGTCGTTGGCCACTATGGCCTTGCCAGCTACGATGGGACGAGGACCATGGTGCCTGAGCAGAGGGTCGGCATTGACACAGTGCTTCCTAACGGCTATGGAGACGCGAAATGGGGCTGCGAGAGGATGCTTGACGAGACCCTCCATAAGTATCCAAACCGATTCCGCACCATGGCTGTCCGGCTGGGACAGATTGCAGGCTCTAAGACTAGTGGCTACTGGAACCCCATGGAGCATTTTGGATTCCTGATCAAGTCGTCACAGACTTTGAATGCTTTGCCCGACGTCGACGGCACTGTTTTCTGGACTCCAGTCAACGATATTGCCGGAACGCTCTCCGACCTGGTCTTGTCCAAGCGTGCTCCCCATCCCATCTATCATATCGAGAACCCAGTTGGCCAGGCATGGCGGGAGACAAACGCCATCTTGGCAGACGCGCTCAAGATTCCCAACCTGATCCCCTTTGATGAGTGGGTCGAGCGTGTTCGAAACGCACCTCAACGAAACAACCCTGCTTCCACTCTCTTGGACTTCTTAGATGGCAACTACCTTCGCATGTCCTGCGGCGGGCTGGTGCTGGACATCAGTAACACCCTTGAGCACTCTAAGACGCTTTCTGCAGTCGGGCCAGTCAGTGAGGAGGTGGTTCGGAAGTATATCCACATTTGGAAGGAGATTGGCTTCCTCAACTAGATGGTCTGGTGGAATAGAAGGAATATTGCTAGATGATATGAAGGATACCTAAAGACATGGGAGGGGTATAGGCGTGCTTGCATAGGTTTTTACTTCAACGGAATTTCAAACAAAGACTTAAAAAACTATTGATCCTAACCTTTATGTTCTGTCTATGTGAAAGGCTGGCCCGGAGTTTATTCAACAAGCAGGTGCCTAGATGTTGTCTATCTAGAGCTAAGGAGGAAAAGAAGCTGAACTCGAGGCGTAGCCTCGAGTGCGAGCTTATATTGCCCTTCTCGGAATGTTCTCGCAGCTTCTGGGCCCGCGGAGCGGGGCCGGTGTTGCCACCGGAGCACGACCCACCGGACCCGGTACAACCGGGTCCACCAGCCGGGCACAGCCCGTGACATTACCCCCGTCCGCGCTTCTTCCATCTCGCGCAGAGGATCTCGTCGACATCCCACAGATCCGTGCCGGACTCATCTTGTACCGGTGGTGGCTGTGCGTCATCTACCTTTTGGCCAGGAGCCGGATCTTGATGCGCCCGCCGCAAAAGGTCAACATGAAATCGCGGGTAAATTGAGCCACGAACATCGAGCTCAACAACGTGCGAACTAATTACCTTCGTGACTGTGTACTTGTGATGCAGCCAGTCGAGCTTCTTGCACGGTCGTGGCGATCTGTAGTTTGCCATCGAGAGCCACACCTTGTCACCAACTTCAAATCGCTCCGCAGGCTGTCGCTTTGCGTTGGCAGCCTCTTCTTGTTGTTGCTGTGAGGAGGCCATCACTGCTTGCATGTACTCATTGACCTCCTGCAGGCGACTGAGTAGGCTATCAGCTCTGCTTTCCTCTCTATGCCTCGGTGGCTCTTCCGATTCCTCGACGCTGATGGGATCGACGTGGTAACCATGCTCAGCGAAAAGGGGCTGATCTTGGTCGCTGCGGATTCACGATTGTTGAGTGCCAGCTGCGCGGCAGGGAGCAGTTCTCCCAGTCGTCCTGCACGTACGACACGTAGGCTCTCAGGTAGGCCTCGATCTCCTGGTTCATTCTCTCTGGCCTCCGTCCGTCTGAGGATGATAGGCCGTGCTCAATTTCTGCGTGACACCTGCAAGACGGCAGAACCTCTTCCAGAACCTACTTAGCCAGTTGCTCCGCGGTCGCTGACGATGGACCGTGGCATTCCGTGAAATCGGTAATGACACTGGAGAAAACGGTTTGCACACGGCTCAGCTTCCATGTTGTCCATCACCTCGAGGGTCACAGCCTTTGTCAGTCTGTCCACAATCACCCACAGGTACCTTGCCTTGCTCGGTCCAGTAGGCGGCAGATCTGTGATGAAGTCCATGGACAAATGGCTTCGGGGTCGATCTGGAATCGGCAGAGGCTTGAGAAATCCTTTCGACTGGCGCCAGATGTGTGCTCTGCCGCAGGTGTCGCAATTGGCTACGTGCGGGCGACCCAGCTGGGCCTGCCCAGGCCAGTAGAATCGCCGAGCCACAATAGCCAGCGTACCTTCCTGCCGGGATGACCGGTCGCAACAGAGTCATGCGACTGCTGCACAATGCGGGTTCTCAACTGGTCTTTCTCAGCTTCCTCCTGGTTACCCTCCTCTCCGGATCCACCCGGCACCCAAATACGGTCTCTGAATGTCAGCCTTTGCCTGCGTCGATCGCACATTCTGAAATCTGGATCTTCAGGCCCAGCGAGGGCGGGAAGGCACGCTCGCGATCGCGGACTGCCTTATAGGCTGCCCGGAATATCGAGTCCTTCGCCACCGTTTCGTCCCAGAGTTGCTGCAGGTCCGCTACCTCGAAGACCTTCATCTTCGGCAGGGTGGATGCCTCTGAACAGTCAGAACTCATCGCGTTGATACATGCTCTTGTCGATGATGGAATGGCACTATCCGGTATCAACTGTATCATTCTTCCTTGTTCCCGCTCGTCGTCAATGCCCTGTGGCTTGTCTTGTTCACGGCGGACAACGCATCAGGCACGACAGCCTCGCTTCCCGGTCGATACTCGAGCTTGAAGTCGAACTGGGACAATTGGCTGCCCAACGGCTCTGCCGTTCCGTGAGCTTCTGGCGTGTCATGAAATACTCCAGGTTGCGGTGATCGGTAAGGATTGTAAATGGGCCGCAGCTCCTAGGTTCGGCGTTCCAGTTGTCGAGACATCTCATGATGGCAAGCATCTCCTTGTCGTGAATGGGATAGTTGTACTCCGCTGGCGAAAGTCGCTTCGAGAAGAAGGCGCATGCGTGTCGACGTCCATCTGGGCCTTCCTGCGACAGGACGCCTCCCAATGCGTAGCCTGAGCAATCCGTCTCCAAAAAGGTCGGGAGGCTCGGGTCCCACTGCTTGAGCACCGGTGACTCGCAAAATCGTCGCTTCAGCTCCTGAAACGCCTCGTTCTCCGCTCGTCCCCAATGAAAGGCAGTTCCTTTCTAAGCAGGGCATCCAGAGACTGCGTGATCTTGGCATAGTCGGGGATGAAGATCCGGTAATAGTTGGCGAAGCCCAGAAAGCTTCTGACACCCTTCACCGTGGTCGGGGCCTCCCATTCGCGGATGGCGCGCTGCTTTTCGGGGTCGCAGGCGATTCCTTTCCTGCGTTGACGATGAACCCAAGGTATTTGACCTCTTGTACCGAAAACTCGCACTTCGCTGGGTCTAGGTGCAGCCCAGCGTCGGCGAGTGCTTGAGAACTCGTCGCACCTTAGCCTCATGATCCGCCTTCGAACCGCTCGAGTAGATCAGTACATCATCCAGGTACGCTGTGACAAAGTCGTCCAGCCATTCGCGCAATACACTGTTCATGTATCGTTGGAATGATGCCGGGCGCCGCTCAGGCCGAAAGGGCACACGAGCCACTCGTAGAGCCCAAACCTCGTGCGAAATGCAGTCTTTCCTCATGTCCCGGAGCCATGCGGATCTTATGGAAAGCGGCCACCACGTCCAACTTGGTGAACCACTTAGCCTTGGCCAGATTCTGCAGGGTCTCCGCGATGAGGGGCAGTGGGTATCGGTCGCGCTTGGTGATTGCATTCAGCGCTCGGTAGTCGCAACAAAATCGCAGCCCTCCATTCGGCTTCCGCACGAACAGCACCGGCGCGGCAGCCGCTGAGCTACTCGCTCGGATGAATCCTCTGTCCAGCAGGTCTTTCAGGGTCTTTCGCAAGACCAACAGCTCTTCTCGTGACATGTTGTAGAGTGGGCCCCACGGAAGGGGTGGCTCGTTGCCGTTCTTGTCAGGCTGCAGGTTGACTTCATGATCCACACCCGGTCGATGTGGCGGCAGCTTCATTGCCTCTCCTGGTGAGAATAGGTCGCGGAATTCTTTCAGCACTTCTGCCGGGACCTTCTCGCTCGGATCGACTGGCGGCTTCGGCTGAAGCGCCCTCTATATCCGACAAACTGATTGCATGAATCGAGATCGCGTTGCACTTCTTGCGTCTCTTTGCGCGTCGACACTCCGCCGTGAATACGGCTGCCGACACGAGTCTTGCGCTTCGAATCGCGCGTATCTTGGCGGGCTCTTCCTGCCCAATGAGGCGTATCGTCACACCTGCCCTCCCATGGTACATTCGCTGCTTGGCAGCATCGTACACGACGTGATTTCTCCATCCAAGGCCGGCCGAGGAACATGTCCTGGCCCAGGCTTGGGATCACGTATGCAAAGACACGTTCGTCAAATCCAGCTGTCTCGACCACAACAGCCACGACCCTGGGGATATGACACTCTTCGCTGACTCTGAGAATCCCCCAATTTCTCGTGGTTTCGAGTCGACGAAGGGTATCCGCAGCTTCCGAACAAGGGCTTCGTCGATCACGGCATAGCAGTCACATCCACAGTCGACAAGGGCGCGTATTCGATAGCCTCGGTTTACCCGCGCGTTGACTAATACAGTCCGACTATTCATTCGTGGCTTGAACGCTTCCCAGTCCCGGATGTCTGCCTTTGCAGGCCCCGGCGCCCGCTTTCGCCCCGGGGCTAGTCTTTTCCCGCCGACTCGTCCTCACTGGATGCTGCGGTTGATTCCGAATCATCTGCGGCATCGGGCTTCTTCATGCGCGCAGCTTTAGGTCGCTGTTGCTTCCCTTCGCCAGGAAAGACCACCTGGGCTGGGCAGTCCACGATAAGATGATCCGTCCGACCACAGCGATAGCAGCGGCGCTCATCCTTCGGCTTATCGACATGTCGACGACCCTTCGACTCGTGGCCAATACGGTTGATGTCCGTCATCTTAACATCTCCGTCGGGGTCCTCCGGTTCCTCCTGGGTCGTTGCCTTGGTAGCTGTTGAGGCGTCCGCTCAGTCGACGTCGGCTGCCTACCGGGTTTCAGTCTCTCCAATCTGCCCGCAATTTCCTGAACTCGCAAGCCATCCCTGGTAGTCGTCGGTAGGACGGCTGTGACCAAACTCTCTTGGAGGCGTGCATTTATTGCGTTCTCTAGAAATACGATCTTTGCACTGTCCGGCCAGTCTGCTCCCCCGGCTTCAGCTAATGCCTGTTCGAATCGGGGAAGGAAGGACGCGAGAGGTTGGTCTTCGCGCTGCCGCATAGTTCTCAGCGTGGCAGCAGCGCGGGATTGGATGTTGCTGTCCTGGTAGGTTCGGTCGAGGTATCGCATGAACTCTTGGGGTCGTAGCTACCCCAGGGCCTCCCGCGGCGTAAAGGTAGCGACCACTTGCTGTGGTCGCTCGTCCAAACATGAGTTGATGAGGTACCAAAGTTCGCGATTTCCACTGTAGTAGTGTGCATCAAGGTCCAGCTTGTCTCGCATCTGCCTGGCCCAGGAGGAGTAGCTCTTCCGTGAGCCGTCATACTTGGGTGGGTTGGGCAACGGTTTCCGCATTCCAGTACCGCAGGTTTTGGGAGGGCGTGCCCAAGCCAGGCGTGCTCGCCCAATCCTCGTGCCACTGGCGGCGATTGCAAGTCGGCGCTCTGCGGCTGCGCTCGCCCGAGTTGCTCCATCAGCAAGGAAAGTTGGTCCTGTAGAGGGCTGAGAGTCGCATTGACCGCTTCTTGAATGCGTTGGTCAATCCATTGCTGCTGGAGACTTGGGCTCTCACTCTGCTGGTCCATCCTGACGAGCAGTCTGCAGCTTGCGGTATTTAGAAGGAGCTCTAGATATGTGAAAGGCTGGCCCGGAGTTTATTCAACAAGCAGGTGCCTAGATGTTGTCTATCTAGAGCTAAGGAGGAAAAGAAGCTGAACTCGAGGCGTAGCCTCGAGTGCGAGCTTATATTGCCCTTCTCGGAATGTTCTCGCAGCTTCTGGGCCCGCGGAGCGGGGCCGGTGTTGCCACCGGAGCACGACCCACCGGACCCGGTACAACCGGGTCCACCAGCCGGGCACAGCCCGTGACAGTCTACCTCATTATTTACTATCTCGAACTGTTCAAGTTGGCAGCAAATGCTAAGCCACAGGTTCTCCAGGTTACCTCCAGAACTAAGCAACTTCGGGCAGTCTTGGGGATCGACAACGGCAGGGGCATCCAAGGAGATAATTCATAACCGGACCAGTCATAAAACCCACTTATTGGTAAGACTCCCCGCGCCAAGGCTGCCTGATTTAACCGACCTCGTGCGTAACCCTCTCCCCCTTCTATCATGTTAGAGGCGGGAGGGCGTTTCTATTCCTTGGCATTTACGTCTAGACTGAGAGATTTTTTGGCATGCGCCATCGTGTACCCTCGAAAATAGCACCTCATGACTCCTGCTCAACATTTCTGGTGGATTAAAATTTATGAAGGCTCAGCGAAATGACTCAACGAGCAGCTTGACAATGCAGAAGACCTGCCTTCGTACTTGCTATGAAGTTCAGTACTACGTGAAGTACGAATATAAAGCCTGTACGAAGGCTGCGCCTAAAATAAACACGCATTATTCGGTCTCCCTGTCCCCTTTTATTGTATCCGTTCGACAATGCCTATAGTGTTAGAGAGCTGTCGTCTTCCAAGGGGTGACGGTAAGTCCTCTTAAGCTACCAGAAGCCTGGTTCACGTGTAGAAGCGGATTGGGTGACCCTGGCGACTGTGATGACTTATGGGCACAGCCTTGGTACAAAGGCAGAGACCAAGAGTCAGTGGCTGGCAGGCCTCGTGCGGTGTGAAGAGAACGCCTCGCCCCACCACTCCATACACCTTTGCACTGGGGATCTTGGTGTAGAGGGGCTGTGTTTTTCTGCCCCCCTTGAGCCTGTACCATCCCTGTAGCATACTGAACCACCATTTACCTTGGTCTCGGTCTTTACACTAGGATCAGGTTTGTGCTACTCTGTACACCTGAGGCCTATCCATTTGGAGACCCAAAGGCTGCAAGCATGTACTCCCCCTGGATGCCCCCTATATCTACTGCTATACTCAGTGACCTGATCTGCCATGTATTATTACGAATATGTAAGTTACTGTTATGTAAGTAGTGAGATTAAAGGACTTCTGCCATTGCTTGACTTGGGTGGCCATCAAGATCGATGTACAGCTCAGCGTGCGGCCTCTGAGTGGCCAAAATCCCTGATAGATACCTCGTTCCATCATTCGGACTTCGTAAGGGTTGGCCTAGCAGCTGGGCTCCTGGTGCAACACTATTGATCGAGCAATACGCAGGCTGCCAGAGGAACAACTTTACAAGGCCTGCTGGTATGTAGCTTGCTAGTTATGTTATGTCTAAGTTGCTTTACGGCGCAGTGAGCGGGACTGGTAAACCTATGCGTGGTTGGAAATTCATGTTTCAGACTCTATGCCTGACTCGACGCCTCCACAGCTTGGTCCGACTTGTAGCGGCGCCGGCTCCAAGGACTCCTAGCCTTGACTGCCGGTGTACGTTCATTCTATGAGATACTGGATCACATGAATAGCACGAGTCACGTCCTTATCCGCGAGATAGTCGAAGAGGATATCCAGGGTCCGTGTACAGCGCCTGTTTGGTTTATTGAAGCTCCTTTGCGCCGGCGCCGGGTTTTGGCAAATTAGCCCGTGAAATTGGATACAAGCATTGAACGCATCTCGGCCTACGTGCAGAATTGTCTGGGCTATCCCGCTTAGGGTACGTGGACTTGGACGAAACTTGCGTTATGCGAGAATGGAAAAATAAGCCGGTCGAGTTTTTCTATAGTCGCTGCAGAGCCGAAATGTATAAGTAGCATAGAGAAGACTCGATGGTGGACTTAAATTTTCAGTACGACTCACACTCTTTACTATCTCTCGCTCTTTCATCTCCGTTGGCAACCGACTATTCAAGTCCCATACAACACACTCTCACTCATACTATCATTTACTCTTTCATCTGAACACCCCTTGGCAACTGACTGTTCAAGTTTTATACAACAGACTTATACGGCATCTGTTCCCCAGACTTAGCTAAGAAGTTCAAGATGAAGCACCTCAGTATCGCATATATTGTTGCGGCATGCGCGGCTTTAACGACCGCTGCCCGTATGGAAAACGGTATGAAGCCCTGGTATGATTGGTCAGGCACCACCTGCAAACTGGAACCCGTCAACGAGACCTTGGACGAGCCGTGCATCGGCACGCAGTACACGTGTAGGCTAGGGTTTGAGCAGTTTGGATATCAGAGCCCCGAAGATTGTTTCGCCGACCGCAATCCGAATCCCGGAAGAGGCTCATCCGCTGCAGCAAACGACGCTCTCAGCAAAGAATTCACGATCACGACGGACGACAACGCGATATTAGCAGAACTTGCGCAAGAGGTCTTCAAGCTACCGACATCCTCATTTCTAGCTAAAATCGCTGAAGAGCAAGTCTCGAAATGCAATGAACATTATACCTCGACGATTCCTGGCCGTGAGTATGGCAACAGACAAACTCGATCCGTTTATTACCACGGAGGTGACCCACAGGCAAAGCCTCTAAATAAAAAAATACTAGAACTGCTTGAACCTATCTCCCAATTTAAGCAGATCATCCAGAGAATGGATGGGTGTTACGGGGTCAGCACTGTTGGCACAGGTGCTGGGCGTAATTGATGTAAATTGAGCTACAAAGAGTGTAAAGGGGAGACGTGTCTACATCGCTCCCTTTAGGAGTCGTGTCCGTGGCGCTCGCACGTGACTAGTCTGGCCATGCCAGATCTACACATCGGGGCGTAGCCCTTACATTAGCCCCTACTCCTCTCTGGCGCTGGTGCCCTTTTCCTGTTCCTGGTCCCTCTACAACGATCGTAGGGCCGTCGTCTATAGGGTCTGGTGCCGTTACTATCGACGGGGCGTCGCCATTAGTCCTAGCCCGTAGTGGTCCGCGTATTCTCTTGCCCTGTATCTGCAGCTGTGGTTGTATTCCTTCGACTTGCCCCTGGATTTGGGCCGGCTGTGCTTCCGTTGCCACTCGTCGGTGCTGGTATGGTCCATCGTTTTCGAGAGCCGGGCCGTATCTCTGTTCGTACTTATCCAAGGCCGCTGTCTGTTGCATATTGTCTAAAGAGGTCCAGGTCGGGTCTTGCCAACCTTGCCAGCGTACAAGGACTTCCCGCCTACGGCCGCGGCCGGTTCTCTTCCACCTAGCGCATAGTATTTCCTCTACTACTTGGTGAGCCCCCGTCTACTTGGATAGATGGGGGTTGAGCGTCTGTGCGTTGCTGACCAGGCATTGGGTCCGTCCCCGCTCTCCGGAGTTGGTCGACGTGGAACCTATTATAGCAGCCCCTCGGGAGGTCTGCTAGTTCAACCGTGTACGGGTCGAGTACCTTGCTTATCGTATACTTAGCGTGCAGCCAGTCGAACTTCTTCTTAGGTCGCTCTGACGCGTAGTTCCGTAAGTCAAGCCAAACCTTATCGCCTACTTCGAAGCGTTCTGCCGCGTTCCGTCGTCTGTTAGCGAAGCGTTCTTGTTGCTGCGTAGCTGTCGCCATTGATGCTTGGCAGAGGTCCGTAATCTGTTGTAGTTTGGTAACAAATTTCTTTGCCCTGGTTTCTGGCGAATGCTGAGGATACTCTTCCGCATATGCTTCCGTAACGAGGAACTGGTGACTTCGGCTCATAGCCGTGTATAGCGAAGAATGGGGACATCCCTATAGAGGTATTGACCCGACCGTTTAACGCCATCTGAGCCGCGGGAACCCACTTATCCCAGTCGTTCTGGTTCTGGTTAATCACGGCGCGGAGGTATGCCTGTACTTCTTGGTTCATCCTCTCAGGGCCTCCGTCGGTTTGGGGGTGGTACGCCGTGCTTAGCTGCTGGTCGATCCCCAGTAACTTGCACATGTGCCTCCAAAAGCGGCCTACCCAATTCGAGCCCCTATCGCTCGTTATAGCGTCGGGCCACCAGTGGTAGCGGGCGAAGCACCATAGAAAACGCTCTGCACATGCTTCCGCTTCCATCGTTGGCATCGGTTCGAGTATAACTTCCTTACTTAGCCGGTCCTTGATAACCCAGAGGCAGCGGTTACCGTTCGCAAGGGGAGGTCCGTAATAAAGTCCATCTGTATCTGGCGGAAGAAGCGGTCCGGTACGGGTAGCGGTCTAAGTAGACCCTTTATGCTCGCGCCATATCTTCGTACGGCCGCAGACATCGCAGTTACGCAAGAAACGTCGGATATGCTGTTGCATTAGCGGCCAGTAGAAGTCCCTGGATACGGCTTCTATCGTCCCTTCCCGTCCCGGGTGGCCTACTACATGGGAGTCATGAACCTTCTGGATTAAGGAGCCCTGTAATTCGTTTAGCGACTCCTGCTCTAGCGGTGCTGCCTTGGCTGCTGCTTCTGTCGTGATCGGTGCGCCTGGCACCCATAAGCGGCCACGTAGTCGTAGGTGCCCCGAGGATCAATAAAGCACTCGGCGACTTGTACCTTCAGCTTAAGCTTGGGGTCGAGGACCGAGATCCGTTTCGTACCGCGTTATAAACGCTTGTAAAGACTGGATCCTGGTTTGCCGTTTGCTGCCATAATTGTTGTAGCTCTGGGTCGTGGAAAACCGTGTGTTCTTCTTCGCCTTCTCCCGCTTGAGTCGACGTTACTCCGACGTAGGTACGTAGGGCTGCTTCTGGAATAAGCTGCATATCTCGTGCTTCGTGATCCGCTTCGTTTGGTCGGTCCTGTTCGCGGCGAGAGAGCGCGTCTGGCACCACTGCTTCCGTCCCGGACGGTACTGGAGCTGGAAGTTAAAACGCGAGAGATATTCAGCCCAACGTGCCTGCCTTTCCGAGAGCTGTTGGCGCGTCATGAAATACTCGAGGTTCTTATGGTCGGTAAGGATAACGAAGTTATCACAGCTTCGTAGCTCGGCTGACCATTGTTCGAGACAACGAATAATAGCGAGCATTTCCTTATCATGGATTGGGTAGTTGCGCTCAGCCGGTGATAGCTTCTGCGAGTGGAACGCTACTGGCTTGCGTTGTCCGTCGACTTCCTGCGTAAGTGTGCCCCAAGCGCCCAGCCGCTACAGTCTGCTTCTACGAAGGTTGGCCTCGAAATCCCATTGAGTAAGAATAGGGCGTTCGTAAATAGCGTCTTTAGTGTCTGGAACGCCATATCGTGCTCGTCCGTCCACTTGAACTTAGTCCCTTCCTGTTAGTGCTGTTAGGGGTGCAGTTATTTCCGAGGCTTGCGGTATAAATATCCGGTAGTAGTTAACGAATCCTAGAAAACTGCGCACCCCTTCTGGGTAACGGGGACTGCCCACTCGACTATTGCTCGTATCTTGTCGGGATCTGCCTGAATGCCAATTCCTGCGTGAATAATGAATCCTAGGTACTTAATCCGCTTGACTCCAAATTCGCATTTCTCCGGGTCTAGGTGTAGTCCATGCTCGGCGAGGCGTTCTAAAACTAACCGTACCTTCCGGAAATGGTCTTCTGCTCCCGCTCGAATAGATAAGTATATCGTCCATATAAGCAGAGGCGAACTCGTCGAGGTAGTCTCGTAGGATACCGTTAATATACCGCTGGAAGGTTGCTGGCGCGCCACTTAGCCCGAACGGGGTAACCATCCATTCGAAGAGACCGTACCGGGTGCGGAACGCTGTCTTCCACTCGTCTCCTTCTGCAACCCGTACTTTATGGAACGCTTGTACCACGTCGACCTTAGTGAACCACTTCGCATCTTTTAGGTTGCGAAGTGTGTCCCTATTAGAGGAAGGGGTAACGGTCCGACTTAGTGATTGCGTTCAACGCTCTGTAGTCACAACAGAATCGCAGCCCGCCACCTGGTTTCCTCACAAACAGGACTGGAGCTGCTGCTTCTGAACTGCTTGCACGGATAAATCCTTTATCCACTAGGTCTCGTAGAGTCTTCTTAAGAACCAGGAGTTCCTCTCGTGACATACCGTATAGTGCTCCATACGGTAGTGGTAACTGCTGGCCATTCGGGTCCTCCTTGATTCTGATTTCGTGGTCTATGCCTGGCTTATGAGGATTCAGCTTATCAGCTTCCTTCTTCATAAATAGAGGCAGTAAATCGTGGAACCGCTGGGGTATCGTTCGGCGTAGCTCTGCTTCTGACATGGGTTTCTTTGGTGATAACGCCCTTCGATATCCTTCATGCTGATAGCGAAAATCGCCGTGGCAGCTGCCTCTCTTCCTTCCTGCTTGCGGATCCTTTCAAAGTAACCCACAAAGGTACTGGCTAGTACGTGCTTTGCTTCTTCGAACTCCTTGGCTTTCGCAGAATATTCTCCTTCCCGAGGTGATCTACCCAGTCTTGTGTAGGTTCATGCCATAGTCGTTTCTCGTGGGGCACTGAGTACGACTTTGTGTGGCATAACCAGGGTTTTCCTAGGATTAGGGGGAATTCCAATCGGGGCACCACGTAGGCACAGATCGTCTGTATGTGGCCGTTGACCTCCATTGATAGCCATACGAGGCCCCTAATCGTTGCTCCTTCCATTGCCCCTGATGCTCCTGTAATAGCTCGCGGTGCTATTTCCACTATAGGAACTTCCAACTTTTCGACGACTTCTTCGTCAACCGCGGCGTAGCACTGGCATCCTCGTCTACGAGTGAGGAGAAGAGATTGGTCCTATTGATAATGCTTCGAATTATTGTAGGACCAACTTCCATTTTCCTGAGAACTTCTCTTCTTTGCCACTGCTCCGTTCTTTGGCCTCGAGACCCGTCTTTGTTTCGAGGCTACGCATTTCCCGAGAGGATGGGGTCTCGCTAAGTCCTGACTCTTCCTCACTAGAGTCGTTACCATCATCTTCCAGAAAGGGCATGATCCTAGCGGTGCGGACTTTACATCCTCGACCGGCTAGGGTCCTGTCCTGGCGAGTAGGGCAAGCGGCAATGAAATGGGTGTTGTCGCCGCAGCGGAGACAACGACCCTCGTCACGGCGTTTATTCCGTTCGTCCTCGGATACCCACCTCGCCCGTTGCTTCCGTCCTGACCTAGGCTGGAAGCGAACCGTCTTGCTCGTTCCACTTGACCCTGGCCGTTCGCCCGTCCTCTCTGACCCTGCCCCTGAGTGCGTGTAACCGTCATTATTACGTCGCCGTCATGGTCGCGTGCGTCACGTGCGTTCTGCTCGGCGGGTAACGTTGCTGACGGTGCCGGGGTGTTGTCGTTACCGGCGACCTGGATGTTGCCGATGCCTGATGCCTGCCCTTGGTCACGTTGCCCGCGGAGCCCTGCTTCCTCTGCAACGCCTTAAACTTCGCGGTGTGCTCGAACGCCCAAGCAATCGGGTGTAGACGTTGGATGTACTCGTTGTAGTCCTTCGGCATGATAACCGGGACTAGTTGCTCACGGAGAGCAGGAGAGATCGAGTTCCAGCCATGCGAGCTTGGAAGCATTATCCCAGCTCGCGCCGCCCGCTTTGGTCAATGTTTCCTCGAATTCAGGAGGAACTTCCCAAACTCTTGGCTGTCTCGTTGAATGAGGTGCGCAGCCTGTCCTGCGCCCTCTCTGTCTGCTGCACGCTGCCGAACGTCTGGGCTAGGTGCGAGAAGAATTTCCGGGGGTCTGGGTTGCCCTTCGCGCTCTCTTGCCTCCAAAAACCCTCGACTCTCCTCATCATCTGATCCGGCAAGGTCTGCAGGATCTCGTACCACACGACGTTGTTATTGCCGTTTAGGCCTCCTCTTCGTCGGTATTGTACTTAAATACCAGACGGTCGAGGTAGAAGTGGAAGGACTCGGTTGACCGTTCCACTTCGGCCAAGTCATCGGCTTGCGCTTCTTGCCACGGTCCATTTCCTGGGCTGCTTCCGGCCTCGGTTCGACGGGTAAGATCGCGGGGTACTGAGCACCCCGGGCTGGGTGTCAACGGTGGCGCTGCTAGGCCTAGCCCGGTGAACATCTTCCGCAGTTCTTCGTCTCCCGCGATCCCAGATAAGATCTGCAAGAGCTCTTGCTCCTTCCTCCATCGGCTCGTTGCGCCGCCGGTCGCGGTGCCCTGCATAACTACTATTGTCCTCCATCTTGTTCGTCCGTCTCGTCGTCCGATCGATCGTCCGTCTCGTCGTTTAGCCTATCGCCTGTCTTGCTGTCTGTCCTGCTGACTGTCCTGCTGACTGTCCTGCTGTCTGTCCTGCTGTCTGTCCTGCTGTCTGTCCTGCTGTCTGTCCTTCTGTCTGTCCTGTCTTTTGTTAACTGGTAGCTCAATATGTTACAGGGTCAGCACTGTTGGCACAGGTGCTGGGCGTAATTGATGTAAATTGAGCTACAAAGAGTGTAAAGGGGAGACGTGTCTACATCGCTCCCTTTAGGAGTCGTGTCCGTGGCGCTCGCACGTGACTAGTCTGGCCATGCCAGATCTACACATCGGGGCGTAGCCCCTTACAATGGGGGGGACTTGACTTCGTCTAATGCAAAATATGTTGGCTGTGCAATTCGGACATGCGCAAGGATTACTGGTACCAAAAATGGCCGTCCTTTACCGGAAAATCAAGTCGGCGGCGTTCTCGTTATCTGTCACAAGCGATCAGTCGATTTTCCTATGCCAGCTCCTCTTACAGATGATGAAATTCGCAATGCACAATATACGACTACGACTAGCAACAACAATACACTGAAAGATATGGCGCAACGGTCCTTCAACCTAGAGCCATCTAAAGTTCTAGCGGAAGTGGCTGAAGCTCAAGTCTCTGAATGCAACGTTAAAGACATGAAAACCCTTCCTAGACATATATATGGCCTACGGAAATCGAATTATTTTTTTCAACAGGGTCCTAAAACCCATACTCTAACAAGGCGGATAATGGATCTTTTTGACCACGTTGAATATTTTAAAAAATTTCTCGAGTATTCGAGAGAACACTCCGATCATGTTTCACCTGGTGCGAAATATTTTGGCTGTGCAATTCGGACATGCGCACACATTGATGGTCCCGCCAAGAAGGCCCCCCTTCCGGATGATCAAATCGGCGGCGTATTCATTTCCTGTCTTCAGAGTGGTAACGCAGGTTAATTGGCTTCTCGATGTAGCTTGGGTAGTCTAAGAGGTAGCAACTGCTCCTCTGGTTGGGTTGCGACATGCGATGCAGACCGGGGCGTTAAGTCAAGATGTTGGATAATGCAGTTGAAACTGACTAGTAGGGCTGATATTTGAAGATTTTGAAGTCGAATCGGCCTCGGGACCCTTGAATTGAATGAAGCCGAATCGGGTAAGGTCTTCAAATTCGACGAATCAAAAATCAGGAGTCTTCATTCAATTCATTCATAAAAATTGTGAATGAATGGCGATATGGTCGAAACGTAAGGCGAAAAAATTATCACCGCTTCGCGGCCAAGGGACATACAGGGAGGAAAGGGTCAATACCGAAGCCACCCACCAAGGGCCTCTTCCTGTTCTTCCTCGGCAGGCTCACATACACATCAATAAACAAGCTGCTTTGACCCCATCATTAGGGGTTTGCCCGCGCGGACACGGTAACTTCGAGTTCGGCCGCGCTTGTGATGACGCTCTGCGTATTTAAAAGTCTGTTGTGCGTGTTTCAGTTGGATTCCACCGTCCACACTCCACTGGCAAATCCTAGTCCCGCGCCGCCCGCGTCTGGCGGGGGCGTCGCTGGGGAAATCGAGGCGAAGGACGGCAGTTAGGGCGTCCATATATTGTGGTATAACGACCCTAACAGTGCCTGATACGCCACCGTTTCAGCAATCTTGCCACCCTATACGGAGTATTAAAAAACACCATGAAGCTCATGAACAGTGCCATTTTATAATGCACATGATTTAAATGTAGTGCCGCTCGAATGTTCTGGATTTTCTCGTTCGGATGATATAACCCTCGATAGTTACATGTCGTTAACATTTGCTCAAGAAATGCCACATCATCTTGAAGGCAATCAATGGATAGCCCATTTTTTGGTTGGAATACTACATTTCAAGCACATATTAAGCTCGGCAACCCATATTCTGGATATATAATATAATAATTATACCGCTGTACAGCCCCAGCAAGCTGATTCGAAAAACGCGTTCAGATCCTCAACATCTCAATACTGCGCGAACAATTGGAAGTGACACGAATCGAGTCAGCTCGCGATTTGGAGGCTGTTAGGGACTTATCTACTCCTCGAGCCCAATATGACTGCTACTTGTTTGTCCATACAAATTAGCCGATCAGGAAGTACCCGAAAATCTGCATGATAAGGATATATTGTGCCAACTAGCCGCGTTCAGACGCGTTATTTCCGCTCAGTTGACCACCTGTTAATTCTACTGCTGTCGGAAAGACAGGGTCGTCAGCCCATCCACCTTTGCCTGCGTGGCGCAACGGTCTTCGCGACAACTGCCACGACATTATTTTACCACGACCTCGCCTAATTCCTGCTTCGATATTCCGACAGCGGCTTCGGATCAGCCCCCGAATCAACGCCCTGACCGACGACCTATCCTACCCGTTCAACCCCGACTCCTTGACACTTTATTGTGGTTTATTTGGTGTCGTTCCGACTACCTGTGTCGCGTCCATTCTCGAGCCTTTCAGCCAAGATCAGGTAAAACTTCATTACTCTCCAATCTACCCTCCTTATTTAATTACCTTACGAGTGGATAGCTAATTATAACATGATACGTAGTATGGCCCCTGCTGAAACAAAACATCTGCCGCAGCGAATTTCTTTGCTCCAAGGACCCGGCGTAAATTGCCAACGCAGAATTATGCCCGCATCGAACGTCCTCAATTCAACCTCGAAGCGCGCGCGCGCTGATTCTAGCGCAACTCCGGCTCCTTCCTCTCCTCTTCCAACTGGCGAAGATACAATTGTCTGCGCGCCCCCGGGTCATCCTGACTGTGAGTCAGATGATGACATGCCCGACGCGGATACACCAGAGCCGCCATTGAACAGTAGTCATATGACGCTCGCAGAGAAAGCCGGACTTATCAAGAAGTGGGCCGACAACAAACAAAAGCATGTTCGCAAGAAGAGAGACAAGAACAGCCACGTCTATTGGTATATGCAGAGGGAAGCTATAGACAGAAGCTTTTACTCAGAGGATAAGGATGGGCCGAAGATCTTCCAAGAGTTCCGGTGGACTTGTATAGAGTGCCTTCAAAATCCCAATACTCTTCGGAAGAGATTCCAGGTCCTCGAATCGAACCGCCGAGGGGTTACCTCTGGCATGGGAGACCATTTAAAAATCCACGGTATTACGAAGGAATCTCACCACGCTCGAATTAATGGATACGGCCGCGCCATTGGTGGAGGAGATTATACAGAGGCAGACGCATGGAGCGGTCGACCTAGGCAGAGAGCAAGACTCACGGCAAAGGAGTCTATCCGCCGGTGGTTTGTAAAACACCGACAACCCTTCTCTGTTGTCGAGACTCCTGCTTTTCAAGAGATGTTCTTGGCTCACAACACAACATGTGTGTACAGGAGTCGTATAACGTTACGCAATCATATATATACAGACTTTGTCGAACGCAGGAGAAGCTGAAGATTGAGCTTGAGTACAATTGTGCCACCATCTCGTTCACCCTTGATATCTGGACAGCACCGAATCGGGTGCCCATTTTCGCCATTATTGCGCACTGGATTACACCGGAGTTTGAGGAGAGAGAGAAGTTATTGAGTTTATTGAGCTCAAAAGATCTCACACTGGCAAACAATTAGCTGAGATAGTTGAGAGGACGCTTGAGGAGCTCAGGCTCAAGCCTAAGCTTCTCGCCATTACGGAGACAACGCCGGCAATAACGGCACGCTCTGTCAGTCTTTGTACGATTCTCTCAAGACCAAATTCGACGACAAGGTGAGCCCAATAGGAGGACCCGCATGCGCTTTCACGGCAGGAAGAGTTGGATCCGCTGTCTAGCTCATATTACCTCGCTCATTTGTGAGGGCGTCTTGCAAGATCTCAAAGCAGGCACAGCGAAGGAAGCCAAGAAGATGCTTGACAAGTGGGACGAAGAGAATAAAAGCAACAACTACACCATTCCGGGAGACTCTAGTCGAAGTGGGATTGCCAAAATCCGCCTCCTCAATCTCTGGATGTTGAGATCCGGGTCTAGGGAGCAAGACTTCAAAAGCATGCCGCGCACGCACTACCGGAAGCCAACCTACGATGTCGACACTCGCTGGAATTCGGCCTACGACATGATTGACCAATTCCTCGAGCTTGAGGCAGAGTATACTGAGTTCGTTGATACTCACCCGCAAGTCAAGTGCCTCCTGCCCTTATCAGAAGAGATTGTCGCTCTCATCAACTGCGGAAGGTTCTGAAGCCGTTTAAAGACCACACTCTGAAAGTCTCCGAAGTTATGCCGCCGATCTCACAAAGTCTCGATATCTATTGGGATTTGGAAGCTCTCCTTGATGATGTAGTCGAAGGAGTTGGCGACTTTACAGACCTTGATATGTCCATTCGAGACGCCTTCTCGAAGGGCAAAGCAAAACACGTTACTTATATGAAGAAGCTTGACGATCAAATGATGCTATTCGCAGCTCACATCCTGGATCCGCGTTATAAAACTCACCAATTGGAAATGATGATACCGGATCAATACTCTGAGATTATGGCTAAAGTCAAGAAGTATTTCAAAACGGAGTGGCCGGAGCTAGCAGCATTGAATGCCACAAACTCAACTATGAGCCAATCCAGACCAGCTGAGCGTCCTCAAGGAGTCTCCATTGCGCAATGGAGAGCCATCCAAATGAAGAAGGCGAGGAGGCGGAGACGGGCGCGGCGATCCCTATTTCGGAGCTTGAACGGTGGCTTGCAGCTCCTCGAATAGAGTTCGACGAGTCTATTGCAAAGTCTCCAGACTTCCTACTGAAGTGGTGGAAAGAACACAAGGTCGAGTGGCCACTTTTGGCTGCGGCGGCGCGTGATCTTCTCTCTGTCTCTGGCTCTGAAGTTGACGTGGAACGCCTCTTCAGCGGTTGTAGAGACGAATTCGGTATCCGCCGTCACGCCTTGAAGGCAGATACGGTGCGAGTACTAACACTTTTACGGAGTGCTTATACTCAGGAAGATAAGATCGATCAGGCGTTGATCAAGGCGGCCATGGAGTATGACATCCTGCCCTTTGCCAATAGTATTATTTGGAGACCAGACCACATTCCGGGCAAGCTGGAAGATGGTATGTATGGATATACCCTCATTATATATGTAGGTATATGCTAATCTGTGTTCAGGCGAGAATCCTCCTCAACCTCTTCCTCCCACCGAGGCTCCACTGAACCCCTACCCCAAACCTCCTGCATCCCAAGCCGATAAGTCTGCGATATCAACCCCCTGTCTAGATACAATGGAGGCTTCGGAGGATTGGGGCTCTAAGAGTGTAGCCGTGTACAGTGGCGGATTCGAACGCGTTGTACCGACGTATTTTGAGGATTCGGCAGAGCTTTGAAAGTGCTTATTTTCAGTCGATTTGCCTAGGACAGGCGGATCAGTATTTATGTAAGTTAATTTTTGTAGTATTCGGGATTATCGACTTCTTAGAAGGCTATAACTTAAAACTATATACTACTTATTGGCGTTTTTGAGGCATCTTTGCAATCGCTCAGGTACACACCAAATTCACTTCGTTTAGGGGGATCCCTTCAAACCATTCATGAATGGCCTGAATTGGCCCAAACCCAACTTGAATCGCGAAAATTGGAGCTTGAAGATTTTGAATCAAGATCCAAAAAATTCAATTCATTTGATTCATCCTTCATTCAAAATCTTCAAAATCTTCACCTTCGTCTATCACCCCTACTGACTAGTCATGGACCTCCAGGTTTCAAACTGGGCAATTCAATCAACTTATAAACCGCCGTGTACTTGAATTAACCTAGTCAACGACTGCGTCCAGTGTAGTTGATCAGTCGCGGGTCAAACAATGTTGAATGGATGTGGAGTGGATCTAGGGTCAACTCATGGCGTCGAATAGTCTTTGTCGGCGGCCCACGTCCAAGGACTGGGAAGGTCCTTCTTTAGTATGACGTGCATGCGGCTGAATATTCATCCCTGCCTTTCTCTCCAAATAAGGAAAACTCGTTCCCCTTACAAGGTTGCAATGCTAGGCACAAGGCTTGCCCCCTAAAATGGCTCATGGTTGCCCGGTGCAGTGTGTTTCAATATATAAACCTCGTATAGAAGGGAAGGTCGCATCTACAGGCATCAGAGGGGGTGGTTTAATGCATAGACTTGCTGACATGTGCCGGGTGATGCAGCCCAGGTCTATCATGCGGTGAACGCTCTTGATGGACCATGCGTCCGCGAGGCGAAGCTGGGACTTGCACATGCGCGCATGAATCAAGGCCGCTTCGTGGTGGTGGACATGTTCCATGATTCCGGGGCCACATGATTGTAGGGGCACGGAAGTCGAGGACGATATGAATGTATTATCTCGCCATACCTCTGCTGCGCGCTGTCTGCGCTGTCTGCGTGCAGCGCGGATGCTTCTGGGGCCGACTTGATCCCTTTACCCTGTAACACTGCCCTCTCTCCGATATACACAAGGCAGTTGAAGAGGACGCGACCCGTATCGCTGTCGTCTTCGTCCAGTGTTGGAGTCCACAGTCTAGAAAGATGCAAGAGACAGCCGTCTACTACCACAGTCACTGACTCAACTCTAGCCGTCGAGCCCAGTCCTGCCCCGATACGATTATCGATTTTGAGCAAGGCTTTCTGGTCCATCTGCAGGGTAGCCAGACATCGTGAGTGAATCACCTCGCGATCCACAGCCCACCGTTGCCGTACATGCGGTCCCGTAAAGCCCCGGCCTCGGACCGCACCCCTGCCCAGTGCAGCGGCAGCCGATCGACCTGCTGCCGCGCCCGGCCCGCCGCCTCGTTGAGCCGATCTGGAAAGCTGCCCTCGCCCCGGCCCGTCTCGATCCTGGCGACGGCCTCGCGCGGCGCCCACGCCTCGCGCCCCAGGCTGGCCAGCGTCGCCACGACGTCTCGCACGTGCGCGCCGGCCATGTCATCGGCCGCGGCCGGCCCGGCATGGTGCAGGAAGCCCATGAGCATGACCTTGAGCCGGGCGTCGAAAAAGGTGGCCCCGTCAAAGTCGTGCGCAACGTGCACCCACACGGCACTGTCCACGGCCACGCTGGGCGGCGCGTCGCGCGGCGGCGCAATCGTCACCACGGCCTCGTGCCAGCCGGGGGCCACCTCGCCCGACGCCCCGGCGGGTACGATGCGGGCCCAGGCGGCGAAGACGCCGCGGAGCTGCGCCGTGACGGCGCCGGGCACCTGCACGAGGTTCGCCGTCGGGAACCCCAGCTCGGCCGTGGACCATCCGCTGCCCCTGACGACTGTGCCGTCAAACCTGAGGGGAAAGGGCGCCTCGGGCCCCGCGTCGGAGCCGACGAGCGCGACCGTCTGCTCAAGCATCTGGCCGTGCGCCGGATGCAGCTGCGGGCTCTTGTTCCAGCCGTCCTGCAGGGCGGCGGCGACGCCAAAGTTGCGATAACCATACTGCGCGGCTCGACCGGCGTTCTTGAGCACGGGGCTCTTGAGGGCCTTTTGGGCCCCGGTGTTGACGACGGCGCCCGCGACGCCAAGGTATTTTTTGGCAACCTGCTGGCCGATGGTGCTGGCCACCTTGACGCCCACCTCGATGGGCATGGTGGCGAGGCTCGCGCCACGGACGACGGCCACATCCGTCGACGTGCTGGCGATTCTAAAGACGGGGCTCCCACAAAGCACCTTGCTGCCGCAGCCCTGCCCGGCACACACGACGAGGCGGAAGTAGCCGTCGGCCGCCGTCGCAGGGATGCGCACCAGATGCGTCTCCCGCGGCACATGGGCCCTCGTCCGCCCCGAGGCCCTCTTGGCGAACCGCTGCAGATCGCGCTGCACCCCGCGCTCGTCGACGTCGGGCAGCTGGTCCGGGGTGGCCTGGCGGGCGGGGGTGACGTCGAGCCAGGTCGACGTGGAGCCGACGAGGGCCTTGACGGCCATGCCGACGTCGCCCGAGAAGCCCTTTGCCTGGAGCCAGACAGAGCGCGCGGCGGGGAGGGGCGCGTCGGCGAGGATGGAGATGGAGACGGAGGTCGAGGGCCCGCGGTACCAGACGAGGGCGTGCGAGTGGCGGATGATGGTGTAGTGCCGCGTTGACTCGCTGGGCCTGCCGATGAGGCCGCCGGCAAAGTACTGAGCCTCGTCAATGGCCGTCTTCCATTTTGACGACGTCGACGTCGTCTCCTCGCGCCTGGCCCGGTCCGCAGAGGCCGTGGCGGCGGACGAGGAGGAGACGAGGACCGATGAACTCTGGACCCGTCGAAGCTCCGACGCCGCCGCGAAGGGGGCGGCCGGGGGAGGCGGGAGCGGCGAGTCGAGCTCGAGATGCTGCTGGTGCCGGCTCACGGTGCACTTCGGCGGCAACGGCGGCGGAGGCGGCCAGTGGTCTCGCGTCTCGGGCCGCAGCTGCGCCGCCGACTTGCTTGGCCGCAGGGGCCGCGGCGGATGAGCATCATAAGGAGGCGGAGGGTAAGGCGGAGGAGGAAAAGGTTGGCTGGGCGAGTGGCTGGTCAGCGGGCGGCGCCTGGCGCTATAATGCACCTCTTGCGGCATCTCGGCTCCGGATGGTGGAAAAAAGGAGAGGCATGTTGTGAGAAACTCCTCAGCTCGAGAATTCCGGCTCCATCGTCCCTTTGATCTCGCTTCTTTGTTCGCCCCTTTCTTTCTCCCGTTGATTCTGCAGCGGCGGTGCCTCGTAGGGGTTTTTTTTTATTAAATGAAGGCCTAGGGAGGTTTTAGGACACTGTGGGCCGTGCATGATAGCAGGGCAAAAGGGGAGACAAGGCACTCCATCTTGGCAAACAACATTTCACATACGAATATACGAACATACGAATACACATGTGTCCTTGTCCATCGTAAACACGCCCATCATCAACACATGTCCTTCATTCTTGTATTGCAGCCGTCTCAACTTGGATCCAGCCCCGGGACCCCTGTGCCGGCCCCTTATTTACGTTTCACCTTGCCAGAATGGACGCATCGCGACTCGGCTAGCGGCAAATGACGGCTTCAATCTCGCCGGGCTCCTTGGTCGCCGACGTCAAGTTCTCGCTCCCGCTCTCCGTGACCAGCACATTGTCTTCGATGCTATACACAGCCGTTAGTCTGCTATCCAGCACATGTATACGAGGTCTAGGAGGCTTCTTACCGCACGCCGCCCACGTCCCAGTACTTGTCCAAGACGGCCGAGTTAATGTACTTGCCGTGCACGGGGTCATCAAGATACGGCTGGATGATGAACTCGCAAAAGTAGACCTGCAAGGTTCAGCACTCAAGCAAATTGCCATGTTCAACTCGAGTCTCACTCACCCCTGGCTCGACCGTGACAACACTCCCCGCGGGCACCCGGCCGCGCAGCCTCAGATAGCGGAAAAAGGCATCCGTATCATGACGGTTGGGGTTGCCCCCGACATCGTGCGTATCCAGCCCGAGGTAGTGACCCAGGCCGTGGGGGAAAAAGGCGGCGCTTGTCCGGGCCTCGAGAATCTCCTCGGCGTCGCCCCTGAGGATGCCGAGGGACAAGAGTCCGTCAACGGCGACGCGGTGGGCGTGGAGGTGCACGTCGTCCCAAAGCACGCCGGCCTTGATCATGGCGATGCAGTCCTTTTGCATCTTGTAGACAACATCGTAAATGTCGCGCGACTCTTTGGAAAACTTGCCCGACAAGGGAAAGGTCCTCGTCTGCAAGGGTTAGCAGAGTCCAAGGCGGGCGAGCAACAGACTAACAATGTCGGCGGCATAATTGTCCCACTCGGCGCCCGCGTCTACCAGGACATTGAGCTTGCCCTCAAGGGGCGCGTTGTTATCGACGTAGTGCAGCGTGGCAGCCGCCTTGCCGCCGGCGAGGATGGGGTGGTAGGCCATTTCCTTTGCGCCGAGGGCGACGCACTTTCCCAGGAAGGCGGCCTCGAGCTCCCTTTCGTAGGCGGCGGTCCGGGCGCGCTCGAGGACGGCCTTGTGGCCCAGGCTGGAGATGTGGTTGGCCTTGCGCATGAGGGCCACCTCAAACTCGTCCTTGACGACGCGGGCCACCTCGACAGCGTCTTTGAGGGCGGCAAAGTCCTTGTTGTCAAACTCGAGAAAGGTGACATTGTCCGAGACTTGGCCGGCAATGGCAAAGACGGTCGACTTTGGGTTCTGGGTGGCGAGGTGGGTCAGGGTCGGGTTGACGTCGGTGGTGAACTTGACCTCGTCGACGTCGTACATTTGCAAGGCATTGTCGGCGCTGACGGGCAGGCCGGACCAGATGACGTCGCTGGGGTCGATGGGGGGGATGAAGAGGATGGCCTTGGAGGCCTGGATGTCGTAGGCAAAGCGGCAGTCGGCGAGGTTGCAGCCGGTGAGGTAGTAGAAGTATCGGCGCTGGCTTGGGAGAGTTAGACTGATGGCGCAGGTAGGGAGAGGCGGCAGCCGTACCGGAAGTGCTCTGGAGAGTCGTTGTCCTCTTGCAGCTTGGTCATGCGGCTCTCGAGGTAGAGGACGCCGTTTGCGTCGGGCACCTGTCGGCGGATGATGTCGACGACGCGCTTGGCATGCGCCTTGGCCGGGTACCTGCCCTTGAGGACAGACTCGAAGTCCTGGGCGACCATGGTGGCGGCGGGGGGGAGACGATGTGAGGTTGAGGTCGGGCGGCTGATGCCCGAGACGGTGCGAGACGGACGAGATCCGCGAAGCTGTCGGGCAAAGCTGGGCGGTGCTGAGGAGAGCAGAAAGCGGGCGTCGTCGACGATGATGGGAGAAGACCGTCGAGAGTGGCCAAGTGTGGTTGCAGAGACTGTCGAGAAGCGTGCCGTGAGCCCGAGGTTGGCTCGGCAAAAGACCATGGAGTCGCCGTTGCCCGTAGGTGACGAGAGAAACCCCGAGCGAGCATGCACGCCGCTGCCCCGCTACCCGCTTGCCGTCCATACCCCACCGTAGCGGGGTTATGTCTGCTCTGAAGCACCTCACGCCGAGGTACGGAGTAATACTCCGTCCGTACCGTCGAGCTCCTCAGTCAGGAGAAGGAGTCAGCAGGCGTGCTGTACCTATTTCTTATCCAAATGATGACACTCTTTCCCCCTCAGCAAACATTGACATGTTGTTGGCCTGTCGACGGTCAACCGCGGGAGCGTGACACTTATCGTCCCTGCCTGTTCTAACCGCCCCCGGCTGTCCTCGGCTCTGCCCGAACCTCTCATCATCGTCATCATCTTCATCGACACCTCATACCACACCACGCCTCGATTCCTTTTCCTCCACCATCATCACCACCATCATCACCACCGCATCAATACTCAATCTCAAACCCATATGCCTCGTAGCACCCCCTCTGCCCCATCCATCCCACCTGCGACCCCGGCACCGACGCCCTCACCGCCTCCGTCACGCACCGCGGCCGCACCTCGGTCGGCACATTGAGCTTGAACGTCGCCACCGCCCCCCGCTGCCACAGCAGGTCGTGCCCGTCCGTGTCGCACCGTAGCCACTCGATCTCGTCCGGGCCCAGCTTGTCCTTGCCGCACAGGCCACGCACCGCCGCCTCTATCGCCTCGCACCATCCCGGGTACGCTACCATGCTGTGGCCCAGGAAGATGCGGTATATCTTGTACGTCCGCTTGAGGTCCGTGAAGGCGTACCGGCACCGCATCTCGGTCCGCGCCTGGATAAGCAGCGCCTGCCCCTCGGCGCTTAATGGCTCGTGTGGCGCCTCCGGGTCCGCGTCGTTGTTCTTGGCGAGATGCACCATGTCCGCCCACGTCCTTGGCGGTGCCACCAGGCCCGTGACACTGTGCCCGGCTCCGACCATGGCGAGGAGCCAGGCCAGCACAAACTTGAAGCACGGCCGCGCCATTCTCCAAACCCGTCGAGATGATTTCCTGGAAGAAAAAATTCGAGAGGCTTCATAAGCGCCGGATAGAGTCAGTTTCAGTCGCCCAACGATGCTAGGCTGACCAGAGTATCACGAGGATCCAACCCTCTGGGCACAGCACGGCGACAACGGCAACCATGAGATCGATCCACGGCCGAAGAAGCAGGAGAGGCACGAACATGACCAGGGGGACAAAAGGCCAGAGGCGGGGAAAGAGAGTATATGTAGGCCGTATCCTGATGCCTTTTGTCTTTTTTCAAACCTTGAGCGCCGCCCCTTTGGTTCATCATCGTGGCCACAAACTCTCTCTCTCCTGTCCCGCCTGGCTAGCATCGGCCTCCATCAAGCCTCAACCCCCCAAGGCTTGAGCATACTTTGTCCCAATCCGCGTGCACAAACGCAAAGAGAACATACGTTTTCAGGAATGAAGTGGGAAAAAAAGAAAGGAGAAAGCCACCGACTCGTGGCCATATTCTCCTGCCTGCCTTTACGTCAGATTCCACGTAAGCAAACAAGAGGCGCCGCGGCTCTTGTCGTTCTGCAAATACGTCGTACAATACATTCACGTCAGGCATCAAGCATCGGCTGCCCGGACCATTGCACGCGAGCCCAGACCCTGCCCTTGATCCTGTCTCTTTCCATCTTTATTTTTGGCAGCTCCCAAGCCGACGTCAGCCCCGACCCGGCGCGCGCCTCTTCCGGGACACGCGCGCCGGCCACCGGAAACTCTCGGCATCTCAGCCTCTCAGCCTCCGCCCTCCCCGCCTGCCACAGCCAACGAGGACCCGACGAGGCCTGGGCAGAAGAAAAGACCGTCGCGTCTCGTTGGACGAAAAGCGCTGCGAGATCCAGCACCCAGTTCAGGGGGTTTCAGCATCGTGTACTTCGTATCCAAAACACCCGACCTGTCGTTCGTACAAGTCGCCCCCCCCCCTCCCCCCCTTCCCCCTCAATCCCTGCATGGGCGCCTGGGGCGTGCCGTGACCGTCTACCCCTGTCCCGAAGCGTGCCCATATCGGCTTTCGGGCCGCGCGACATGTCCCTCTCCAAAATGGCTGAAATGGAATGCGGACGGGGGGGCCTGTCTGTCACTTGTTGTCCGGCCTTCAGCGGGGAGGGGGTGCGCCGTCGCCGCCTACCCCAAAAGCTTTCAGCTCTCATTGCTGAGACGGGGTTCTGTGACATGGAAAGAAACGACGACGGGCGCCTTTCCTCCTCCCCGTCCCGAGGGACAGGAGGGACGAGATGGGCGTGGAATACGACGTGATTAGATGAGACGGGAGAGGAATGAAGGTTACAGAACGGCAGAAAAAGAAAGCTCACTCGTCTCCGCTCTCCCATGTCGGCTGCAGAGCAAAGGGCCGTGGTGTTGGTATCACAGACGGCAAAGAGGCCAAGCGAGTCCACCCATCGCTCACCCAAGGTCGTTCTCGCTCTTCCAGACGGGTCGCGTCACTGAACATCAATGACGACAAGCCCAGGGCCAAGGAGTTTTGCAGCGTGTCTGAATCAATCAGCCACTGCTCGCGTTCGCTTATCTCATTGGAGACCATACCGCCTGGTCTGACTCAAATTACCACTCCCTCCCCTCTTCTCTCTCTCTCTCTCTCTCGCTCACCTTTCTTTTTGATTCACGTGAACGAGATCAGACAGACATGCAGATCGCAAGACAGGCTCCGACATCGTCACACACACGCACTCACACACAGGATCGGGCTGTGCGGCCCCTTAGTCATCTCTCCCCCCTGTGCGGTTCTTGCTTTGCTTCCTCCCTGAATGTGGAAGAGAACCCGATGGCTGACATTGCGATGCCATTCTCTCAAGATAAGGAGGCGGGGGGGCAAAAGATGTGGAAAGAAGCAACAGAACAAGAGGGGAGAGAGTGGCCAACGGAGATAACGGGAGGGAGGATGGGAAAAGAGAAAAGAGCCCGGCGTCACCGCCATAAACAAGGAAAACGCGAGACGAAACAAATAGTAAGTAATTACGAAAACAAACAAGAAATAAAAAAGACCTTGCGAGGCTGATGCACACCAATCGTGGCCTTTTCCGTCGTAGAAATGTCTGATATGGACCGGGACACCGGGTCAGGTCAAAACCCCTGTCCGGCGTCTGTCAAATCCTGGCCCCGGGGTGGCGCGGCGTCGCAAGGTCCCAAGTCGCCGGGAGTTCTCCTATCGACTCGTCCTCATCTTTCCCCTGACTTCTATTGGCCTCTCATACCGCACCTTTACTTCATTCTGAGAAAAGGAAACACGCGAGTCCCTCGTCATGGCTTGATCCTTGTGTGCCACTCGACGAGTCTCTCTCCAGTCCAGCTTCCATCCTCCCTCCCCAGCCTCTTGCTTTTCCCTGCCGTGACGGCTGGCCTTCCGGCGTTTGATTAGCCTGGCATCGCGCGTGAGCCATTAAGACAAAGGCTTTCCGGGGGTGTGGTGCGAGGACACCACCCCGAGAAAAGCCGACACCTCGTTGCAGGGGATGGGGGCGGGAGAGGGGAGACGAGACAAGACAGGCGTACGCAGGTTGGCGACAGAGGAGGAGAAAAGACGTAGGTCGAGGTCCAAAGATGTCATCTCTTTGCGCAGCCCGGCCAACATGGGGGTAAAGGGAAGAGACCGGAAGGGGGAGGGGGGGCGTCCCTTGTAAGCCCCCGAGCCCAGCCGGGGTCCGAACAGCGGCATCGTGCAGGAACTCGTCCCTCTTCACGGAATGCCATCGACCCAGGCTGTCGGGCACTTTATTGTTAGGCCCTCTCCGTCACCTCGCGCCTGAGACACGGGCTGAGCGAGGGGGCACAAGTGCCAGGCAGGCCCCGGCCGGGCGCGCCAAGTTTTCTCCATGGCCCAAAGGAGGACAGCGACAGAAAGAGAGAGATCCGAGGCACGTGTCTGAGATGGCTCAGATTACATAGTGATCTCTTCGCCCTCCCAGCACTGGCGTCCCGAACCGCTGGGCTGGAACCTCGGAACCTGCGCGTCTGCGTTCACGCGGCTGGTACGCAACCCCATTGGCCCAGGATCCGTCGACCCTTGGGGGGTGGCCCACTGGCATATCTTGATGCCTCATGCCCTGTAAGACAAGAGGAAGAGACAACATCTCTATTTCAGCGCTGGCCGCCGGCCCTTTCCCCGGGCGTTGATAGGTCACTCCCGCTTGGCGTGTGCACTGTAGCATCATCAGCCAATGCTGTCCCAGGCTGTGCGTCCCATTGAGAAACTTTTCCCAAGGGACAAGACAGCAACCTGCTTGCCCCGAGTGACGCAGATATATATGTGCCCCTTCCACCGGCCCTGATGATTACTCTCGTTGAGCCTTGTTACCATCGAGCCCTCTTCGTCTCCTCACGCGCCACGGCTCCTCCCTCCATCAACCCTCGCTGCCTTGCTACCGCCCGGCCCGACACACCCACCTCGGCGACTCGATTCTGCCTGCCTGTGTCACCGCCAAGTAACAGACAAGCCTATTGTCACAGCTTGACCCGGCTCATCCTTTTGCGAAAAACGTCGGGGTTTCGCCATCGCGCGCAAACGCAGTCCTTGGACCAACCTACACACGGGTGACCGTTGTGTCTGGGATTTGCGCCTTGCCACGGTTGGGGCCACTCCAAGTTCACTCCGTCGCTTCAAAGGGTCTCCCGGCGGATATATCAAGGCCCCAGCCATGCCGGCCAGAGTCAGCTACCCATCCAGCCAAAGAACGGACCATCCTTTTCAAGCGAGAGAACAGGTTCGCGTTCGCTGCAGCATGGCCGACAACAAGATTGGCGTACAGCCGCCGAAGAGGACGCAGGCTGGGACTTATCTGTATCCGCCAGTCATCGCCAAGCAGTCGGCACGACAGGCCGATCCCAACGTCGACTACTTTGCCACGGTCACCGTCCTGGACCGACGAGGGTCCGTCCTCGACGGATATCTGCAGGGCACAAAGGCCGTCAGCAGATTCCAAGTCGCCAGTTCCAAGACGGGCAGGGAGTCGTTTGTGTTTCCCTTTACAGACCTGTCGATATCGTATCCAGGGACGTACGTCATCCGTGTCGACATCTACGAGTTCTTGCCCGGGGATTACGCGGGTGCGGCCCTGGTCGAGCAGCTCGACACGAGAGCCGTTTCCGTATCCAACTCCCAAGTCTCTCCCGAGAGTCCATGTAAGAATTATGCTGGTGTGGGCTGCGAGCGGACCAACAGCATGCTGACCACCCTTGCAGCCTCAGACGAGCGTTCTCTGATGCGCAAGGCCCGAGATGCAGGCATCTCGATGCCGCGAGCGCCATGACTTGTCCGGCGCAGATGCGTTACGACCTTTCCTAGCCAATTGTGGTTCCCTCTCTCACTTGTACTTGAGGATGGCGTTTGGGCGGGCGAGGGTGGAAGAAGCTGGCCATGAGCCATGCGAGTGATTTCCTGAGAGCGAGCGGCTGTTACATGTAATCTAAGATTGAAGCGTTCAATTTCGGAGGGCAGCCGAAATCCAGATCGGGGTGGTGAGCGGCTCCAGGTTCGTAACAAAAGAGAAGCTTATTATCTCGGTTGTCGATTCTACCGTCCATGTGATGCCTTGGACCCCGGCCAACACTAGAAGGCGAGCCAAGGCCAGCCATCGCTGCCGCACGAGGCAGATCAGCAGCGCCGGGCGTGGCCACAAGGCTTCTTGCCCGACCTGGCCGGAGGAGGCGCGTGGGGAATAGTGCGCCGAAGTCTTTCGGGGTGCCAGGCCAGGGCCGCCCGCCCTTTCTGACCCCAAAGGCCGGACTAACTGACTTGTGCAACCGACTCACCTGGGCCGGGGCTGAGAGTCAAGGGCCCACCGGAGAGAAGCCAGGGCAGGATCACCACGCACACTGCAAGAGTTAGTTGACGTTGCCCACGGCGAAGTGCTTCGGGGCGGAGCCGGGAGAGAAGAGACGGAAGAAGCAAAGACTTGAGACACTGGACAAGATGCCCAGGTTGGCCCTGTCACCCAAATATTGACCCTTCCATCTCTCTTGCCCCCACACTCTCCCCCTCTTCATTTCTCTTTGCAGTCCCCGCTGCAGTCGCCGTCGGTTGGCCGAGGAGAGGCGCGAGGGGAGGTGCGAGGAGAGAGTCATCACAGCCCTCTGTCGGGGCCTTTTTCGGTACTTTGGTGACGGCGGACGAGCTGCAGGTAGCCGTGACACAGAATAGCGGCAGCAAGGGGTCGCCGGCCACAATGTTCCGGTCGGGGAAAAGGCATTTTGGGCCGTGTCGATGGTGATGTTTTGTCATGCCGGGCTGGATGCACGTTCGCGCAGCAAATGCTGGTTGCATCACGTGAACGCAGTACATTCGGCACATCTCGACCGCCCCCCCATCTTGCCACGTGCCAGCTAGCACCCATGTACCCTTTTCCCACGCACCATCTGATCCTCGCCACCACCAAAAGAAGCCCAATCCTCTTCCATCTTACTCCGCGCTCACACGGCCACAAGCCCTGCCACATCTGCACGCCAGCCTCTCTCCGGGCCCGGCGAGAGTCGAAGGGTCCATTGTAGCACACAGCATACAGCCGTAGTCCGGGCCGGGGAAAGCCAGGCATGGTCTACTACTTTACGTCCGACGTCGTCGACCCTCCGGGCTTCGTCTATGTCGGCAAGGACAAGTTTGAGAGTGAGGGCTCTTGGATGAGCCGGGAGAAATGCCGCAGATTGGCTGATACAATGGGACAGACGAGGACTTGATCAAGTTTGGTTGGGAGCAAGATGTCTGGTGAGGCGTTCTGGCACAGCTCTGCTTCTGCTCTCGCTGTTGTTGCTAATCATCGCCCTCCAGGGTATGATGTGACCGGGCCTGCCTCCCTGCCCTGAGCAATGGACTTACACCCTGTTTTTACTTCCAGTTCCATGTCGACAAGCTCTCCAGCGCCCACATATACCTCCGCATGCAGGACGGTCAATCATGGGACGCGCTGCCCGAAGCCCTCGTCGCCGACCTTGCCCAGCTGACAAAGGCAAACTCCATCGAAGGCGCGTTTCCACACCCTCTCCGCCATCGACCAAATTCCAGCCTAACCGCCATGTCTTCTGGCAGGTAACAAAAAGGACAACATCACCGTCATATTCACGCCCTGGTCCAACCTTAAAAAAGATGGAAGCATGGAAGTCGGCCAAGTCAGCTTCAAGGATCAGCGAAAGGTCTGCCTCCCCTTATCCCCTTCTCACCCAGGCTATCGTTGTCTCCGTCAAGAGGGAGAGACAGAAAAACTCAACGTCAATCCCGCAGGTCAAGCGCGTACTCGTCGTCCAGCGCGAAAACCCCATCGTCAACCGTCTCAACAAGACCAGGGTCGAGAAGAAGCCCGATCTGAAACAGGAGCGGGACGATCACCTGATGGAGTTGCGGAGGAGAGACCAGGCAGCACAGCAGCAACGAGTCAGTCAAGTCACCATCGGCCCCTTTACTCACACACTTCTTTGTCTTACCCCGGCTACCGCTGCTGCCTGACACTGGCCACGGCCCGACTGCAGTAAAGCGCTGACCTCTACTCCTCACCATCAGAAAAAAGAAGAGGCCCGCCAGGCGCAGGAGTGGAAGGAAAAGAAGTGGCAAAAGGACCACGCCTATGATGACATCTTCACTGAAGAAAACATGGCTTCGACGAGTAACCAGGACAGAGACGCTGATTGGGAGGACGATTTCATGTAAAGGAGTGTTTGGCCAATCGACCTTGACACGCACTGCCGCTTTTATTGCTTATCAATGCCTCATGAGTTCGCTCGTCTTTGCGAGGCCGGTTTGCCTTGGGAGTGTCCCGCGTCGCACATTATGCTGCCCTCTTGTTCCCAATACACCAAAGAGATGCAAGCTCCGGCTCCTCGCCGTCCCAGCCATGCACCCTCTCCCCTGAAAGAATACCACATTACATGCCCAGAAGAGCATTCGCCATCGTGGCTCATCAAGAAACGCCTATCCTCCGACACGGGCTGACGCTCAACTCCTCCAGCTTATTCGCGAGGCCTCGGAGCTCGCTCGACGTCTCCAACCTGATTGGAGTAGAGGAGCCCTGACTGCTCACCCCGGGGCCCTGTGAGCTGTGGCCTGGCGATTGTTTCGTGCTTGGGATCCTTCCGGCCAGCTGGGGAGGCTCTTCTGCGTCGTCATCATTGGTCTCTTCCTGCAGATATTGCAACCCGTCATCCTCATCGGCTCTGCCCTCAATCTCGGCCACGTCATCCGCATCACCAAAGGTAACCACAGGTTCACCTCCGGGCAGCCTTACTTCGGTGGCCTCCAGGGTTTCGGCCACATCGAGGAGCAGAATGTCCATGGGGCAAATGTAAGCGACACGCTTTCGCTGGCTCCAGGCCAGCACGTGCCCGCAAAGCTGCCCGTGATGGCGGTCAACCACCCAAGCGCCGCTATCTCCGGGAATTCCTAAGCTTTGCCCCGGGTCCTCTCCGTCGGCAGACTGCGAGCTGGTTATCTGGTACGTATGGCTAGGGGACGTGCGACCGTAGATTTTGACGCTCGTCAAGGCCGGCAGAATCTGCCCCGTCTGCGCTCCGCTCGTCCTCGCCATGCACTGCACCTCCATGCCGGGGAGAGAAGACGACGGCGCAACGGAAGTGGGGCGCATGAGGGGTGCGTCTGCGTGCCTGCCAGGTCGCCCACCGCGCGAGGATCCGTCAACCGCCCGGGGAATGCAGTTGTCGGCGGGCAGGCGTCCGTCAGAAAACCTGATCAAAGCCCAGTCCACCTCGTGGACGAGGCCGTCTACCTGTTTGCGGCGAATGCCGCTCGACGCAAACACCTTGCCTAAGCCACACATGTCAAGATGGTCCTTGTCCTCGGTCTCGGAGCAAGGATAGAAGCCCTCGTCTACGTCGTCCAGGGCTGGTTGGGTGACAAGGTAGCCATCGCCGCAATCGGGCTCGACTCCGGGAATATCGCCCGGTTCGAATTCGTCCTCTTCGGCCTCCTCATCGTCGTCATAGTCGCTCGTGAGGTCGGATTCTGAATACGGCTCAGACTCGGTGTCAGAGAGGCCGTGTGCGTCATCATCTCTCGCCTTTTCAGCCAGTTCCGAGTACCAGAATCCACCAGCCGCGGCGCTGCTGCGCATAGTGTCTTCGTGCCCAAAGTCCGGGTCCGGGTCGTCGAGCATATGGTGGACGGTCATACCGTAGGGTTTGTCGTCGACAAGGACAAGCCCTCCGAAACTGACCGGAGGCAAATGACGGTCGCCGATCCACGCTCCAATGCTCGCCCCATTATAGGGCCGTTCCTGGTACTCGGGATTGACCGCACCAGGTTCACCGTCGTCGGATCCCGAGTCACGACCAGACCCTGGCCCCCGGGGTTTGCGGAGTGCCAAATGGGCTGTACCGGGCTTTGCCTGTCTCCGGGATCGAAGAACATGTCCTTTGCAGACCTTCAATCCAAAACCCGTGACGGTGCTGTCGAATAAATCGCCGAGCCGCTTCTTGAGAATGGCGCGTACCTTGCCGACCGATGTGCAGACAACCAAGACTGTGGGCTGTGTCTTGGAGGGACTCGGGCCGACAGACTCAAGCGAAATTTCGACCGACTCTGGGTGCTTGCGATAAAAGTGCCGCAATGCCTGGTTGATCTGTGGCATAACGATGGTGTTCCATTTCTCGACTGCTTCAGGCGCAAGGGGAACATGCGGATAGAGCCTGATCTTAGTCTCCGACTTTGCCGCTGCCTTGGCGAGGCCATCTTTCCAAAGCATCAGCGACATGAGTTCATCGTGTTTCCAGGAGGGGGAAACTTACCATCACCCTTGACATTAGCTGAAGCGAGCCTCTCCAATGGCTTGCCAATGGCAGGCTCGGTCGATGCGAGTGGCATCTTTCGATCACCACCGAAAGACCTAAGAGGACTAGAAGCCTTTTTATCCTTGGAAGACTCGATGGGTCGCCGCTTTTCGGAAACCGCTTGGCGTAGATCCTGGGTCATGCGCCGCTCCAGCTCGCCGATGCCGTCTAGAAAACAACACGCTTCAAGGTATCGGCTCGCACGCACTTGTACGGCCGAAAGAAGAGCCTCGGCCTCGACATTGCCAGAAGCCTCCTCGTCGAGGGCATGCCAGCATTCCCGGACAGCTTTGACGTAGAAGCTGCCGCACCTGACCGCTAGACGGTCTAGTAGCTGGCAGGAATCCAGAGGGCTGGCCAGGTCAGGGGCGAGGACTTCGAGCTTTGTCCACAAGCCAATCGTCAGCAGGAGCATGGCCAAGGAGTAAAGTTCGAGGACGCGTTCGTCCGTCGACTTGCGCAACGGAGAGCTCTGGCTGGCGCGAGGATCTGGAGATTGGCGCCGCAAGGAAGACTCTGCAGCCGAAGTGTTTTCCCCAAATAGGTCGAAGGATGAGATTAGTGGGCATCGAACATCAGCCGTTGGGCGGGCTCTGTCGTCGCCCGAGGTGATTTCGACGCGGAACGAGATGTCTTTGTCGTTGAGGTTGCCGTGGGCGAAGCCTCTCGCATGCATATCGAAGACGGTGTTTGCGAGATTGAAGGCTAACTTGAATTTGGCCTCGAGCGGAGGTTCGCATTCAGGACGTGAAAGGAGATGGTTTAGAGTTTGAAGGCTGAGGGGCAGGCCGTCGGGGGATGGATTGGGGGACAAGTGACTGAAGGAAAAGGGGAGCCGGTAGACAAGACCGAGACGCGAGTTCTCCAGGTCCTCAAAGTAGCCGAGAAGTCGGGGCAGGCCGGTCCAGGTGCCGGGGGCTCGTTGGGGATCTTGCTGAAGGGCGGCCGACAGCTTCTCGAAGCGAACCATTTCCGGCATGATGCCTGTTGCGGCATACATGGGATCGAAGGTGGCATATTCGAGAAGCAGGGGCGCATAGGGGACCGTGGATGTGCCCCGGACCAGGTTGTTATAGGCTAACTTGTTGAGGAAGACGACCTGGCGATGAGAGCTGTCGAGTGGGTATGGCGTCAGCAAGTCCCGGGGGTCGATGTGCTGGGGGGTTTGCACGCGACTGGACTCGAAGAGCCTAGTCTCTTCGGCGAACGGGGCTGCCTTGTAACCAGTCTTGGAGGAGCGACGGGGCATGGCTGCGGAGGAGCGGGTGCGCGAGAGGTCGTAGAGGGTGTCAATGGAGACGGTGAGATCGTGGACAAGGTCCTCGAAGCGGGCTTTATCCCAGTGGAGCAGGGGCGGCTTGCGATCCGACGAGGGGCGAGGCGAGTCGACAAGGCGCTTCGAGCTCAGCCAGAGGGGCTCGGCCTCGGCGAGGGTGTCCTTGATGGTGGACATGATGCTGGCGACGACTTCGCTGAGACCGGCCTCGGAGATGGAGTCGTCGATCTCGGGCGACTGGGACGAGTCGGACCACTCGAGCCCCCAGCTGACGAGGCGGTCCTTTTGGATGCGCAGCTTGCGGTGCAGGGCCTTGATGTCCGGGTCGTCTTCGTTGCGGACGGGCTCCTGGAGGAAGTCGGTCGACTTTTTGGTGTCATTGTAGAGACGGCTGAGGCGGCGTTGAAAGGGCAGCTGGAAGCCGGCGCCGGCGAGATAGGAGTTCATGGCGAGAGCCGCGGGTGGTTGCGACGCTGGACGACCCAGGGATGAGGCGATTCGCAGACGGGCGACGGCAGCAGGTCGCTGCAGGCGAGGTCGGGGGGACAGGAGGAGCTGGCATGAGGGAGATGGGGAGGGAAACGATGCCGTGTGCTCTTGATGGATCGTCGGTGATGGGCAGAGGAGAGGAGAGCCGTGCCGTTGCAGCTTGTTTCAGCACCCGTCTCCCTCGGACCGGGCCCCAGAATGCTGCTGCCTGGCCTGGAGGCGTCCGTAGCGGGCGCCCATTGGCCAGAGCTCGTGGCCAGGCAGCTGTGATTGGCCTAGCGCCATGCGGTGCTGCTGAACCTTGTTGCCCATTGGCTCCGCCGAATCGCCCGGCGTCAGGTGACTTTGTACATCGAGTGCCTTGCAGGAAAGTCATTCATTGACGCCTAGAAGTACCTGGAACCCTCGGCTGACCCCAGCTCTCGTACCAGACAGATCCGCGGTACGAAGCTCAGAGAAGAGGCTACCTGGACGGACAGTCACCGAAGGTCAATCAACAAGGGCCCCCGTCTCGGTTCCTTCGGAGTGCGGCCGGGTTTGTTCCAACTTCCAACTTCCAAGACTTCATCTCCTCAACAGCCAACAAGAAGCACCGTCTCACGCGCAACGGGAGCCTGAGGCAATTACTCGCGTGCAAGCATCAGATTACAGTGCTTAGTATGAATTTAGGGCGCCGTTTCATGGGCTCGCTCGTCCCCGCGCGAGCTAGATCCCCGACTGGCCAGCGAGAAATCGCTATCAACAATTCAACATCCTCCCATCCCTCTCCTCGTCTGGATTCTCGTCAATGGCAGTGGCAGGCACGCCTTTGTCCCGCCAGCCCCGCCGCGGTGGCCGAGCCATTCCTGAACCCACGCCTCCTGCATGAGACAATAAGACTGGACCCCTAGGCAGACGTCCCCTTAGTCTCAAGGCAACCAAATAAAAGCACCTGTTCGGCTGTTCCCTGTGTAAGCAGACTTGACATCATCTTGACGGGTGCAATGAGACATCCCGCGGCTATGTGACTCTCAGCCTTCAACGGAGCCTTGGCCTCGCGAGCTTCACCTGTCCATAATGCCGCTCGCGAGTACCGCAGTCAAGTTGCTACGTGTAGCATGTGACTGTGAGGAAGGCTTTGGAAGGAAGCCTGGCAGGCAGACACGAGCAAGACGACGACGTGATTCACGAAAAGCAAATGTGGCCACCTACCGGCATGACTCGCCATTCACCACCGGCGCAGAGAGGCAGGAGGGTGTCGAGGAGGAGCAAGATGACCCCATTGACCACGGAGCAGGGGACGAGACTGTCTTGGATTTCACCCCGTGGGCAGTAGGTGCCTAAAGTGCCCAAATAAAGAGAGGATACGTGGACCATCCCGGTGCAGGGCAGATTAGGCACGGCCGATTTAACCAACAAAGTCCGAAGCATCCGCGTGGGAGCATGGAAAGCAAAGTATCAAACTCCCCGACTCTCCGAGGATGGCGGTTGGCGAATCAGAGCAGTCGGTGCAGAGACGTTGACAACGGTGGCCATGATAATCAACCAAGCTTTGATATTTGTTCAGAATTTAACCATGATACATATAGTTTGCCCCAATACGCAAGGGGCATCATTTACAGCAAGAACAGAATAAAGGAGAAATTATGTATATGGAGAAATCGCATATTCGTCATCATCCTCCATCACATCATGGGGAGGCAGAGGCAAGTGCTCTTGCTCTCCATCATTCCCCCTCACGCATACTTGATGCGCACGGCGGCGGACTCGCTCACGTCCCACTCGGCCTTGTTCGCGGCGTTGCCAAAGATGCGCAGCGCGCGCACCACAAACTTGTACTTGCCGGGGGGCGCGTAGTTGCCCGAGTCGAGGCGGCCGTCCCAGGGAAAGGAACCCGGCCCGCGCGTGTTCCACTTGGACGGGAAGCCAAAGGGCTGGCCAATGGTCTTGACGCCCCAGACCTCGGTCGTCATGTTGGGCGGGCACGTCGTCAGGGGCACAATGTCGGCGCGCATCCGCGGCGACCCCAGCGCCAGGTTGGCCACGAGCGCCGGCAGGTCCGTCCCCGGGGCCGCGTTGCCGGGGCCGGGCAGCGTAAAGGTCGTGTTGGCCGCGACGGGCTTGAGCTTGGTGTCGGTCGAGTGGGCGATCCACGTGTCGGCGGCACCCAGCACCTGCGTGGCGTGCAGCGAGCCGGTGAGGCCCTGGTAGGGGATGGACAGCGACGAGCCGTCGGAGCCGTTGACGGCGATCCAGCCCGACCACAGCGCCAGGCGCTTGGCGTCGAGGCCCTGCGGCGGCGTCGGCAGCACGTCGATGCAGGCCGACTGGCCCGGGGCGACGCGGACCGAGTCCTCGCTCAGCCTGACCGTCGCGGGAGACTCGACGGCGTCGTTGGGGAAGGGCGCCGGGAAGCGCGAGCCGTCGGCCTTGAGCGTGTACATGGTGACGGCGGGCACGTGGGACAGCCTGTACGTGATGTCCTCGCTGCCCCTGTTGCTCAGCGTGAAGTTGAGCGCCGTGACGAAGTGGTCCGTGTCGTTGAAGGACAGGCCCGACGGCTCGAGCAGGGTCGTGGCGTAGGCGGCATCGAAGGCGCGGACCAGGCCGCCCCCCTGCTGGGCCGCGGGGGCCAGGTAGTCGTAGAACTTGGCGCCGTCGTTGAAGCGCTGGGGCCGCGACGTGGCCGACAGCAGGTTCTCGATCAGGGCCGGGTCGAAGGTGCCGCGGACCTGGGCGACGAGGGCGACGATGCCGGCGGCCAGCGGACAGGCCATCGAGGTGCCGGACAGCACGGCGTAGCTGCCGAGGGCGCGCGGGTACGTCGACAGGATGTTGCCGCCGGGGGTGCCGACCTGGGGCTTGAGGTCCATCTCCCACGAGGGGCCCCAGCTGGTGTAGGTGCTGAGGGCGCCGCCCGTGACGTTGTTGGGCACCGACAGCAGGCTGCTCTGCGCCTTGTCGCGGCTCGCCATCTTGAGCGTCACGCGCTTGCCCGCGCGCAGGGCCGCCACCCACGCCTCGCCGACCTCGGCCGTGGCCATGCCGCCGGCCAGGATCCGCGGCACCGTCGACAGGTCCGTCGACAGCGCCCCGGCGACGTTGTTGTAGAACATGATGTACCGGGCGCCCCGGGCCGCGGCGTTGGTCGCCTTGTCGGTAAAGGGGCACGAGCCGCGCCGGATCAGCACAATCTTGCTGGCCAGGTCCGTCGTGTTGCCGCCCGCCGGCAGCGGCGAGCAGGCGTCGTCCTTGACGGCCGGGTCGAGGCTGGTGGCCCAGAGGTCGAGCGTGACCTTGTCCCAGGCCTGGGGGTTGGCCGGCACGTAGCCGAAGCCGACGTCGTCGCCCCCGTCGACGGCGTACCGGACGCCGTACAGCAGCGTGGGCGTGAGCGTGTTGTCAAACGAGGCCACGCCGATGACCTTCTTCGCGTCGGCGGCGCCGCTGGCGTAGAACAGGCCCTGGTCGCCCTCGTTGCCGGCCGAGACGGTGCAGGGCACGCCGCGCTCGACGATGCGCGAGACGGCCACGGCCCACGGATCCTCGGACCAGCCGCTGGGCCCGCCGATGGACGCCGTGATGATGTTGGCCCCGTCCTGGAAGGCGCGGTTGTAGGCGGCGATGAGCACGTCGTTGGACACCTGGCCCTTGCAGCCGAAGACGCGGTAGGCCCCCAGCGTCGCGTCCGGCGCCGCCCCGGTGAAGCCGAAGCTGTTGCCGGGCCCGGCCTGCGCCGCCACGATGCCCGCCACGTGCGTCCCGTGCCCGCCGCAGTCCATCGGGTCGTTGTCGGGCACCGGCGTGTTGCTGCCGTTGTAGTTGTCGCCCACCAGGTCCGTCCCGAACGAGACCAGGCAGCCCTTGCCGAAGCAGCCGCCCAGCGCCGGGTGCTTGTAGTCGATCTAGATTCCGCCCCGCGAGTCAGTCCCCGAGTCTCCGGCCCCGTCCACGGCGGCGTCCACTCACCCCCGTGTCGATGATGGCAATCTTGGCCCCCTTGCCCGTGATGCCCTTGGCCCGCAGCCGGTCCACCTGCGTCATCGTGTGCGGCGAGAAGCTGTCGCCCGTCTTGTTCGGGTGGCCCACGGCTCGCCGCTCGGCCACGACGCCCGCCGGCCCCCGCGGCGTCGTCCCGATCCACTCGACCTTTGGGTTGGGCATGTTATACAGCCGCACCGGCCACATGTTCTTGACGGCCGGCATGTTTGCAATCTCGGCCGCCTTCTTGGGCGCCTTCTTCACGTCGTCCATCTGCACCGACACGCCCTTGAAGAGCTCAAAGTCGAGCTTGAGCCGCGTCTTGCCCTCCTTTTCCACCGCGTTGTAGACGGCGCGGGGGTCCTGCTGCCGTGTTAGTCTCGTCTCATCCCAGAAGCAAAACAATGACACTGACCTGGCCCTCCTTGATCTCGATGATGTACGCGCCGGGAACAATGTCCTGGGCGGGCGCGTCCGTTGCGGCAAGGACCGACGACGCCGCCGCCGCGAGCGACAGGACAAGTGATGAGCGCACCATGGCGGCGACCGGTTGGAGCACTCGCGAGCAAGGCTAACGATATTATCTCTTCTCCCTCTGACCCTCGCTCGACTCGGAGCCGGAAACAGCAAGAACAACAAGTGAGCGACTAGATACTGGAGGTCAATCCCAGGACCAACCACAAGGAGAGCTCGTTCGGAGTCGCAAGAGCCTCCGGGAGACGGGCAGCCCATCGTTCTAAATACTTACGTCCCCATGCGCCAATGCGTCTCCCCCGAGGCCTGCAAGAGCACAAGAGAGACACGCATGTGCCCCCCGGTCAAGAGCCGATGAGCGAGCATGGGCACGCGCCAACTCGCACCCCGCCACAAGCGTCACATTGCCCACAGCCGGTTCCCGGAGCTGTTGATGAATTTCCAGGGATCCGGGCCTCTGGGGAGTGGGAGTGAGAGGGGGAGTGGGAGTGGGAGATGAGAGGGTGTGGGCGTGATAAGCATGCCGTGATGGTGCATACATACGCATCATACTCGTGCTTCTCTCCAGATTGATATGCACGGCCGAGCTTTTTGGATGCGGAGGGCATTGGGGTTCGCTGCGGAGAGATAGGCGGCGTTGGGGGGTAGGCGGCGTTGGGGGGCAGGGACATGGCGAAAAAGCAACACAAGCACGATGAGATTACAGGGGGGGCAGCCAGATAATTGCATTGGACAATACGACGGGCCGACCTCGAAGATTGAAGACAGGCCAGAGGAAGAAGCAAGGTCCAGTTGTTGTCGTCGGGTTCCTGACCTCGTGAGCTCGCCTCCCCCTCCTGACCCCCCACAGGACGATGAGATGCCAAACTGGCACTCGAAGAGCTCCAATCCAGATCCTGAGCTGTTCCGCCGGGGGGTCCCGACGGGGAAGCCGGGGCAGCCACCTACCCCATCCGGCAAGTGTCACGGAGCAGCATGGGGGGCCAAGGTTGCGCCGGACGGCCCCGCCATCCCATCCGCGTGAGTTGGAGAAGAAGCCCGTTGACCCAGGCCGAGTAAGAGACGACTGCGGGGGACGTCAGCGAAAGATCCGATGAGCCGGCGTCTAGACCCTCTCGCGCACAGGGGCGTTATCTACACATGTACATACGAGCTAGGCAAGCTCAGGACCATGGCCGTGGCGACAGTGACGGTTCTGTTGCCCGTGATCACGGGCCTGGCCACGAGGGGAGTGGTTTATCTTGGTCAGTTGTATCATTACATCTTTCAGCCATGCATTAAGGCCCATTACAAAGCCCACGAGCGCGAGGGTTGCGTCGGATGGGGGGCCATTGGCCATAGCATGGCGAACCTTTGGCGCGGCAGTCGACTCCAGAACAAGAACAGCATCATGGTGAGAGTCGCGGTCAGAACCGCCGTGTTTAGTAGAGAGCGAGACGGCATTCAAGGACCGTTGACGTGCAACCAGTCGCCCGTGCCAGGTCCAAGCCTTCCGTCCGCCATGTACGGGGACGCCGAGCCAGAGACGGTCCGCCACCAAAGCCAACAACAAGAAGACGGCTCTCGTAAGAAGTTGAACCTCCGTTAGTTTGCAGCCGGCCCGCGCACGTGCAGTCTATAGCTCAGCAACCCACCGCCTTTTCCCCACAGCCTCAAGCGCCGACATCATTGCCCGCCTTCTCCAACGGCTCAGCCCCGGCCGGTGATTGCGAGGGGGGAAGTGAAGCACCCATCTTTTGCAAAGTGTGGAGTGTGGACGGAGGTGGGTGTACGGTGGGCCGGGGAAGACAAACTGCGGAGCATTTGCAGCCCAATCGCAGCCCGTTCTTCTCCCCTTATCCTCCTAACGTTCCTGTATTCCTAGGCTTGGTCTTGAGTCTGTCTTTTATTTATTACTTTGTAAACAGACTAACAACCTCTTGCAAAGTGGACTCGGCGTCCCTCTCTTCTTAGTTCCTGAACTTCCTGTCAGTCTTCCACGTCCAAGGGAGCAAGTCTTGTCCTTACGAGCTGCCCAAGCACGTATCCATTCGGCCATCAGGGCCATCTTCCCGGTCATTGGACCACAGCCTTCCTTCGTCTCTTGTCCCTGGCGCCAGGGGAACCCCGGGGATTTTCCCCGTCTGTGTCCACCCGCCCACCTGCGTCTCCGCGCCGCCACCTATATCAGAAGCCCGCAAACTATAACACACACCCCGTCCTCCCCGCAAGTGCATCGATCGCGTGCTCTAGTTGACATTGATCTTCGCCCTCTCTTTCTCTTTGGGGATATGTCCAGCTGCTCCCAGCCGGTAAAAGGCAGCCGAGGAGCCTCGTCTCTCGACTTACATGCAGGCTGCTCTCCATCTCGTCGAGTCCGGCGTGTACGACGCCCGTGCATATATACATGCAAGCAACCAAGGCCGAGCCTAGTTTCCTCCCTCAGTTTGCCATGCTCGGTGCCGGCCGACGCGAGCTCGCTGCTCCGTACCTACATAATAGGTACATCTCGCTCGGCATGCCTCCCTCTCTGTGCCCACCACCTTCGGTGTATGCACTCCAGTTCCCTGCATGTCGTACAACCTCGCAGAAGATAACAGGCGCGGTGGCAGAGCAGTTGCGGCTCTGAGTCTCGTTTAGTCAGGTGCCTGGATCCGCCGGACCCGGCCAGCAGGTCCGCATCCCCCGTCCCGGACCTATAGCGAGACCCGAGCCGAGGTTGTTATTGCTGCTGCGTTTCCTGAAGTAATAAAGGGTACTGCTGTAGAAAAGCGCCAGTCTGGCGGCATGAGTTGCTGCGAGCATCCGTCTCTTACCGTCACTGCTGTGTAAACACCCCCAACCCATCCGTATCCCGGTCCTCAACCCAGCCCTTTGCCCTCCTCTCCTTATCGGTGCCTCGTATGGCGTACCTGCAGCCCGCACTTGCTACATACATGCAAGGCATGGAAGTGAGCGCATAATCCATTGTCTGTGCCAGTTTGCCAAGGCCCGCCCGCGCATGCAGACCAAGAGAGTGCATCTCGTGCGCTGCCTTGTCCTGCATTGTTCTGTCTGGGCTCCTAACCGACACAGGCAGGCAAGCTTGGCCTCACTCCGGCATCGGACGGCCCAGAAGCTTGACTTTGAAATCACTTGCCCTTACGGAGTACTTGCCCTTGCGGCGTACTTGTCCTTACTTTCTGCCCTTTCGGGTCCCTGTCCATAGTTAATTTTCTTTGTTTTTCATATGTCTAGCCCCCCTTGTCTCGGAACCGGCCGTGTCTGTAATCAATTACCGACATACATACGTGTAGATGGCGACAAACTTGACTCGGAGTGAGGTTCATGGCCCAGAGCAATCGTGGGACTGCGCGACCAAGCTACGATGCACCACTAGCTATCTCTTAACTCACTTCTGGGACGCTTCGGCGTTAGTATTTGGGCTGCGTGATCGGTTCAGTACACGTCAGTCAGCCTCCATGTCTCTTGTCTGTATGTCTCGGCTTCCCCCCCGGTCAACCGCCGTATGCTCATCTCATGTGATTGAAACGAAACATGAACCGTTTTTTACCCTGCATGGAAAAAGCAGACAAGTTTCCCGAGCCCGGGGTAGCTTCTGTTCAGTCACATCTGATGCGGAAAGATGCCCTGCATGCTGTATAAACTCGAACCCGCTATCGCTTGTCAACACGATCTCATCCTTCGGGATCAGCGGCATCAACCGTCGACTTGCAAACGTCCCGCCGCGCGATCTAGAACAATCGGCCAGTGAACAAGGAAGCTGGAGCCAAGAATCGCTCAACACGAGGGCCCGTCGACTGTTTCCTCCTTCCTGGTATGGGGTCAGGACCTTTGGTGACCATCACGACCATTGACGGGCGGCACGGCCCAGTTCTAGGCAATTTGATGCCCTTTCCCTCTGCGCGCAAACGTGCTGGCGTTGCGTTGCATTGGCCGGCGGCTGATCAACAGGCACGACGCGTTGCCGCTGTCCCTCATCTTCACACCCTCCTCAACCTCACCCGTCCCACCCATCCTCCTTCTCCGCAGTGATGTTGGCTATTCTCTCCTGCCGCATCTGGTTGGACTCCTCCCCACCCGCTCGAATCGGTGCCATCTTTGTGCATAAGCCATGTCGCACTGGACAGGGCAGTCTCCAAAAGAGTCTTCATACCGCAAGCATACCCCAAAGTGCGCTCTGCAGCCATCTCGGCTCATCTACTCGTAGCCACCTCCCTGATCAAGGTCCCGGGCGGCGCACAAGGAGGCGACGTCGAGGCACATGACGGTCTATTGAGCCAATTACGCCGGGCCTTGGCCAGAGTCAGACCAATTGTGCCATCAGACAAACGGGGCCTGCTTAGCATTGCATTAATGGTGCGTTTTGTGCGTCTAATCTTGTCCGTCTGACAGGAACCCAATCATCTGGGCAACATTCCCCTTACCTTTGGGCGAAGCGCAGGTCCCCGATTTTCCAATTTCCTCCTCCACTTACTGAGAGCCAAGCGCGTAGAATCCAAGTGCGAGGTTGCTCCCGGGAATCCACCGCATCTTCCCCTTCACATGTTCGCTTTTAAGCAACCTTGGGAAACTGCTGTGATAGACGGGCATGAAGACCTAAAATCGAGTCCAATGCACTTCACTCACATCTGTGCAAATCTGGCCATGTTCCTTGAAGCGGCAGAATGCTTCTTGGCTGTCTGGTGGCCTCGAATGTCGATGAGAGGCACAACAGGATAAAGATGATTACCCTCGCACACTGTGTGCATGGGTCTGAGTTCGGGCGCGTCAGGGCTGGTCTAAAGTTGAGAGGCTGTCCTTGCCCTTGACTAAGACGAGAGGCCCTCTCCGTGAAGTCAAGGGTCTCTTGTGCAGTCGTCTCATCATTCCAGCCGCCCTCTATGAGATCTTCTTCAAGGTCGTTGGAGGGGTTTTACACGAGCATTCTGGAGGCTCTGAAGTCATCCCTGAGCCAAGCCTTCCTGGCTTCTTCTTGTTGTGGTCCTTGACGGGTTGAGGTATCCCCTGAGACGTGGCCAAGGAGATTGACGGCACGAAGAGATATCCTTATGCTCTAAATACAGCCCGATGTGAGGCTGGGGC